ATAGCGTTCAATGGTGCTTCAAAGTAATTTTTGAAAAAGTCGTCTTTGAAAAAAAAATGGTAGTGTGTGTAGAATTGATTACTTTAATCGTAGAATTGAGTCAGTCAGTAATTGCACTGGTGGCAATCGTCTTTGGGTAGGAGTTCAAACGTAGGAAATCGTCTTCGAACCTTCCAAAGTTCTAACAATTTAACAAAGGGCAATGTAAGTGAACTTAAATGAATGTTCGATCGATTCATGCCACCACCTCAACATGGTCCTAAATTCCGGCAAAGAATTCAGTGTTTCAAGAAAAATTAAAATTCGGAAGGTTTTGTTTTCAATATTTCCGACCGACTGCCAAGCAAATAGAATAGCTTGCTTTTCCTTTTTTAAGTTGTTGAACCCAGTACGTCACGATCACGATGTGTCAAAATATAGAAATGAATTAATGTGACAAAAAATACAACTTAAGCTACTACCTGAAAATTTTTACATCCAACGCCGCAATTATTTTTCGAAATCTTAAAAAATGGTTCAGTTGTTTTAAAAAATAGCTAAATTGGAAAGCTGATCAATTATCTAGTGTGCTATATTTTATTAATTCTTTTTCTTTTTCATGTCATCTAACCCTTCACGAAACCTCAAAAAATTCCGTAACCCCTACCGCTTTGCGATGGCTGATCCTCAAAGTTTCGATGAACATCAACAAGTTTGCTTTCGTAAACTTAATTCCGTAGTTTTTGCTGTTTGCCAATTACGACACGTACAAAATTCGTAGCTTTATAAATTCAAATATTAACTAAAAATAAAAAATGTTTCAACTGATTTCAAAAAAAGTTAATTCCGGTTTTCATTATTATGTTTTTTATCGGTTCCTTCCCTCACCGAACATCCAAAGCACCGTAACCCCTGCCGCTTTTTGATGGTCGATCCTCAAAGTTTCGAAGGACATCAATCAGTTTAATTTTTGTAGCTTTAAAAATAGCTTAGAAATCCAAATCAGACTCAAAAATTTTTGAAGAAAAATCTTTCAAGTGATTTTAAAAATAGCTAGAAAATTTTTGCCCCTTCCGCAAATCCAAATTTTTATTAAAAACTCTTTATTTTATTACCCTGTTTTCTCTACCTTCACCGAACATCAAAAGTACCGTAATCCCTCTGCCTGTTGGTACTCGAAGTGATCGCGGTGCGCGTACCCACGGCAAACATATCACTTTTCCGGGCAACAGCAAAGAGGGGTCAGCCTGCCCTCCCTACTTCTGAAAAGAAACCAATAAAACGGGCATTCTGAGAGGCCGAGGCCTAAAAAGGCGTCTGAAAGCAGCGTCCAAACAAATTATGGACACGAGGATCAGATGCTGGGGTCAGACCAAGAAGTTGTAAAATGTTGTGTTTCGCCAAAGGAAAGCAGTCGGGCGTGGTATATTCGCGCAGTTCGTCGCCGTCGTGTCTGCCAACTTGGGCTTGGGCTTAGGCTTCGGCTTGGCTTAAACTTAGGTTATGCTTGGTCTTGGGCTTAGGCTCAGGCCCAGGCTTGGCTTAGGCTTGGCTTGGACTTCGGCTTGGGCTTGGGCTTGGGCTTGGGCTTAGGCTTCGATTTAAGCTTCGGCTTAGGCTTAGGTTAGATTTAGGCTTACGCTTTAGCTTATGTTTAGACTTAGGCCTAGGCTTAGGCTTAGGCTTGGGCTTAGGCTTAGGCTTGGGCTTAGGCTTAGGCCTCAATTTTTATGTTTGCTTCTCGAGGCAACTTACTCCGTTTCGTTGTTTTGAGCTATTTTTGTCTGTCCATTTTAATGCATTCAACTTTGCCCTAACACTGTCCATTGTAGTGTTTTTGAATAGCGCATTTTTTAGACAAAAATCGGCAAAAAAATAACAAGAAGTGAATCAGGCAGGTTGGGTGCAGGGGCACCCAAAAACGTTCCTAAAATTGACGGTTCAAAAAAGGGCTTTTGAGGCTAAATTCATTATTTATAGGCGGTAAGTCAGGATTTTTTCGGGTTCTGAGTATTTATACGTACGGGTTAGCAAAAAAAAGTTTCGTAAATCTTCAAATACTAGCCTCTGTTTAATACTGTAATCTGGCATGAATTGCAGCCTATAAATTTAAAAATTCTTCACAACATTTTTTTCTAGATCTCATCAACTTATGTTATGAAATAGAGGCGATCAATAGTAAAACGCTAAATAAATTCCCCTCTTAATTAATATAAAATTTATTTTTACAAAAAAATGTTTTAGACAAAATTAAAAAGACAAGATTTTAGAAATGGGGATTACGGTCTTTTTAAAAGTTGCCTAAAGTATACAAAGTGTTTTTAACCTTAAATTTCTTTCGGTAAGATATCCCAAAAATTAACCGGACAAACATACCCAATCTTTCAAGCTCGTTTACACAAACCCCGTGTTTGCCCGGGATACCTGGAGGTTTCGGTGTTGATCACAGGGGCTGTTACTCTGAACCCATGCACCCGCTTTTCGAAGCTTACAGTAGCCAATGTATAAAATAGCCGCAGCTTTTCGGCCAGGGTATCCGAATTTCTATTGTGTTAAATACTATTTTAATTGCGTTGGTTAAAGGGGCTCAGAAGTCAAAATTCGTGCGGCGAGGATTGAACCTACGGGTCAAAAACGAAAGGGTCACTGCTGAGAAGTGCTAAAAACGTGATTTGATTGCGAGAAAACGTAAAATGTTTGAGAAAAACCGAATTCTTTTTGGGGCAAAAACGAAATTTTGAGTGCGCGGCGATTACATGTCGTAATGCCTTGTAAGGCACCCAATCTCTCGATCTCGGTGATCCTCTGGTCAATTTTCATAATTTAAAAGTCTGGAATGATCAAAATTCGTTGAGGATTCCAAAAATAGTATCAGCATTTTGAAATTCAAGCGTTTTCGCGTCCAAACGGAGGCAAAAAGTTTATGCGACGCGGTCGCGTTGCGGCCGCCTCTGGCTATTTGCCAGGAATCACAGCAGGGGGCCGTGGACCAGATTTCGGAGCCCCTTTAACGGGCAAACGGAGAGTTTTGTAGGATTAGCGTAACCGTCCTGCGTTCTGGTTCCAATTTTCTTGAAACACTCTTTTGGCATTCCATTAAAGACACCGCGTCCCGATTATCATTGAATTTCTTGAAACATTTTTATCTTCGACTTCCGCGAGTCCAAATTCGAAAATTATGTACAACATTTCGGGTTCCAAAACGACATTAAAAATTGGTTTGTTGCAGTACTTTGGGGGACGGTAGGACCTTTCGCTTCCCAGCCCCTTTAAAATTTAAAATGCAAATCGTACACAAATCAGCAAACCTAATCCTAAACCGATCATACAAGCAATTTCCCATTCACTTTAAACTTTTTTGAACCAACATAACCAACAGGTTCAGGAAGATTCAGCATCACTTCCGCTACCTCGCCAATTATTCCGGAAGCGTGCTGGAAATATGATAAAAACCGCAAACTAAGATAATAAAAAGTAGTGTAGCCTTCAACCGTTGAATTTTTATTTTCTAGGCAATTTTTAAAAATTAAAGTTTACGCTCTCCAATTGGCCCTTGATTTTTCTGAAACATTTTTCTAGGAGCGCCACAAGTAGAATATGCTCAGCATCAGCTCGGTACATTTATAAACTGTTTTGAAATATTTTTTAAAAAATCGAAAGGCGTAACGGCTTTCGTCTCCCGATTTACCCTGAAATTTTTTGAAACATTTTCCCATCAAGTCCAGCAAGTTCAGCATCAGTTCCGTTCCCTTCCAATGCACGTGGTCTGGGCAGGGTTACGGTAGCGAATATGAACCCCGTCTATGGCCCCGGCCATTCACCCGCCTCTAATGTTTACCTCGGAATTTGAAGGTCCAAAGTTTCGATGATCGGTTAGAGATGGTGGCCCCAAAAATGGCCATTCATTTTCCAGGTTTCTTTTGCTCCTTTGAAGCTCATTTTTGCGGTCTATTTGCCATCCAAATAGCCCGACCATCGACACTGCAAAACGCGCATTTTAGCAACCACCACCCGGATCTCTCCCTCCGTCTCTCCGCCCCTCTCTCTCTCTCTCTCTCTCTCTCTCGCTCTCGCTCTCTCTCGCCCTTTCTCTCTCGCTCTCTATCTCTCCCTCTCTCCCTCCCTCTCTCCCGCCCAGACCAAACTTTATAAAACGTGAAAAACAGGGCGGCCCGGGAATTTTGCCCGAAAAATTGAACCTCAGGGAGGTAGAGTAATTTTTAAAATGCTTTGTTAACTAAAATCGAAGAAATCATGGTATACTATGAACTAATTTCGTGACCGCAGCATTTTTTCTTTTATATTTTATTAACTTTGTTTTCTCATTTTTTAAAAGAAACTTTCCGAGCTTTGAAAACGAACAAATGGCACGACAAGAATTCAGCCTCGTAATTTTGCCGAAACATTTTTCCAACGCCAATCTATCCTTTTTAAGCACTTTTCCAGGGTTGTTCATCGCGTCCCCGGGCCAAAACTTTCGAAGCCTCTATCTCGGTGGGCAACGTACCTAGCGGGATGAAAATTTGTGGAGTTGTAGAGTAAAGCGAGAAGAACGTTCACGCAAAATTTCAAGGCGGTAACGGCTAAGGGACGCACGGGGACGCAGGGTGACGCAGGTGACGGGTGACAGCCCTGTCCCCCGTCCCTTGCGTCCCCCTACGTGCCCGGGCTTCTACATGCGGCTACAACTTTAAAATTTTGTGAGGACGTTCCTCTCCCTTTCCTCTACAACTCCACAAATTTTCATCCCGCTAGGTACGTTGCCCACCGAGATAGAGGCTTCGAAAGTTTTGGCCCGGGGACGCGATGAACAACCCTGCACTTTTCTAAAAAAAACTTTCTGCTGCCCGAGTTCTGGGAGGATTGCTGATCTCCGAAGCCAAAATCCATAAGTTTTTTTTTGAAACATGTTTATATATCCAAAAATACCAAAGTTCTTATCACAAGGTTTTGAATAATCTTTATTTTCTTATCAATGCGAGATCCAAATACCACTCGTTAATAAAATTTAGGATTTTTAGATGAGCGCCATCACATTGCCCGACTTGCCAAAGGTCAAGCCGCTCGGTTCGCGATTTCGATTCTTTCTGTTAATTTTGATATTCTTGTGCTTGACGGCAATTTGGTGAGTATTAAAATCACATAGCTATTTTATAAACGTTTAAATTATATACAAAGTTAGGTTTTAAAAATTCAATTCGAAAATTTAAGGGCCAACGTGTTGACGTACAACATTGCGATCGTGTGCATGTTTTCGAATTCGACCCACCACGCCGACCCGAAGCATCGAATTTTTACGAATGGTCAGGAATCGCTGCTGGCCTGCCCTCTCCTCTTCCTCAACAATCTCTGCTAGCCTGCCCTCTCCTCTTCCTCAACAATCTCTGCTAGCCTGCCCTCTCCTCTTCCTCAACAATCTCTGCTAGCCTGCCCTCTCCTCTTCCTCAACAATCTCTGCTAGCCTGCCCTCTCCTCTTCCTCAACAATCTCTGCTAGCCTGCCCTCTCCTCTTCCTCAACAATCTCTGCTAGACTGCGCTTATTCGTCAAAATATCCCGTTTCAGGCCAAAAGACGCTTGCCGTAGTTTTCGTATCAATTGGAACTATCGTAGCTACAGGCCCAGTCATCTACCTCGTCAATCGCTACGGGACCCGAACGATTCTGGCAGTACTTGGCGTACTGTCATCTGTCTGCACCTTCCTATTACCACTCACCATTAAGGTATATATTTACCGATTAAACTTTGTTAAATAAGGCTGTTTTTGTGGCTGTTGAAAGAAGTGATCCACGCACCATTAAACCTACGCCTTTCCATAGGCGGGCCAATTTTTCTTGAAGCATGCTATTTTTATTTGGCTTTTTGAAGGGGCAAACTTCCGATTTAATTGCAATTCAGGTTTTTGGAAACGTATAGCTTCCTTAGGCAATGTGTTTTTGGTGAGCTGTAAAAAAGGGTTTTTCAAAATGTAAATTTTGAGGTGAATGTTTCATCAAAATCGGAGGGCCTGTTAAAATTGTTGCGTTTAATAACTTGTTTTGTACATTATGAGATAAATAAAAATATCATCCTACTATATAAAAATAAGATTTTGAAACGTTTAGGTTTTTTGTTTGAAGTAATGTTTTGCAAATCCTCTACCCCAATCAAAACGTTGTGGGCTAATTTAGTGTCGCATCGACATTTGAAAAATGATGTTTTAAAAATCGTACGGAACAAGCCAAAATCTTGACTCGTTAATAGATTGTTTTTTGCGGGCTTTCACTAACTACTGGGTGTCCCAAAAAAGCACTCCCTCTAGCGGTCCAGGGGAAACTCAGATCAGGATGATTTTTATACCATTCGAAAGCCCGCGAAAAGGCGTGAAAACCAGCGGCCTTGATTTTTTAAGATTTATCCTCGTTGTTCCGATATTCAACGTTTTTCTAAAAAAACATATAGCTTTTCAATAGGAATTTCGCAATTAGCAATTAGCGTAAATCTGCCGCTTTCAGGGTTTTTGAAGGTGAAATTCGCGAATAAAAATACATAATAATATAAATAATCCTCTTTGTTTTCTCGCCTTTTCGAGAGCTTTCGATAGATACCTAAATGGTGAAAATCGGACGCGACTGCGAGCCGCTAGAGGGGTGCTTGTTTTGGGACACCCTGTAATGTTTCATAAAAATCGTTCTTTCGACTTGCCGAGTGCTGGTCTCGGAAAATGTTTCATACAAACGTAACAGTTAGGTAAAATTTTCCTAGATCTTTGTGGAAGTTCAATATTTATATTACTTTTTTATACAATTTTTTACCTGCCATTTTTCAGCACTCAATCGCCGCCTTCTACGTGCTGCGCTTCATCCAGGGGATTGCGCTCGCATGTAACATGCCGGTCGTTGGGTACTTTACGGAACGGTGGACTTATTATAAACAGGTATGATTTAATTTATTGGATTTTTCATTGAACAAAATCAAGGCAAAATTTAGTAATTAATAGATTATACATAACTAACAATAAAACCCAATTTAAACAACAAACTTGAATTTAGGTTAATAATGTCAGGCTAAAGCATTTGTTTTTATTAATTTTCTTTACGCACCACTGAATCTAATTAGTGAAATTAATGTTAAACAACCAGTTCTTTATTTTTATTTTCTAATCCAAACCTTTAATTTAAATCGATAAACAAATATTTTAAAATATTCCATATTTTTGAACCTCCCATTTAAACGCCAATTCTTTATTTAAAGCATAATATTTAGAATAATATCGTAGTTCTTTGATAGCTGACATTTTATTTGATGTCCTTCTGCTATAAAATACTGTTTTACTGTTTTATTTGCTCATTGAAAAAAACAATGAAACATAGTTTTCAGAAAGGCCTCACGGTCTCCGTGCTCGTCACCTACCTCCAACTCGCTCCCGCCTTCACGAATCCCGTTTCCGGGGCCTTATGTGGGGCTGCTGGGTAATTTTTAATTTTACGATGCGTGGCTTGAATCATTTATAGTTTATGGAAAATCTAAAATACAAATTATCATGCCACTTCCTGTCCTATATTAAAAATATGTTTAATCGAGGAGCAACTGCGCATTTTTTGAAACAGCTGTATTCTTGGAAGCGTTTTCGATCTCTAATGTCACTCTCGAAGTTGACAAAATTTTACCAAATAAATATTTTGTTTTTTATATTACTTCCCCGAATCCTACTGTATAACTTTTAAATCGTTATTTTTGTACGTTCTAGGGCCCCAAAAAAATACATCCAAAACTTCTTAGGGTTTATATAAATATGTTTCGGGAAAGGTTCAGTTCCAAAAAAAATATTTCGGGAATTGGCCTGAACCCAAATTTTCTAAAAATCATTTGTATTTAAGAAACTTAATCAAAAATGTATTAAAAATACTAATTACGATAACGTTTTCAGATGGGAAAGCATCTTCTACTTCCATGGCGGCCTCTCGCTTGGGCTATTTACGCTCTACAGTAAGCCGTTTTCAGCCAATAAATATTGATAGATTTGCTTCGTGGACCTTACCAAAAAAAAAATTAAAAATTCCTGAAGAAGCTTTTTTTCAAACCTACTTTCGCAGAATAGCGGGGTCCTGATAATTCTTTTTTTCAGTGATATAAACTGACAATGTTACAGTAAACGTCTTAAGGCTGCAAATTTTAGTTAAATAATGACTTTAAGCCCAATAGAAAATGCAGAAAAGTTTAGTTTCTACAGGGTGGCTGATAAGTATCCGGAATGACTTTAAAATTGCCCAACAAAGAAAGCTCCTTCAGTTGTCAAAGAAACATAGACACATAGGACATAAGACATAAGACACATCTGACCTGCTTAGAATTTTGGCACGCCAAAATCAAACTTCACTTTTTGCGGGCAGGGACGTTTTTCGCCGAACTTAAAAGACACATATCTTGAGATAGAAATGTTTTTGAAAAGTTTTCCCAACTGATCTTGCCATGGCTCCAGGCGCTGAGCATTTTGACATATTAAAAATCTGATTTGGTTGAGAGACCGGATTTTTGGGTTTTGCGATTCAGGCCATTTTTCGCAATCCGGGATTTGAGGACGAAGGATCTTTGGTCTGCCAATAGCCCGGATCAGAATCTATGGGATCTTTCTGTGTGTGGATTCATAAAACAGGAGCTACCAAACATAAAAATCGTCAATACAAACTATCCGCGTCGAGAATCTACCAAGATTTGGAACGAATTGTTTAGAAAATACCCGCGGCGCACAGCCATGTTTGGGCCGTCATAAATTAAATCATATATCAAAGCGGATGGGGGCTACATTGAAAATTTGTTACAAAAATGAATATTTAGCATCCACTTATCATAAAAATAAATCGCTATTAATAAATTTGGGTTTACTTTAGTCGCTGTAGCCCTCTACATTTTCCGGATACTTACCAGCCACCCTGTAGGTGGACGCGATTGTTCTGACATTAAGCCTCCCACCCTCACCCTCAATTTGAAAAATTTTTGAAACACATTTTCGCTCAAAACTTTTGATTTTCCAATATTTTTGACTACTTTTGCTTAATCCGTAAATTGTCACTCTTACAGTAATCTTCTTCCGGAACAACCCGGAAAAGCATCCGTTCGTCGGCCGGACCGAATCCGGAAAAATAGCACGCGGGAAGGCGCCCGGACCGTGAGTTTAGACTCTTACACTCTGTGTGTTGCCTGAATTCCTGATTTAAATTGGCATAGAAATATAAGCCGCCAGTCATCTAGATTACTGTGGTTATCATGAACACTGCGAAAGTCAAAAAAATCATGTTTCAAATACGTCTAATCATCACTTTTCAAAAGATCAGCTAGTTTTTTTAAAATTTGTTTTTATTCACCGTTAAAGGCAAGAGAAACGAACATTTAATTTAATTATAATTAAATTATTAAGTTTTGTAAATTTTTTAATTAAAAAGGCATAATCTAATTATATACAGTTTTTATGGCCCTTCAGAAAACCACCCGTCCCGTATTTGGCAATCGTGAAAACCATGTCGATTTGGGCTGTCTGGGTGGCGGGAATCGGAAATTTCATCGTGCTCGAGATGCTGTTCCTCTACACGCCCACCTATCTGAGCAAAGGTATCGTTAAATAACTATTGTCTTTAAACATTTATTAAAATAATTTAGAAAATGCGATCTTAAAAAAAGTCAGAAAAATTCGTATTTAAAAATCGTACTTTTGGAAATTTATGTTTCACAAACATTTGTTGTTACGTATCCTTTAATAGAATGCAATTTGAAAGGGCTGTGATTCAATTTGGATGCAAGATTGAAAATTGATGTTTCAGCTTTATTTATTCCTACGCATTTTAGAATCTAGTCAATTTTGGACGAATTCCCGCCATCTATTGTTAGATTTTCGTTTAATTCGATACAGAGAATTCGTCTCGATAAAATACTTTTATAATTAGAGTTTTAAGACGATCTGTCGGCTAATTTTATAATCTTTTCAACGCTAAAATTAATCCCTAATTCGAAAAAAATTTTGTGAAAATTGTTTTTTTGATTCCAAGCTTATGATGCGATTTTTCCGACTTATCGATTTCGGTTTCGATTTTTCGATATCGCTTTAGCAATATTTTGAAAGATTTAATTTGATGTGCTATTTATTCATAGCACATGAAAATGTTAGGAGATACCTCTATTATTTGTAATTTAATTATTACGTTTAACCAATTCGAGATTCCAATTGACGGCTTTAAAATGGATGTTTCACCGAAAATTTATGGCGGTGTTTTGCCTTGCTGCAGCTATTAAGCATGGACCCCTTCTCTACATAAATGGGAAAGATAAGATCGATTAGAATTAAGATTAAAAAAACATATCTAATTAAATGCGCTGTTTGGTTAATTAAAAGTCTAGATTTTCTTTTTTATTTTTATTGATACATCCATTAATTTCATGATTACTATTTGTCCACCTATTTTTTGCATTCCAGTTCTCGGGTTCGGCGTCTCGAGCACGGGGATCACGTCCGCCATCGTGCCAATAGCCCAGGGCACCGTGAAGGTGATTGCAGGTCGGGAATAGCTTATTTTAATCTAATAATATATTAATTATTGATTCAGATGGCTCTAAAACTTACAAAAACAATAAACAACATCAATAAAAAACCTGAAACACAGTTCTTCAAAAAAATTATGTTTCGTCGACAATAGACATTTCAAGTTGTGGGTGCTGATTAATAACTGCTCAAATGTTGCTGAGAAGCCAAATTGTTTGTAAAAAACTTTAGAAAATAGAGCTCTCCGGCCAGCCCCCGTGTTTTTTTTCCAAAAATGTGTTGTGATAAAAATTGACTACCCTCGCGTTCGAAAATCATGAATTGACGTATTTTATTGAATTCCAAAAACCACCAAACGCAGTTCAAAAATACATTAATGAGATTAAAGTGACAGCTGGAGGCCGCACATTAAAAAAAGCGAAACGGAAATTCGAGGATCTTAGAAAAAAGGCAAGCTTTATGCCAAAAATTTTGTTTCGAAATTTGTTACTAACGGCAGGTGCTGATTTCTCTATAACCAGGGTTCAAAAGCCGCTACGCGGCTTTTCACCCCTGGCCTTTGCGGGGGTATCTTTAAAAGCTGCTCACTTTGCATAATTCTAGCGAATTAGCGCCAACCTCTCAACTGAATAAAACAAAAGCGACCGAATGCGAGCGTGACAAAATCCGAAATGAGCCCCTTAACGGCTCGTATGCAAATGAGGACATTTCCATATGTTTTAAAAAGACTAAAATAAGGTATAAATCGTCATTTTCTTAAAAATCTGATAAGCGCGCAGTAATCTACGCCTTCGAATACCCCTAAATAGGTTTCAGTCGGCCCCTAAAACGCTTTTCCCGTCATGATATCTCAATAACCCGGTTTTTTCGAGCCTTTTATGCAAAGTGTCTACACACACACAAACACTATTTTTTATATATAGTAGGATAACAGTTTCGCACAGTATCGAAAGCACTTTCTAGGGAGGGTGAGCATGAGAGGGAGTGCGAGTGAGCGAAAGCGAGACTAAGCGAGAGAGCGAGAGAGGGAGGGACAGAAACCAATAATTTTTCCAGGCACGGTATCCGATAAAATCCACATCCCGGAAGGCATCAAAGTCCGTATCTTCAACACGGTCGGCTTCACCGGCGCCTTCATCGTGCTGTTGGTCATCTCCTTCTCCGGCATCAGAAATGGGGTGGGCCAAGATACATCATCGCGGGAATTAATACTGCAAAGTGCTGTTCAAAACGGGAAATTGCGAAACCCATTTTTAATTTTTGAGCATCGAAATTCCATTTTGTTTTGGTATTTTTTCAGCGAGTTTTGCCCCCAAATTTAAAATTGAAAAAGCTAGGGTTTTTCTAGTTCAATTTTTCACAACCATTTACTTTTGCTAAGTTTGACGCAGAAGGAAGTTGCATTAAATTCCACGACAATATTAACTTTTTAGGAGTTATCGAAACATGTTTTCGGAAAACTTACTTTTCCAATATCTAAAATTACATAATTCGAATTCTATAATTTTTGTAACGCAGATTTTCAGACAGTCTGCCTGGTGCTGCTCGGCGTCACCGGGGCGTTCATCGGACTGAACACGGGCGGGTTCTTCCGCGCTTCCCCCGTCCTCTCCAAGCAGTACACGTGGGTTTAACTGCTTAAGGCAATTTGTTAAAAAGCTTAAAGCCTTTTTGTAAATTTGTTAATATAAACCAGATTAAAATCTAAAGCTCCGGGAATCAATTATATAATATAATCAATAATATATAATAAAAAAGAATATAATAAAATAATAAAATATTTTAAAAAGTTTATATTTAGGTCATTCGTGACGGGAATGATATCCGTCTGCTTCTCAATCGCCATGCTAATTCTGCCGTTTTTCGTCGACGGCGTCACGGAGAACAACACGAGGGGCGAATGGGAGATTGTTTTTGTTGGCACGGGCGCCGTTATGGCAAGTATTTAATGATTTTGGGTGCTTCATTATTATAATATTTTTAATAACAATCAGCATAATTTAAAAAAATTAAAGAAATGTTTAAAAATTTAATCATTGTAAAAATTAAAAATGGTAAAAAGTAATAACAAACAACTAGCGACTATTTGCCATTTTGGAAGCTGTTCGTTTTAAATAGTGGGAGGGTGGAAAATTAAATAAAATATTTAAATATGGTTATCTAAATTTAAATCTATTCAATTTAATCTAAAATTTATATTCAGGAAATTAAACAATTTTCCTAAAAATAAGAAATTGGTGCTCGAAACGCAAAGGGACTGAGCTCTCCGAAATTTTTTTGAATATATCTCATTAGGTGAAACACAGTAGTTAGATAAGGCAAACCCCAAATTTATTAAAGTTTTCGGAAATCTATTATAATTAAACTAAGTCTCAGATACACTTTTTTTGAATTTTTCAAGTTGGTAAACTTTATAACAAACAAAAACGATATTAAAACAACTAAAAAATTAAAAAATCCAATATCCAGTTCATCTCCAACATCATTTTCGTGATATTCGTCCGGGGCGAGCCGTGCTGGTGGACGGAGGTCGGTGAAATATCGATTTTTAACTAGCTACATTACTTAAATTGAATTTTGAAAAATTTCAGTAAATCGTACATTCGAAAATCACATTATTTTGGTTTGTTTCATTAAAAAACTCAAACTTAAAATACATTTTCTAAGCTAAAAAATCGACTTCTAGACGTCAGCCACCGATCGGGTGGCCCCAGCGTTTGGTGACGCGGAGAAAACACCGGAGAATCCGACGGCGATGCATTAATGATACTTTTTGTATCGCGGATTTTGCATACATTTATTTGTCTGTGTAGAGAATAAAAGTTCCTATCGAGTAGCCCAGGAATTAACGTGCAAGATAATTTTTTATAAAGGCTTTTCGGTGAAACACTGTTTCAAGAAATCGAAATTTCAAGATATCTTGATTTACACAATCGATTTCTAAAACAAATTTCGAAAAAATCCCAAATTCACTGCAAAAATTGTCCTTTGAACAAACTCGTATTCCAATAACACTAAAACACCTCAGATTGCGTTGCACTAAAACCTCTACTTATGTCGATTTCTTGAAACATCCGATTCCAACCCCAAAAATCAAGACTTTCATTAAAATCGATTCTATTTGCATTGAATTTTCCGCTGCCTTCACAGTTCCTTTCAATTCAGCTAGCATAGATTTTCGAGGATTTTTACCCTGTATTCCTATCAGGTTGGAACGAAAGTTCTGTCGCCGAGATTTTGGAAGCCTGGCTAAAATCGTAGATAGCTCCATTCTGCACATGCGATATGTCATTTTGTAGCTCTCGGTCTGAATGGTTCCGGGAGGAGGGTCTTGGACCCTGAAAATCAAGAACGGCCGAGATATAGGCCCAAGAAGATTTTTCAAAAATTACGAGAAAGTGTTTTTGCAAGTTATCTCTGCATAGAGCAATTTGCATGCGATACCTTTAACGCCAAACGATAGATCTCGAGGAGTAGATATCAATAGATGTTGAGGTCGTCAAAATCGGACATCGGATCGCGGAGATATGACCCCTTGAAATTTGGACCATTTCTTAGAACTTTCCTCGAAATCCCATACATTTTGTCAAAATCCACCCGGCGCGTCCAAAAATAAAGCAGGAATTTTCGGCCCCTGCCCCCCAAATGTATGGGAATGTATGGGAAATCGAGAAAAGTTCTAAGAAACGGGCCAAATTTCAAGAGACCATATCTCGGCCATCCAGCGTCCAATTTTGATGATCTCAACATCTATTGATATCTACTCCTCGAGATCTATCGTTTGGCGTTAAAGGTATCGCATGCAAATTGCTCTATGCAGAGATAACTTGCAAAAACACTTTCTCGTAATTTTTGAAAAATCTTCTTGGGCCTATATCTCGGCCGTTCTTGATTTTCAGGGTCCAGGACCCTCCTCCCGGAACCATTCAGACCGAGAGCTACAAAATGACATATTGCATGTGCAGAATGGAGCTATCTACGATTTTAGCCAGGCTTCCAAAATCTCGGCGACAGAACTTTCGTTCCAACCTGATATAATCCCGTTAATAACCCCAAAAATTCCACAATCATACTAATTCCGAGGGGGTTGTTGACCCGAGATTAGTACAGGCGTGTACTCGAGAGGGTGAGTGCCCATCGTCCACTCATTCCACACACCGGAAATATCCACTCGACGCACAGTGGGCAACGGCAAACACGGCAATAGCCTCGGTATGAAACTTGGGATTGTCAAAAATTTTATGTTCCAAATTTTTTCATGGCCAAAGACCAGATAATCACGTTATTATATTGATGAGTCCAAATTCACCAGAAACATTGATGACTTATATTGTTTTGTTTCATATTACCTCCATTTTGAAAACAGTGAATATTTTTTATTTTTGCTGATTTTATTTTCATGAATTTTTTTAAATTCGAAAATTCGCGACTTTTTTGTATGTTTCATCCTCAATGTTCCTGCAAAACAAAATTTATGAAGTAATTTAGCAAGATCAATGATATCCTGTCTTTTATCTATGCTATCCTAGCAGAGATTGTTGAGGAAGAGGAGAGGGCAGGCTAGCAGAGATTGTTGAGGAAGAGGAGAGGGCAGGCTAGCAGAGATTGTTGAGGAAGAGGAGAGGGCAGGCTAGCAGAGATTGTTGAGGAAGAGGAGAGGACAGGCTAGCAGAGATTGTTGAGGAAGAGGAGAGGGCAGGCTAGCAGAGATTGTTGAGGAAGAGGAGAGGGCAGGCTAGCAGAGATTGTTGAGGAAGAGGAGAGGGCAGGCTAGCAGAGATTGTTGAGGAAGAGGGAGAGGGCAGGCTAGCAGAGATTGTTGAGGAAGAGGAGAGGGCAGGCTAGCAGAGATTGTTGAGGAAGAGGAGTGGGCAGGCTAGCAGAGATTGTTGAGGAAGAGGAGAGGGCAGGCTAGCAGAGATTGTTGAGGAAGAGGAGAGGGCAGGCTAGCAGAGATTGTTGAGGAAGAGGAGAGGGCAGACTAGCAAAGACCATTTGCCCCGTTTTTTTGGTGTTTTCCTGTTGACGGCGGTGATCGTCCTTTTCGTGTGGTTGCATACCGGAAATGTGAAAGGGACGATCCGTCCCTTTCCCTTCCCTTTTTCTTCCCCTATTTCCCTTCCTTTTCTTTCCTTCCGATCTATTCATTCCCAGGCCCCCTAAATCGTGCCCGCAAACATCCCTTCTGCCTGCCCCTCCCTTGCCCATCACTACCCCCGCGATCCTATACCCCAACCGTGCAACAACAATTTTTTGTGGCTATCTGACTTTTTGTAAAAATTTCCTCTTATCTTTTAAAATAAAGAATTCAGACAGTCTTTTTGGGAGTTTTTAACTTTCAAGAAAATTGTATTCCTATTGATTTATGTTCTTTCATCTAGAATAATTATTTTTTGGTTCAAGAATTCCTCAGAAAATTTCCGATATTGGTACCTTTTTGAAACGTTTAATTTTTACCTAAAAATTCTAAAGTTCTTTTTGCTACAGGTTCCTCCTTCGAAACAGTGGTTCCTATTTTATTTAATTTTCCTCACTGTTTTTCTTAGCTTTTTTGTTCGCGAAATTTTAACTGGCATTTTTTAGACGCAATTTTTTAGGATCTACCGAAAAGGTTTACATTCTTCAATTTCCATTTTATTTAAATTTAGATTTTTATATTGTTTTTTTGCGCCAGGTTTTACATAAAATCCTTCTATACAAATTTTATATAGCTTTTGTTGCACATTTTCATCGTAATTTTCAGCATCGTCCAATTTTTAGGATTAAAAAAATATCGTTTCACGGTATAATTACTAGTTTTTGATGCCAATTCGCGCGGCGGTGATCCCCTACCCCATGCTAAAAAGCGCGCTTCCGCCCCGCCTCACCCAATTTTTGTTGGTGACAACTGACGCCCATTATACCGCCAGACTCAAACGGCCCAGGCTGTGTGTAGAGCATTGACCTCGCTTTTGGCGAACTGCCAGGGCTTTAATGTAGTTTATTATTTGTTTTTAACGTGAAAACTGTATAAAAATTAGCTTTTAGATCCGTAAATACCCCCAAATAAACCTCAAAACGATTTTGAAAGATAAATATCGCAACCGAGATTGTGAGAGCAGTGGCAAAAAATAGGTTTCGTTGATTTGGCGCTTTGTTAAAACACGTTTTTTGGAATCAACGCGGCCGTCCCTTCGGTACAAACTCGTCAATTTTCGAATTTTAGACTTTCTTGACTGTTTCTCGGGTTTGTCCCGCCTTAAAATTACCTGAAACAAGTTTAGAGGTTTGCTGTTACTTAAAACCATTTTGCGCGCGGTGAAATACAATTTATAATAAATAATAAATAATAAAAGTTTAACAATTTATCAGAAAAGAGCTTTATTATAGGTGCTAATATATCAGTGTTATTAATTATAACATATTGGAGAGACTAATAATTCGGACATAATTTAAGTTATCCGCTCTTAATATTGGGTTAAACACTGCCTCGTAGCACTTGCTTGCTTGGTAAAACATTCATTTTTTCGGTTTCATTTCCTTTTCTATTGACAAATCCACTCACATCAAATCTTTATAATTAAATTATAGAATTATATAATTTTTGTATTTATTATAAGCTTATTTCGTCACCTTCATTGATTCTTCTAGATGATTTACCTGCACTTTTGGACGCCAGCACTAGAGTTAATTGCGTCAAATTTGACAATCTAATTGCTGAAACATCATTTTTCAAAGCTTCTGGAGCAAATATTGTCACTCGATCCGTGGCATCGTAAAATTTGAACCACTAAAAAATGCGAGTTCATGACAGCATATTTTTCTGTTTGAAACCCCTGCTCAAAATTGTATCCATTTTTATGGGGAGGCTGAGGCTCACGTGCGGCGGGGCCAATTTTCGCCAGGTTGCGTGCAAAAACACCAACAACAACCTGTGTGATGGGATGTGATGGGCACCGCAGCGCGTTGTTTTCTCTGATTCTCTCTCTCTCTCTCTCTCTCTCTCTCTCTCACCTCTCTCGCCTCTGTCCAACCCATCACAAAATCGCTCATTTTTGATGGGATAAATGTTTCAAATTTCTGGGTTTAGGGAAATTGATTGATCCATTTCCAGGCGGTCTTCGATTGTTTGCTGTTTTCAGCAATTTTTTGCCGTCTAAAATAATTTAGAACTGCTCAGAGTTAATTTATGTATTTGGGCTTACTTACCAACTAGCGTGTATCCATTTGTATATATATGTTTCATGCCTTTTCCAGAGAAAATATTTTTTGATCCTATTAGTGGTCTCCAAATTCGTCCTGAGAAGATGCTTTGCTTTTTGTCAATAGTTTCTTTAAATCTTTAAATCTTTATCTTTAATTATTTGAATCTTTAAAGCGTTAATGTTGTTCCTACTCTGCCATGTAAAAATTAACCTGTCGACGCCGATCTATAAAAACCCATGTTTCAAAGCTTGTTCAATAAAAAATGTTTTTGCTGTTATTAATGCGGCACATCTGGAAACGTTTGATACATGTCAAAAATTATTCCTGGGAAATGTGTGCTAAATTTTGTTAAATTGTTGTGTTTTAAAAAGTTTAGTAAAGCCTGCCCGAGCGTACTCGCCCAACCAAAGGTTCAGTTCTATACAAAACGACGTTTTATAAATTGTCGAAAGAAAATGATTTTCTGATTTTTTTAATTGGATTTTTATTCTAAAAATGTTTAGCTTGGCTCAATGTTAAATGGAATTATGGCCCTAATTATTTTACAATCCTTTAATTAAAAAGTTTTTGTTTCTTCTAGTCGATGCAAAAAAATCTAATCAAATGTTTCAGCTTTTTCAATGCCGCATTATTTTTTACGGTCATTAATCTTCTGTACCCTGCGTAGCGATCAAAAATGGCGCATTCACGTGTCATTTGCCTCAATTTTCGCGGGGCGGCTGGGGGTGTGAATAGGCGCTGCCACAGCTGTCGCCCCACCACCAAAAAGCGCATATTATTTGCGTAAACACGTTGCGCAATGCGATAGCCGCAGCACGATACTCCATTAATCAAAAAGATATTTACGACCATTTTTTAAATTCTGGAACATTTTTTGTTGAAAAAATTCCGTGTTTTATCTATTTATGGTGATCGCGTTCCGGCGGAGGGTTTAATTTTTTATCCGTCCGGCGGCTCAAGTCTAGGAAACCCCCCCAGCCGACTTTTCAACTTTTCTACCTACCTTATTTTTATTTTTCGCTACTTTTTTCGACTGAACTGCAATGTAGTCCTACTAATTAGCCTACGGCGGACATTTTGGTATACTTTAGAGCTCGCTAGCACAAAAGGGGGCCGAGATACAAAAGTTGGCGCCGGCTGGGGGGGGACGCGGGGGGTTTCTAGACTCTTACCCCGTCCGGCTTCGAATGTAGGAGTGCCCAGGACCGGGCAAGGCACCACAATGGGTTTTTTCCTATTAGGCAGGATTTTCTAAGTTTGATGTTTCATATAAAAAACATAACATAACCTCGCAAAAGCTTTTATTATATCAATTTCGTGGTCTTTCGTCCAGTCGAAAACTTTCTTGCATTTTACTTAGCCCGCACCGCAGCGGCGCTGCCCATTGCATCGCGTAATCGTTTTCACACGGTCACGCCCGGGAATTCTGATGTTCCATGTTAAAACCTATAGTGAGACTTTTTGCGATCCTTATTAGGCTATCGATCGTTTGGCGGTTTTCATTGCGTTTTATTGAAAACTGTGCCTGTACCAGAAACGTAGTTTAATTATGATTTATTAATGCTCACGCTCACGCTCAAACTCCACAAAGCGGTTTTAATTTAATTTACAAGATTGCATGTTTCACTCACGGAATAAAAATGTTCATCGATGATTAGGTCTAATCCTGATGTAAAGAGTAGTCTTGAAATCGTAAGCGTGGTTCCAAGACCATCATTTTGTTTTTGCATCTTTTTTATTTTTCTAGTAATTGTTTTATTTTTATTCTTTTTTCTTATTCTCTTTCCCGACCTGGCTTCGATTTTTAATTAAGTAATTTAGGGAAATTGCAATACTATTTCAGTGAAACACATCCAACAAATTTGCTCAAATTCAAAGATTTTCTCAATTTGCTTGCTTCTCTTGGGTTTCTCACCATCTTGCTGTTTCCATTAAAGTGCAAACGAACCGATTAAAGTAATTTTTTAGTGAAACACTTCCCCAGAAAACGCCTCGAAAATGGTGTTCATCGAGACGTTCCTGGGCATGGCCCGGTATTTATCACCGCGAAACGACGACGACTGGTCCGATCGGATGCACTATCTCTACACCCCGAATATTCTGCTCGCCTTCTCGATTCTCGTCTCGTTCAAGCAGTTCGGCGGCCGCCCCATCGAGTGCATGTTCCCCAACAAATTTCCCGGATCTTGGGAGCAGGTGAGAGTGATTTTAAGGTGCTTTTGCATTATCGGGGAATCAACTTTGAACAGTTGTTACAAAAACACTTAAACGTAAAGTATACAAATTTTTATGGAAAAATACAAAAAAGTCGATTTCCGAGCAAAGATGGACGTTTTGACCAAAATTTCGACTAAAAATTGTTTTTCTAAATTTTTTATTGTGTTATTCCTGCAATTTGCTAAATTTTACTAAAAACACTATTAAGATAGTTGCGATTAAGTTAATAAACATTTCTAGAATTAAACAAAAAATTTCGCCCTCCCCGATAATGCGAAAGAACCCGTCTTATAGTTATTTTCTCTAGTTCGTAAATAATTTAATTTCTATAACGCCATAAATACAATCAAATAAGTATCTACAAATAAGCTTAACAGCTGTTCAAACTAGAGAATGTTTCATAAATGTTTTTATACAAATTTTAATTACCTAAACTAGTACCACGTGAAACGATGGATGAATTTTTACCTAATAACGAGATTTTGTTCCTACTGTAATTGAAGTCTTTTTGGCGAAATTTAATTTGTTTAATCGTGCTTGAAATCATCAAAAAGATGATCTTCTCCGGCAGCAAAGATCCGACGTTTTTTAATTTTGGTAAGGTTTTTATAGAGCTCGCATCTTGAGGCGATACCATCTGAATTTCAAAAGTTTAAATCACCAAATTTATATGAGCTTTTTAATCACCAATTTTCTAAATTAAAAACGCTTTTTTTAAATTTAGAAAAATAGCTGATCATTCGATTTTCAATTAAATATGTTTCAATCTCACACAGATTTTGGCGCTCACGGTCGATGATTAATTATGGAAGGTACATACCGTGTGCGCCTGTTTACCACACGAAACACGCAATTTTTTTAAAAATTACGCGTTGCGAGCTCATTAGAAATAAAATTAACAAAAGTGAAAGATTTCCTAAATAGCATGAAACACTTTATTTTAATAAAAAGATTTTCTTAAATCTCCATCTTGTAAATTCTGAATTTTTAATGTTATTTTTCTATTAAAAAAAAATGTTTTATAAATTTTCCTTCCACCGTAATTTCTGATTCTATTCAATTATGCTGTTGGTTGATTACTTTGTTCCAGTACGCCGAGAACTACTGCTGGTCCCAGGACACGTATTTCGTCGAACCCGACAAACACGTCGAGCAGATGACCCTAGAGGAACGGTAAGGGATTTTAGAAGGTACTTTACATTAAAAAACCACAAGAATATTTAATTCAGAAAATATACTGCTGATTATTAACTCGGACTATCACTAATTAGGGCCTCGAATTCTAAGGGCATTTTGAAAATAAGTGAAACCGCGAAATTTTTCAATCGAAATTTATACCCAATTTTATCTGTATTCTATAACGAAAAATTGCCGTTCAATTTAATTTGGCAAACACGAATTCTACCCAATACCTCCCCATATTTGACAAGTCACAAATTTTAGTGTAAAAAAATATCTTCTATGTTCATTAACCCATATCAGCTGCGGCTAATACAAATTTTTGATGAAACTTATTGTTCCCACAAAATTCAAAAGCTTTAAAATACATTTGCTGGTGCATTTTTCTAGATACGTATTTTTTAAACCATTTGCACTGACTTCCAGGTCATCCCATACGCGCCAGCTCTCCTACTACCAATGGGTCCCATTCTTCCTGCTGCTCCAAGCCGCGTTCTTTCGGGCCCCGAGTCTACTGTGGAAATACGTGTCTAACCATTCGGGTGGGTTAAACCTCGTGATTAATTGATAATATTTTAATGCTAATGACAATATTTTAAATTGGTTTAAGCAACAAAAGATTTTTACCGAATTGTGCCATCGAGAAAATTTTTTTTAAGCCTTGGCCATTTTCACGATGAAACATGCTTTCCTAAGAGTGCCGGTTTTTTAAACCCCATTAAAATTTAAATTATTTCTTCGTTCAATTGGCCGATTGCGATTTTTTTCGTAAAATGGTACCGATTTTCTATTTAAAATTCAGCCTCTGAATCAATTGAAGTATTTTATTGAATAATGATGGCATTATCTAAACGAAATCAAAGCACAACAACACCACTCGAAGTATTGCAGCGCAACGAAAATTTTTTTAATCTTTATATACCGAAACATATTTTTCTTGGGGTGCCGGGTTTCTAAACTCCGCTTATTTTTTTATCGACATTTCTTTTGTATTCGTTTGTTGTTCGTTTCGTTTCTATTCTTAATTTGTAGTTACGCTATACTGCATTTTTATTAATTATTTAACTTTTTAAGAATATTCTAAATCGGATTTGGAAGAAGACTGCTAGAATATAACACACTGGCGATGATCAAAAACTTCTAGGCTGGTCAGGAAAATAAACCCATTTTTAAAAACAGCGCTGCATTTTGAATTCTGAATCCTGGAAATTTCACAGATTAAATTTGTTAAAGGGCTGCCGACGGCATGTGTCGATCCCCCCTCATCAACAAATTGGCAAGTAGCCAACAGGGGAGAGAACGCGCATAGGGGAGAGGCGCAGAGACATTTTATTTTCCGCGCCTAACCGATTCGCTATGCCGTCGGCATCCCTCTAATAAAACTCGTATTAGGAAAAGCATTCGTACAGTGACTGACGGCGTCTGTAGCGATTCTTTAGTGCCGAGCAGTGAAAGATTTTTTTCTCAAGCGGTCCTTTCTTCTTATTTCTTTCATCACTGTTATTTAGGCGTAATTACCGGTTTAAATCGTCTTAATAAAAAATAAAAATGGGGAATCAATTTCATGGAAAATAAAATAGTTTGACGATTTACTTGGATTATTTTTCAATGAGTTTTATCTAGAAAAAGGCTTCATCTTTTGGGAGGGTAATGCGCCCCGTGAAAACCGCAATAAAGTGAAACATTTTTTCCGACAACAGGTTGGCCACCACACCTTAAATTTCTAATATTTATTTAATTAATTAACAAAATTTGTAAATTTTATTAAATCCAGGAATCCGCATCCACGAGGTCGTCGAAAAGGCGATGGATACCGGGAATGTTGACGAAACTGTACGAGAACAAAATGTCGTAGTGCTGGAGAAACACCTCAAAAAGGCACTTCGATTTCAGCGGCGGATGGACAAGAAAAAATGTGGGTTTTGTGCGGGGGATGGGATTTAGTGGAATTTTTTTTTATCAATTCCTCTTTGCGTGAAGCCATTGATTATTTTTTTTATTTAATAACTCATTTTATTTAACCATTAATGAATAAGTAAAGAGACGTGCGAGAGAGGGAGAGAGTGAGATGGAGCGATAGAGAGAGAAAGAGAGACAGAAAGAGCGAGATAGAGAAAGAAAGATAGATAGAGAGAGTGAGAGAGAGAGCGAGAGAGAGGGAGAGAGAGATAGAGAGAGTGAGATAGAGAGAGAGAGAGAGAGAGAGAGAGAGAGAGAGAGAGGGAGAGAGAGGAGCCTATAATGTTATAGAATTCTAATTCCATTTTCCAGGTGATAATCCATCGCACATTCTCCTGCCTAAACTTCCAATATTCCTCGAGCTACATCTCGGTCGTCTACATGTTCACCAAGGTCATCTACCTCGGCAATTGTCTGCTACAGCTGTGGCTCATGAATTAGTGGGGAATTTTTATTATGAATTTTGACCGAATCCACAAACTGTTTATGATCCGGCAAGCAAGAGGCTCTATCGGCCCGAAACATTTTTTCTAAACATTCCTAAATTTAGTTTCTTGAAAACGGATCGATATGGAATGTACGGTATCGACGTGCTGTATGATGTAATTACGGGTGTACGGTGGGAGACAAGCGGATATTTCCCGAGGACATCTGTCTGCGATTTTACGGTAGGCATGCTAGCAGAGATTGTTGATGAAGAGGAGAGGGCAGGCTAGCAGAGATTGTTGAGGAAGAGGAGAGGGCAGGCTAGCAGAGATTGTTGAGGAAGAGGAGAGGGCAGGCTAGCAGAGATTGTTGAGGAAGAGGAGAGGGCAGGCTAGCAGAGATTGTTGAGGAAGAGGAGAGGGCAGGATAGCAGAGATTCTTGAGGGATACGGACGCATTCTTTGCTCAATATTCTAGATAGTCGCCGGCGAAGAAAGCCGCCGTTCCACGAAAAACACAATTTTTTCAGGTTCGTCAAGTGGCAAACATCCAAAAATACTCGGTTCAATGCGTGCTGGTGATCAACATTTTTACCGAGAAAATCTTCATCGTCCTCTGGTTCTGGTGAGGCTTTATTCGATGTTTTTTGATTGAACTATTCTTTTTGCTGAGCTAAATTTACTGTTTAACCGGACATGATAAAAGTTAGGTTTCAAATGCCGACTTACAAAATGTTAATGGAAATTTGAAAATTAAGTTGATTTCATAATTTTCCAATTTCGGAATCAGGAAAATTATGATGTTTCAGAAAAAAAGATAAATCCCGCAGTTCGGGTCGGGATTATCACTCGCGACTACGGCGCTCCTGTTGTTCAGAAAAATGTTTCAAGAACCTCCAAAAATTCAGCGATTATTATTGAGCAAATCCCCATTTGAAAATTCGTTCCAGTTCGTGAAAATCAGCTGTAAAAAATAAATTAATATTGTCTAATTTCTTTATTTATTTAGGTATCTACTCCTCCTGTCTGCCTCGCTATTTACCGTGCTCTATTGGGTGATATTGCTATCGTTCCCCTGTTTCTCGCGATGGTTCGTCGGCCAGCACCTTGAGCTGAGCAGCCTGGGAGGGTTTTCGGCGAGAACGAAAAGTGAGGCGGATTTGATCTCAAAATTATATCTTTTTTTACTTCTCGTATGCTGTAAGTTGCAAAACATTTTTTTGTAGGATTACTGAGAGGAACTGTAGAAATCTGATTACTTTCGAAATGCGGAAAATCATAATGTCGACATTTTAGAATGCCGAAATTTCATAATTTCTTAATTTTGATGCGCAAATCTCCCGGAACAAATTATCCAAAAAAATATCGAAGTTTCGACATCGTGAAGTTTCGGCATTATGATGGCAAATAACTTTCTCACACACGCTCTTCCAACGCCTTCTCTCTCACTATGCCTCTCTCGCTCTCTCCCGCTCTCTCCCGCATTCTCTCTCTCCCTCAGTCTCACTCTCGCTCTCTCTCGCTCTCTGTCTCTCGCTTTTTATGTCCATCTAACTAGCAAGCGTAGCAAAATGCGTATTAACCCATCGTCTCTTTCCCTAAAACCCTAAATTCTCGAAACATCTTTTTTTCAGAATGCCGAGACGATCTCTACAAATTTGTCCACGGCTACCTCCATCGCGATGGCGTCTTTGTCCTAAGAATGGTATGTGATTTATACACTTTTAACAATTACATTTTACTTTCAAAAAACCTGATTACCAAAAATAGGGTTTCAAAATCAATTGGTTAGAAACTCTGTGTGCGACTAATTCAGCTAGAAATTCTTGTGTGCCAAAAATAACCAAACCGTAAAACCAATCAACCCTTAAAAAATTCTGAAGCATGGTATTTCATTTAATCGGCAAATTAAGTTTAATGAAATTTTAGGTTTCCCCCTAGCAAAAATATGTTGTTAGAATAAAATAGATTAGGTGAGCGCGGGTAACCGATAATAATGGTTTCTTATTTGTCTTGTGCTTTAATCTTTTTTCCATATCCAAAGCATGCCATTAAATAATTTCCATTTTCTAAATTGTTTAATTTAATCGGCGCGTTTAAATCAAAATTTAGGTATCCTCTCACGCCGGCGTGATTTTCACGACGGATTTAGTGCTGGCCCTGTGGAAAGAATTCTACGGAATCGAACAGAAGGTGGGAAAACCAGATTTATTTATATTCTTATTTATATTAGCATTTTTTATAAAATGCTTTTAATAATTATGCAAATGTCATCGAGTTTTAGATGCTGGAATCGGACCCGGAGAGCTCCGTCGACCCTGAAGAACAGAATCAGAAAAATCTGAATTTAAGGTAGGCTTGGCAGGAAGCGACATTATTAAAGGGATTGTGAAGGTTGTAAATCCATAAAATGTAACTTAATTGGCTATAAATTGATAGACAAATTTTAACGTGTAATCTGAAAAACCGGACATTTTTGATGAAAATTTATGTTGCAAAAATTGACATAGTTTTCGCACTATTATTTTAGCTATTCGTCTTCGATTCATGCAGGTCATCGTCATATAAAAAATCATAGTTTATTAATTAAAAATGTACACAAAGAGAGAGAGAGAAAGAGAGAGAGAGAGAGATAGAAAGAGAGAGAGAGAGGGAGAGAGAGAGAGAGAGAGAAGAGGCAATTCCATTTTCAAACTTCTAGACAACGCCGGGGGCGCCGGGTGAAGACGCTGGTAGATGAGGAAGGGTTGGCCGCCCACCTAATCCCGGTGACCCAGGGCCACCATGACGATGATGAAGACAGCGCAACGAGCACAGACTCGGAAAAGCGTGCCGAGCAACGGACAAGGTAACCCCGCACAGGTATGCCATCCCCCACCCCCCGAATGCTTCAACGGCCCTTTAAAATGTTATGTGTGAAAAAATAGGTTTCAAAATCTTTCAAATTTGTTTGTATGAAAATTGTCATAATCACTACTGTTGAGTCATTTCCCAAAAAACTAAAATATTTCTAGAAGGTTTTTTCGGAAGACCCAAAATAGCTCTTTACCGGTAGTATCCATTTTGCTAATATTGATAAAATTTTTTTAAATTTTAAAGTGGTATAATTATAAAATAAATCTAATTAGAAATTAGAATAATGTTTCTGAACTGTTTTTACTATTCATAAGAGGAAAATTTAGAAATTCATGAAAAACACTTAAATGTTCGGTTTTCGAGCAAAATGTCGAACTTTTAGAACTTTGTAAGATTGAGCTTTATCTATTTTTTTTACTCTCTATGGCAATTTTGCGCTTTATTGATTTCCTGGATTTGCAGTTTTTTGGTTGAATTAAAAATGTTTCACATAACTTCAAAAACAACGTTTTTCCATTTAGCTGTGATATTAGCAAACTTTATTTCGGCACTTTGATACGTTAAATAAATAAGCTTTTTGGTGTTAAATTAATTTCTACATTAAAAAAATTTATTAAAGTAATTAAACTTTCGACGCGACAAAATTAATTCAATTAAAAAGCGGCTTATATCATTTTATTATAATTTAATTTTTAATTGTTTGAAGTATTTAAAGCATTTATATATTTCACGTAATTTAAGTTTTATTTTTTAAATAGGAATTCTTAGGCAATTAAATAATAAAGGTTCTCCAGAAAATTTAAATTTAACAGGTAAAGCTTGAATTTTGCCACGCTCCTAATTTCTCTCCGCCACCGTACTAATGATATAAATTGAAAATAAATGCTTTATATGTTTAAAGTTTTAGAAGTTTTGAAAAATATATATTTCAAAATTGCAGAGCTCGAATCCCGACGCCAGAGCTGTTAGAACGCTTCGACTCTCCAAAACCCCGCTCGCCAGTGGAGCAACGGTACGAATTCGAGGAAAATCTCGGATTCCGCGACACTCCAGATGACAATACGGTACCCAATTCCTCTCGCGACTACGATTATGACCAATATACGGATAGGTATTAGACTACAAGTTAATCAAAAAATTTTTGGTCGAAAGAAATCTCAAAATTTTTGGTACTTTAGCATTATCAGGGGGAACAACTTTTTTTTCTTAGGCTCCAATTTTCTATATAAGTAGACAAATTGTTTTTCAAAAACAATTTTTTCCTCTGTTTTTGATTGCTCCAAGACGCAAAAAAACGCAAAAATTTTTTATTTAAATACAAAAAATGACGACCAAAATTTACTATTAGTATTAAGATGCTATATTATTACATTAGTAGGCATTTTTGCCTCCGAAAAAATAGTCCCCCCCCCCCCCGATAACGCCAAAGAACGAAATATTCAACTTTCGATTTATATATTTTGATGTTTCAGCTAGATCTAATGTCTTTTTCGATTTCTAATTTCTATTTTCCTGCGTCTGTTGAATTTTTTTATCTTATCTTCCTAAAATTAGCGAAACCACCCGTGTACAATATCAATGTTTCATCGAAGTACATCATTTTCTTTTTGTGGAAAATATTAATCTTGTCCTTTCCATTTGTTTCCTTGTCGCAGGCCAGTAATCTAGTTTGTCGCTCTCCTTTTTATTGTTAATAATTTTGATTTTAATCCAGTCTTAATTATATGTATTTTGCTCATCATTCTCCTCCCTGCCCCATTCACTTACCATGCATTTACAAAATAATATCATAATTCCGAAAATTCACTTTGACGCCGCCCCGCATTTTGTAATACCTTGATGCTCCTCGAGATTTATTAAATTCTTGTATTTTGGGGATTTGAATAAATATTTATGGGACCTCAAGCCATTTAAATGGCATAAAATCGCAAAAATGATGACTTGGATTCGGCTTAAAAATTCATGTTACAAGCCAGACCCAAAAAACACGTCGGCCACCGATTTTTTCGGGTCCGCAAAATCGGCAAATAATTTGGCGATTGCGCTGCCGCCGTCGCGGGACCGCTTTCCCAAATCTAACACCTAAATTGGACTTTATTACTTAAATTCATATTTTTTTTGGTGCTTTTGCATTATCGGGGGGGGGAGTCACTGTTTTACCGATTGTCCTGGTGTTCATTTTTTCTTATAGAAATCGAGGCGATATTCCTAAGCTGTTTTTACTATTTCAAACCATAAAAACTTTAGACATTTGTATTGAAAATACCTTAATGTTTATTTTGGAGCCAAAAAGGCCGACTTTCGAGCCAAAATTTCGTATTCCTAAAGCTTTTCGATAGATTTTACCCCCTGAAATATCGTTACATTTTACTAAAAGATACTCAAAAGCCAAAACTTTGAAAAACTAACGACCAACCACCGATAATGCAAAAGAACCGGTTACTTAAATAATTTCAAATGAGGTAATGTTGAAAGTGGCAAAAATTCAATGTATCATATTACACTTACATCCCAAAAATTTGGCATACCATCATCGTCCTTGCGGCGATCCCAATCATTTGTCGGTGTCTAAAATCATAAAACCATTAAAATAAAAATTTTAATAGCTTAATAAATTCAAAATCATTGTAAATTTTATAATAAGTTAAAATTAAATTAATTAAAAGAACAATTTAAAAACGTACCTCATCGAGAAAGGGATTCGCGTGCAACCGGGCGAGCCCACCGTAACTTACCGGCAAATTGTAGGGGTAGATGAAAGGGTCAGTTTGCTGGAAAGTTGCGGAACAATGTTTTGTCTAAGCGTATAATATTTTACAACAAGGATTTATAAATGGATTGTCGAGATCTTGTCTAAAAAAACACTTGCATATTACTAATCCTACTACATATAAAAAAATAGTGTCTGTGTGTGTGTGTGTGCCACTTTGCATCCACTTCCGTCTGTCTGTCCGGAGGATATCTCAAGGAGGGACGGGTATTAGGCTACGTATGATACGTCATTAGGTGCGTAATGGTCTAGGGATGACTGCACACATATCAGATTTTTAAAAATTGGCCATTTTCGCTATTAAATTTAGGATTTTGTAAAAACCTCTTTGTTAGGCATAATTAGCATAGACCGGCAGTGGGCAGTCGTCTATATAAAGAGGCAGCAGGAGCTGTTTTTCATTTTTTTGTCTTCTGAATGGAGGACAATTATGCAAAGGACAGAATAGTATGGGGTCCAAGACGGGGCCAGGGTTGAAAAGTCGCGAAGCGGCTTTTCAACCCTGGTTTTGATATTTAATTATCATGAAAAATTCATTTTTCTGCCCTTATAAGTAATGATCAAATCCTTACAATTATCGCATCAGCTACAAGATATTGAAGCGCAAGAACCAGGAGTAGCATTTTGTTATGATCGTTTTGACAGCTATACACCTTCCCGGGCGCGTTTCCAAGCGATTGGGCCGGAAAGCGAATGTTTCGCTCGCAAACGATGTGCGGCTTTAGCAGAACTCATCAGTTCATGCTCCTGACCAATCCAAATTTTGAAAGTTTTTCCAAAACAGTCTTCACCTTTGAAATATAGTTAAATTTCCCTGGGAACACGATCAAAGCAATTACGAACACGTTAATAGACATTTCTGGACTTGCAGGAAAAATTAGGCTCCCCCTGCTAATGCGAAACAACCATCGGTAAAGTGACGAAAAATACCCTGAATTTTTATTTTTTCAGCCCTAAACCTTCTGAATTAGGTTCTAAACACTTTTTCTACTTAGTATACGCACCACAAAACGCACCAGAAGCTGGCATTAGGCAGGTTAAGTACAAAAACACCGAAAATTCGTACAAACAAAAAGCACAACGAAATCAACCAACAATTTTTATTCCGACCATAGACAAACAGAAATAATTAGGCCTCAGAAAATATGTATGATAAGGTCACAATCGTTAAACATTACAGATCAGAAGTTAAGGCAAGAGCGGTAAAAGTAAGCGAAAAAATATTTGAAAAGCACTTTCTTTCGCATTATCAGGGGAGGGGCAGAAAATGTTTTCTTAGGAACCACTTTTTCAAATATAAATCGTGGAGGTGTTTCCAAACAGTGTTTTACTATTCCTAAACGTAATACTTTACAAAGTTTTATTAAAGAATACAAAAATATCAAATTTTTTTAGAAAACATTCGACTTTTTGAATTTTTTTTAAGTTTGGATAGTTTTTCTAGTTAAAATATAGTTTATTTACTAAAGCATTATGAAAAGACTACAAAAATAGATAAACATCTAAATGAATTTAGATAACTAAAAATAAATAGGAATTTCTAGATTAATACAACCCCCCCCCCCCCCGATAATGCAAAAGAACCGAAAAGTAGTGAAATCAAAGGAGGGTTGCTTAGAACTGGTCGTCCCCACCGGCCGCAGCATCAAAACCAAACACCAGGCGATCGCGGGCCAGCTGCTCGGCCACTCGTTCCCTCGGCAGATCCCCGATAAGGCGCCCGCGGTGATCGCGGCCCTCGGCCGTCTCGCGGATGAATTGTGGGACCCTCTGGAAATGAAAAACATCATCATCAAGGCGCACCGGCAGGCGCGTAGGTTCTTTCGCATTGTCGGGGGGGGCTTATGGCCTTAGAAACTAATTTTTCTACTCAAAATTAGTATGTGTTTCTATACTATCTTTACGATTTCGCGACGTAAAAACTTTACAAATTTGGTGCAAAAAACAAAACATAAGGATTTTTTAACCTAAAATGACCATGAGCAAAATTTCAAATATTTTTAAAATTCTAGATGACGTTCCACCCGAAATACAGTTAAATTTTATTAAAAAACTTACTTTTTACAAGCTTTAAAATAAAAATAAAGCGCTATTAGACGAAACACTTTAATATATAATATTTTGCTGACAACGTAAATGAAGCAAGACATAATTTTAATAGTGTTGGTACTAAAAAAAAACCAAAAAAATCGATTGTATACCGATTATTTATTATTAGCGATTTCTGGACTCAAGGGAAAATTCGCGCTCCCCCCCCCCGATAATGCGAAAGAACATCGTGTATCTCGTAACAAAAAATAGCCACACCTGTCTCATGCGCGTCAATAAAGCCGCCAGCCAGCCGGCAAAAACGTGCTGCTGGAAGAGCCTGAAAACTAGGAATTGAAACGAGCGGTTTATTTTCACGAGTAAATTAAGTAATTTTAATTTCGAAAGCGTTTTTTAATAGTCGAAAATTCCTGATTGTTTTCTTTGAACCCAATTAATAATTAGTCTAATATCATAGATCAAGCGTTTCTCAGCGCGTTTTAAACCTTTTCAAATTTTATTGAGTGGCGCATCAAAGTTAACTGAAAATTACAAAAAAATCAATTTTTTTTCTACCAAAATTCCGACTAAAAAATTGTTTTACGCCTCAAATAGTTCAATTATACTAAAACCATATTAAGTTAAGTTTGCCGCCCCCCTGCCCCCGCCCGCGTTATTAAGAAAGCACCGACCGTTCATCCGTGTACGCGCTGCGGAACCTCGGGTCCAGATTCGCGTCGAAAAACGTGGTGGCAAGGCCGCGTTTCCCGGCGCGTCCAGTGCGCCCGATGCGCTCGATGTAGGTGAATTTGTGGTCGCTGAAACGAAATGAATTCGTAGCGCAAGGTTATGTATTTAATTTTTTTTAGGAAATTATGTTTTGCTACATATATTTTTTTGCACTTTTTGAGTGTTTGAACCTTAGAACAAAAGTATATAAACAGCGAGCAGTCACCGCCAAAACGCGCCAAAAAACATACAAAATATCCGAGGGCAGCTGATAGTTGATGACGTGCTGCACGCCACGAGCCCCAAAGTCCAAGCCGTTGGCCGCCATGTTGGTGGCGACGAGCACCGGGATCCTGAACAAATTAATTTTTCAAAAATGAATACCACTACCGGCCATCCGAGAAGTCCTTGTAGTTCTGGGCGCGGTCCTCTTCGGAAAGGTTCGAATGGAAGCCGCGGCAATCGAAGCCCATGCGCATGATGTCGTTGACCAGCCCGTTGATATGTTTCTTGACATTGGCAAAAATCAGCGCCTTCTGCTTCAAGCCGCCCTCTAAAATGAACGATGAAAAACCGGCTCCAAAAGAGTTGCGCACTGGAATTATTGACTTTTATGGTCGCGCCTGGAAATTTAAGTTTAGCCAGAAAACCAACTCAATACGCCTTTTTTTTGTTCACTCAAATTCCGCAAAAAAAAAACAATTGAATAAGGCCTAAAAAAACTCTTTTTTCCGCGCCTTTTTCAAACAGTTATCGGCGGTACCGGACTGTTAGCAGGGGGGTTAATTTTTGCCGCCCGAGCGGCCCTAATATTAAATATAAATCATTTTTATCGGATATTACACAGTTTTAGCTATAAAAAGCTCACAGAAAATCTTTTCCTTATTTTAAAAAGTTTCGAGTTTTTTTTTTAAAGTTTTTAGATAGCCTTTGTAATTGAAATATGGCTCTATATTTGACTAATAAGTCTTAAAATATTTTCTGTTAGGTCACTAGGCATTTCTAACCTCATACAACCCCCCCCCCGATAATGCCAAAGAACCACAAGTCCGTTCAACTACGCACCGTCGGTCATGTGCTCCAGCGTCAACAAATTGTCAGGCCCGCGCGGCGAGTGTGCGTTGATGCTGAAAAATAATCTTTTTTTAATGTACAACATTCATTTCCAAAACTGAAACCAAAAAAGCGATCAGCGCACCGGAATTGCCTGTTGAGCAGCCTTTGGAGGGCTTCTCGTTTCCTTTCAATGGAGGCCAGACGCATATCGATGAACTCCTGAAACAAGTCGGTACTTTCGTATTACCGGGGGGGGGGGGTGGGTATCTCTTTCTAAAAATCCATTTAGGTCTAGTAAAAAAATGCTATTTTTTGTCAAATTTTAATCACATCTCAAGTGAAAACACATACGGAAAACTTAGATCTAAAATATAAATTGATAGATCTATTCCGAATTTGAAATATTTCTGTTTTCAATTAAATTTTAAGTCCAAATTCTGGTCGAAAAATCAAGATTTTTTTGTGGGTTTTTCGCATTATCGGGGCGCGGGGGGGCGAACTTCGTAAAATCGGTCTAGAAATGACTAGTAACTTAATAAGAAGTGTTTTAATAGTGTCTTTAGTAAAAAAAAAACGATATTTCAACTAAAAAAACCATCTAAAAACTTTTAAAAAAGCCGAAATTGTCGTTAAAAATCGGGCTTTTTTCGTCGAAAAATCGTCCTTTTGATTTTTTCGTAATAAAAATTTTAACATTTCTGACGTTTCAGAATAGTTGAAAAGTGAAAAAGTTGGTCCCCCGATAATGCATCAGTAGAATCCCAGTCATCTTTCCTAAAAGTCATCTTTCCTAAAGTCATTTTTCGAAAAGTCATCTTTCCTAAAAGTCATCATTCCTAAAAGTCATTTTTCCTAAAAGTCATTTTTCCTAAAAGTCATTCTTCCTAAAAGTCATCTTTCCTAAAAGTCATTTTTCCTAAAAGTCATTCTTCCTAAAAGTCATCTTTCCTAAAAGTCATTTTTCCTAAAAGACATCTTTCCTAAAAGTCATTTTTCCTAAAACTAGGTAATAGTTTACTATAATTTTTCTTCAATAATTTTTTTCTAAAAACCAATTTTTTCGAAGATTAATTTTTCCTGAAGTTAGGTGGGCAAATAGGGATGCCACCTCCGCCTAACTTGAAACCTGCTACCTGTGTAGAAACGGCAAAATGCCTTGAACGCCGTCAGTCCTCATAAAAACTCTTAGTCGCATCGGAGCCTATTAGAGTGGCGCTTATTCAAATCAGATTTGAATAAGATTCAAATTGTTCAAATCAAGCCGATTTGATTTGAATTGGAGCCGACCAAATCAAATCAAATCGATTTGATTTGAGTTCAGCCAGTTCAAATCAAATCCAGCCGATTTGAATAATTTGAATAAGACCTCATAGAAATGAACCAAACGCAACTCGTAATTCGTGCACCGCTCTTTCCCTATAACCTCTTAGCATTGTTCCAGCGTCCCAGTTAACGATTCCTTATACATTCCCTATTGTTTTTACCCGTTAACTTTTCTAAAGAAAAACCATAGCGCAGGCTAAATCTGACAAAAAAAACCGTCTGGCTCAATTTTATATAAATGTCATCAAAACTCCCCATGAATTATTGTAAAGGACACCTAAATGTGCAGAAACGGCGCTACCAAAAGCCCTCCGAACCGCCGATTTTCAATTTGCATCCTTGATAAGCCTGTTGTTCAAATCCCAAATCAAATCGATTTGATTTGAGTTGGCCAGCCCCTAATTCAAATCAAATCGATTTGATTTGAAGTTGATTTTTTGGCACTCAAATTTGCTAATTCAAATCAAATCAATTTGAAGCCGATTTGATTTGAATAAGCGCCACTCTAGAGCCTATCCTATTTTTTGATTTCTGAATAGTTTTATGAATTCAAAGATAACATCACTTAAATCAAAACATTCCGAAAAGATCTAGTACGGCATGAAGACATTAAAATTTTAGGGCCGAGGCCTCTCCAAAAAAATTTTTCTTGCGAAAAAATCAACTGAGAAATATTGATTTTTAGGAAAAATGACTTTTAGGAAAGATGACTTTTAGGAACAATGACTTTTAGAAAAAATGACTTTTAGGAATAATGACTTTTAGGAAAAATGACTTTTAGGAATAATGACTTTTAAGAAAAATGACTTTTAGGAAAGATGACTTTTAGGAAAGATGACTTTAGGAATAATGACTTTTAGGATAGATGACTTTAAGAAAGATGACTAAAACCCGCATCAGTACCGCACGCCAAAAACGACCAAAAACCGGCGGCTACCTGCTTGATCAGCCTGCTGGCGGTCATGTCGATGCCGACGGCCACCGAGATCACGTTTTGAACCGTAAGAAAAATAATAAGTGTAGCACAACATGAAAGGATGCCTGTTCCCCGCGAACTGCAACCAGATTCTCTGAACCGTCAACGTCGCGCACCGTGACAAAGTCCTCAATCTGGAAAATGGAGGTATTAGGATGTCAAGAAAGACGGTAAATTTTTCCCAGTAATCCCGAACGACCCTAATAGAGCATGGAGCATTTTTATAGCATGGTACACAATTTTTGGCTATAAAAAGCTCATAAAAACTTTTAGGGTAAAAGTTCTATAGCATATATAAACCTAGCAAAAATTTTGTATTTTCGTAGTTTCTAAAACTCCCTATAGAAAATTTTTAAAAATGTAAATTTTACGACAAGAAATAAAAATTTCGAAATTTTTCAAATCGATCCTATCAGAACCATTTCCTTAGAAAAAAACAGGGGGAAAAGCTATATGAATGCTGTTTCAGTACTGGGAGGCATCCTAAAATTTTGACACTACGGAATTTTGGCATTATGAAACATAAAAATTTGTCGAAATACCAATTTTTTGAAAATCATTTTTCTAATATCATTTTGCCGAAATTTCAATGCGCTTCAATGTCATTTGCGAAATTTTGCCCTGGATAATCGAGGCGAAAAAGACCGTGAAATTTCGACGACTTGAAATTTGGGAAAATTAAATGTCGACAACATGAAAATAAGCCCAAATCAATACCGAAAAACCCACGCTCAGCAGATCAATGCCCACTTCACGTAGACGCTGATTCATCGCCGCCGACGTCAAAAAGCAGCGGTAAGGCCGTTGCGAGGAGGGCATAAAATTTCCCATCATTCGCAGCGCAACGTTGAAGTCGGACGTCGTCCTCGGCTCGTTGTGCCAATCGACAAACTCGTGGAACTCGTCGACGGCCAAGTATTCGAGGCGTTCCGTTCCCAGGAGCCGATTTTTGATCCATTGGCCCAGACGTCCGATTGTGGCCACGACAATGTCGCTGTCCTGCAAGAGATAGACGCTTTTAATGCTTCAAATTACTGGCTCCAGGCGCTCAATCGAATCGTTGACGAAGGTGCCGCCGTAGAGCGCGTGGATTTTCAGGCCGCTGTCGTAGGCAAACTTCTTCGCCTAAAGCAGTAATTTTCCTTAGTACCTAATCGATTTTTTTAAGTACAGAAGGGGTTTGAAAACGTTTATACTATTCCTAAATGTGAAAATTTTCCAGTTTTTATTAAAAATATAAAAATTAACGATTTTGCGACCAAAAGTTTGACTTTTTCAAAACTTTTTAGACAGTTTTTGTATCTGAAATATAATGATATTTATTAAAACACTATTACTAATACAATACACTTGCTATTACGTTATTAGACATTGAAAACTTGATAGGTTTTTATCAAAAATATTGATTTTTCGACAAAAATGGCGCATTTTTTACCAAGATTTCGCCCTTTTGAAAATTTCTAGAGTTTTCTAGTTGAAAATATAGTTATATAGTTAAAAACACCATTCAAACATTTCCTACTAAGTTACTAGACATCTCTAGATCTATATAAAAATGTCGGTCTTTTGAGCACCTTTTAACTATATTTTTAAAAAAGTTAGAAAATGTTTGCAAAAAGGCGGCGTTCGTTTAAATAAGTAATACCAATTTTTTATGTACCTCATTGGCAATCTGCTCGGCCAGCTCGTGGTTCGTGGCGAGGATGATGGCGCGCGGCTGGCACTTCTTGGCGCACTGAGGACTATGAATACAAAATAGTTTCAACAGCGCTACCTGAAGCGGGACCATTGAATCCTTGCGATTCAGCATCTCTATTATCCCCAGCACGTAGGTGGTGGTTTTGCCTAAAATCCACGTTTTAATTTTGCTAATAAAGACCGACCGGCTCCCGTCTGGCACGACATGACCATATCCTTGTGGGCCCAGCCGCCAGTCTTGTCGTCGACCTCGAGCATCTTCTGAAGGCCAAAGTACTCTATCGGGGTCGGCATGGTAAAGCCGGCCATGCGGATGTTTTCATGCAAGCCACCGGACAGAGGCAGGTCGTCGAAACTGCTGCAAAACCCAAGATTATTCTTATCAAAAGGAAGGCCAACAAAATTAGGCTCTTTTGCCTTATTGGGGCAATCCAACTTTTTGTCAAAGTCTTGAAATGTCTAATAACTTAATAGGACGTGTTTTAATAGAGTTTTCAGTAAAATATAACTATGACTAGAAAAACTTACCAAAAAAAAACTTATAAGTCAACTTACAATATATTGTTTGTAAATTACATTTTTTTGAAAAAGTCGAAAGGTTCATCAAAAATCGGCCATTTTTGGTCGAAAATCTTCGATCAAAAAATTTGATCCTGAGAAAAAAATCTGGTTTAGTTTTAACGAAATTCATCAGCATTCACGTTTAGTGGTAGAAAAATAGATGGAAATCTGTCTATACTATAATACCCTTTACTAATACCATCTATTTCTAATCGAAGAATTAGTTTCTACGGAAAAGTTTGTTACCACCACGATAATGCGAAAGCCCCAAAAATTACCCATGTGGGCCGTTGCGCTTCGGGAAGAATTCGTCACCGGTGCGCGGGCTGCTAATCTTCGTCTTCTGGCCGGCGATGCGCTAAAAAAGACCTTAAGGTCGTTCAAAAACATTACCTGGATGCCCTCGCCGATTTGCACCTGCAGCCCAAAAAGCTCCTCTGGGTTGTAACGACGCGGAATCCACGTGGCCGGGCCCTTATAGCGGTCATCGTCGTTGTCATTTTCGTCGAATCGCGCTCGACGCCCTTGTTGCCGCTCACGCTCGCAATCTTCTTCGGTGTGATCTAGAAGGGTGAATTATTTATTCAAAAAAGGGCAAGATACTTTCCGGATTGCGCAAGCCGCACCCCTTGCAGACCTTGAAGCGAAGGTCTCCTTGGTACGGGCAGCGCCGCGGGCGGGGGCACTCGTCGAGTCCACAGTTTCGGCAGCGTCGCGTCTTGTCAACTGATAATGGGACAATTAGCTTTTTTGTGTCTAACAATAAGGTTCGAAGCGAGGTTCTTTCGCATTATCGGAGGTAGAATACATGTAAACTACATGTAAACCACCATAAGTTACAAGAGGCCGAATTGGGGAATGTTTCAATTCATAAGCTTTCTAACTTTTTTTTAATCCGGTGGTGATTTCAAAAAGTGAATTTTAATCAGCGAAAAAAACTACACAAAATAGACTTTAGGGAAGGGTTACGAAAACTTCGAGGACACGAAAAGCGCCTCCTTGTAAGTTTTTGAAGCATCAAGGACGTCGAAGCATCCTTACCATTTCGGCCGGCTGGACGATCGAGCGACATGCGATAATTGTCGTCTAAAAATCAATTACCTATAAAGATTTCTTAGTCTGCTGTTTACCGGATCCTTCCTGGTCCTCAGAGTCGCTGAACTCAAACTCGGAGTCGTCGGCTTCATTTTCGGGGCCTGAAAATGTACTTACAATTAACAAAAATAAACCGTAGATACCTTCCGAATCGAGGACGTAGTTCTTGACGTAGTACAGTTCTTGGTCACCACCAGCCGGATCGGCGGGCATCATCATGGCGAGCCGTTCCCTAGAAACCTGACAATTTTCGGAGAAAGACTAGATCGGGAAAACGAAACGAGCGATAAAGCGAATCAGCGACGAGATCCTCTATAAAAACCATCTTTTCCTCCTGCGCTTTTACGTTTGGTAGCAGCCAATAAATAAGGAAGTGAAAGCTAAGTTCAATCGAGAAAATTGCGATTTTGTTAAAAAAAATCCATCAAAATTTATGCTAGAAGCCTAGGAAAAAATACGTCAAAAGTTGTAAAAACCAGGTTTGGATCCGTCTATTTAAAAAGCAAGTTTTAGCGGGCTGGTTTCTAGAAACTAGCGATTCTTGAAAATCGAGAGCTAGAAAGAATTCTGGCGCTGAGTTCAAATTTCGCCTTTTTCTACAAGAAAACTACAAAAAACTTATACTGTAAACTACAAAAAAACCGCTCCGGCAACATTTTTCCGCGTACTTTCGCGACCGTGACTTTCTTTACTCTAAGGATAAGTTCTTGACGCCTAATATAAAGTTTTTATAGTCTAAAAGTGCAAAATCCGAATTCAGGGTACAAAACTAGCTCAGAAAACTTGCTCCTAGGCTGTTCTGGACAAGATTTTTAGCGTCCTTGTGGCCACCGAAGTTTAGAACTATACTTGTGAAATTCTGCCGCTTTTGAAATAAAAACTATTCGGGCACCGCGTTTTGCTGACCAGATAAAATGAGGGCGAAAGCGATGTTCCCAGGGCCTTTTTCGGGACGCGACATTTTCCCCGAAAAGCCCCGCCCTGCACGATAAATCGTGCAAATCCATTAGCGCTTCACCCGCGGGCCGGCAAATACCATGAAATGATTGATCGTCAGGTCATGTTTTGGCCACGCTAATGGCTTTTGCGTGAAATGCTGCCAACATCCATACGAGTGGAGAGCCACGCGCACTTTCGAAAACAGCTACAGGCCATCAGGGGGATGTTTCAAAAAGCACGGCGGTTGTGGTCGATTTTATTGTGATAATTCCGAAACCGCACGCAGCTGTTGCTTTTTTTGCTGACCAAAAGGTACTTTCAAAATCTAGGAAACTATTGTCGTCGTTTCGCAGATTCTGAAAACTAGTTTTTAATCAGCGAAAATTTCGAAACAAAAACGTCTCCTCGGAAGTGTACTTCCCCCATCAAGCCGTCCGATTATAAAACGTTCATTCGAATCTCCAACTGGGTGAACATGAGAGGGACTTCGGGGATGGATGAGGATCGGAGCAGAGTGGGGTACCCAAAATACACACGATAAAGGCGAGGTACGGTAGAGATAGACGGGCAGGGGCATGTGACAAAAAGAACTGGAAATCGAAATTACAGTATTACCCGGAAGAAAGGGCGAATGGACTGGGATATCGATTCGGGAGCAGAGATACCGGGAGAATTGGGTACACGCATGGAAAAAAACCGGAAAATGGGGGGTACGGTAGGTGATGCAATTGGGTAGGGACAAATTTAATGGAGATGAAAAGAAAAGGATGCGGCAGCGGTGTTGATCATTTCTTGGCGCCGCGTCCTCCGCGAACCGCTCCGCCGCCACGGCCGCCTCCGGTTGCGCCTCCGCGCCTGCTCCCGCCACGCCAACCGCTTCCGCCTAGAAATGGACGATTCAGGGCCAAAATCTACTTTACAATCCAGTCACAATTTCCACCTTCCTACCGCAATTTATTTGCCATTCTTATATAGAAAAATAAAATAAAAGTACCAAAATACCAAAATTTTTTAGCCAGTTTCGAAAATTTTCTAAATAATCTTTTGGTCTGAAAAAGATATCATTTTACTTAAAACACTATTAAAAATAGTGGCTACGACTTGCACAGAATTTTTAAGAATTTAGACTTACTAAAAAAAATCCTAAAGAATCAAACCGATACCTCCGCCGGCTACAGCCGGGATCGCCGGCGCGGCCTCCTCGTCTTCTTCATCACCCTCATCCTCATCGCCGCCGCCCTTCTCGATGACGTTCCCCTCCTCGTCCATCTCCACCTCGACTGCAAGAAAAGTTCGGTAAAAACAAAGTCAAAACTTGATTACCACTTCCCGCGGCCCTTTTCTTGCCCTTCGATATATCGTCAATAGCATAGGGTAGGGTTCGGTGCTCCTTCGTTAGGGCCCTGGTCACCGCAGATTTCACCTGAAAAATTCAATTCGATTAAATTCGAAAATTCGGCTATTTTGTCGAAATTTCAATTTGTTGAATCCGTTTCCCTTCGGTTATTCATCTCATTTCGCAAATTGAATTTCGAGAAAAGGATAGCAAATCGAAAAATTCAGGATACCTCACCTTGCTAGGAATCGCCGCCCCGTGGTCCTTCATCCCAGGCCAGCAGGCCAGCTCGGCAATCGCGTCCGAGTCGTCACGCACCAGGTCGTACTCGACGTACGTCGCAACGACTTCCCTAGAGAAAAAATTAATGACTTTCTGGCAAAAAAGGCCTCTTATAATTAATTCTAAAGGAAGGCTGACGGCAATTTTTTTTCAAACTATGGTTTCCGACAATCGGGTTCCAAAACTAGCGTTCTCAAAAACCAGAGCGAAAAATTTCATTGGTTTTGCCTATTGGTAAATCCCGAAATTTTTTCGAAATGTGATTTTTAAAATGTATGTAAAACCGAAATAAATATAAAACAAAGCAGAAACCCACTGCACTCCGGTCTTTGTATCATCGGCGAGGAGCGGGCGCACGAGCTTGTTCCGGAGCGCCGGCACGTAGTCGGTGACCAGCGACTCCATATCGGCGCATATCCTGCAAAAAAAAATGTCAGCGAAACTGATATTCGCCAAATGACAGATATGGCATAAGAGAAGAGAGAAGGAGGTCCGAAAGACCTTACAAGGCTTTTCCTGCAAAAAGCAAAAAGTATGGAGGTATGGGGAATTGAACCCCAGACCTCTCGCATGCTAAGCGAGCGCTCTACCACTGAGCTATACCCCCGGTGAGGGAGGAGGGGCGAGCGGGCGAGAAGAGGAGTTCCCCACCGGGCTGGAGGGTGCGGGAAAAAAAAGTGAGGGAGGGGCGGAGAGGCCAGGCAAGCGCCTTGGCACAAAGAACCGCTGTGATGGGGCGGAAAAGGGCAGAGAGAGAGAGAGAGAGAGAGAGAGAGAGAGAGAGAGAGGAGAGATGCCAGTGTCGTATTTTGGAAAGATCAGACAAAACTATGAAGCATAAAATAAAATAAAAATTCCACAAAAGCTTGCATAAAGAAAAATACGGGTTGATGGGCCATTTTTATCGACAATCGATATTCTTGATAAGTTTTTACTAAAAATTAGGAAAGTTTTCACGTATAGGAATATAAAAACGATCTACAAACTCTTGCACTATTCATAGTGGAACAATTAGATCCTAAGAGAAAAAATTGATCCCCCCCAAAATGCGAAAGAACCAAAAATAAGGCTACAAAAGCTAATCAAAAGCAAGCTTTAGCCACAAACCTCAGATGCGCGTGCTGGGCGACTTGACGAGCCAGCCGCTGCCGCTTCCCGGCCGTCGAATTTTTGCCCAGCCAGCCGGGGAACGAGATCTAAAAGTACGTTTTTTGTAGCTTATGCGCGTCCTAAAAATACCTGCGTCTTCAGGTACCCATCCATAGCCATTGAGGGAAGAGCGGCGGAGAGCATAGACTAAATCCAGCATTAGGATTTAATTTCCAAGGCTGCACCTCATCATTGAGAAGCCTCCACGCTCCCGTTGATCGGATCATCTTGTCCACCTGGTCGCCCATGCTGATCAGCTCGGCGGCGCGGCGGATGCTGCCCATGTGCTCGCAGGGGCTGAGAAACGAGGAATGCAAAATAAAATCTCATAACGACTCACGTCCTCTCCTTGTTCGTCAATTGCAGGTAGTTCTCGAAGACGAACAGCGGCATGATGCCATAGTCGACGAAGAACATCTCCTGCTTCTCCTTCAGGTCGGTCGACTTGCTCAGCAGCTTGCGCGCCGCTTCGAATGGATTCTAGAAGTCTTATTGAGGAAAAAAATAAGCATAGATGTAAACATATTAAAAAAAGTAAAAGTGTTTCTAAACCAGCTTTTCATAAAAATTTTTATAAAAAATAGCAAAATCACCGATTTTTCGAACATAAATGGCCGATTTTTGACCAAAATTTTGACCTTTTAAACGGTTTTTCTATTTGTACTACAGTTATTTTCACCAAACACACTATTAAAACACTTTTTCTATTAAGTTACTATACATTTCTAGACGTATATATAACAAAATTCGAATCCTACAATTGTCACGTCCTTTTGCGCGATCGTGATGTCCGGCTGGGCTTTGCGCATCTGCAGGTTGTAGATGCACTGGCGGACGTCGTGGTTGGACAGTTCGATCAGCTCGTCCAACTGAAAAAAAGACAATAATAATAGATTTCTCGCAGTTCGTACCTCCTCCTTGGAGATGCGCATCTTCTCCTGGACGGCAATCGTCATCACTCGGCTCTAAAGTGCTTTTCAAAAGCCGGTAGATGAACACAAACCCGCACTTGTTCGACACGAGGGCGCGGGAAGCGCACATCAAAGCAGTAGTTGACGAGACTGCGCATCTTTGGGTGGGAGCGATCGTTGCAGATGCAGATGATCGGGATCATCGTCGACTTGATGATGTCCATCAGCTCGCTGATCTGGAAAAATACACATTCAACGAAAAGATAAAAACCAACCCCAGCTCGATCCTCGTTGCCGCTCATCCCGTCCACCTCGTCCATGATCAGCACGTGGCGTACTTTTTGGGCGCCATCTAAAAAACGTGTTTGGATAAAATATATTCAAAAAGCAAAAGTAAAAACCAGAAAAGCGGGTGAAGCTAAGCTATATTTCAAGTGGACAGCTATTTAGAAAACTTCGAAACGTTTGAAAAATTAAATTTTTGGTCGAGAGTCGCCCATTTTTGCTTGAAAAAATGATATTTTGATGTTTTTTGCCCTCTGCTTTTCCGAAAACACCCAAAAAATTCAACACCGCCAAAAAACTAATGCTCACCTTCCTGCTCCCGCTCAGGCCGCAAATATTCCTCCATTTGATGCGAGGAGGTGAGCTGCAAGACGTGGGCTTCCAGGTGCTTCTTGTTGCGCACATCCGACGCGTTCATCTCGACCGTCTCGAACCCGAGCTGCTGGCAGGCCATCTTGGCGCACGTAGTCTTTCCGACACCTGCGCCAAAATGTTATGCTCTTTGAAACGTACGCACCTGGGGGACCACTGAGCAGCACCGCCTTGTAGATCGAACCGTCTTGGCCGGCAAGCCATGGTGGCGGACGGGCTGTAATGGGTAATTTACATTTGATAAAGCAAATTTTGTAAACTTTTTGCGTTTGGTAATAATAAAAAACGTTTAGAAACACTTACGCTATCGATATTTGAAAAATGTTACCCCTTCTGATAACTCGAAAGAAGCGAAATTCGACAAAAAAAAACTATCAAAAACCTACGCTTCTTGACCTTCGAGTTAGCGCCCAAATTCTGGTAGGCCCAGTCGCGGAGCCAGGGGATCAGCTTGTTCCACGGGCTCTTCTCCCCGTTCATCCCCACCAAATGGCTGGGGTTCATCGGCCTGTAGCGGTCCACCCACGGCGAGTATTCATCCTAAAAAAAGTTGCAGGACTAAGTAAATTGGCCTACGTATTCGGGCTTCTTCGGCTGAGGAGGCGGGGGCGTTTGCTTGACCGGGGAGGCGAGCGGCAGCTTCTTTTTCCTCGCGGGATCCTGAAAAACGAGAGTTATTTTATTTTCTATTTTTATACGCGCCCAGATTTTTTCGCGTACTCGGAAATCCATTTTTTGGGCTATATGGTACATGGCTACCGACGAATTGCCAGTTTTGCCTAAATCTTGAAAAACCAAATCTATACATTTATTTTTGGGAAATAACCTCCGGTTCCGGAAAAATTTCGACTTCATCACTAGCTTAAAACACGCCCAAAAACCCACAATTGTCTCGACAACCTCGTACAGTTCGTCGCCCATCTTCACATATTTCCCCTTGTCGCTGCCGATCTAAAAAACACAAGGATTTCCGAAGTAATTTTAATAGTACCACCGCATTCTCCTTGGACCCGGGGCTAGCCTCGTTTGTAGAAGAAGGTTTGGTAGCTGCCGGTTGCGTCTAAAAATGAATATATAAAAGCGGATTCTTTCAAATGGTCACCGGAGTACACAGAAACAATTCTTATGAATCCGTGTAAGCCAAGCAAGAAGTTGAAATTTTATTTAGCAAAAAATTTTGGGTACATTGAAAACGTTCAAAAATGGCAAGCAATTAGAAAAAGTTTTAAAATTGCTACAAATTGGTCAACGAACTGAAACTGAAAGTTTTAGAGCTAAAAAAAGCACCAGACCGCTAGGTTTTCAAGAAGTGTTAGGAAACAGTATTGCACAAAACTTACGGTAACCGTTTCCTTGGCTTTCTCGGGTTTTTGTTTGGGTGTTGGGGCGGGGGCGGGGGTAGGGGTTGCGACGGTCTTCGTGGTGGCGACGCTCTTCGTGGTACTCGTCTTCTTGTCCGCAGCCTTCGCGGGCTGCGGCTCGCCAAAAAAAGAAGCCGCGCTGACTTGTTTGCTGCTCGATTGCTCTAAAAACAAAACATTTTCAATAGCTAAAAACTGCATACCTTTTCTGGCCGGCTCGGCTGGCTTGGCCTTTCGCTCGAAATTGAGCTTCGTCTGCCCGGGCAAGAGCCCTCCTTTCTTCTTCTGTGGCTTCTTCGTTTCACGGAACTCGTCCTCGCTGTCTGTTCCCGAGACCAGCTAGAAGTTTTTTTAACCGGGCAGAATGGCCTCACCACCACTTCATCCTCATCTTCGCTCTCCTCGGCGCGCACGGCTCTCGCCTTTTTCGAGGGTTGTTTGACTGGAGACTCATCTTCTAAATTTCAATTCAATTGCAACTCGATAGCTTTACCGTCAAATCTCGCCCTCTTGCCGCCCTTCTTCTTGGGCGTCGCCTTTTTGGGTGACGGCGTGGCAGACTTTTTCGATGGCGCCGGCTCGTCCTCTTCGGAATCTAAACTATTGAATTATCAATTTTTAAAACACAAAAACAACCGCTCAAAATGACGGCCTTCTTGCGCTTGATCGCCGTCTTTTCGGCGGCTTTGCGCACGGATTTCGGGAGCGGATCTTCGTCGTCATCGTCAGCTGCAAAAGCGACGTTTCAGTAGGAAAAGATATCTTGGTTCTTGAGTATTCCCGGGGAAAGCATTCGCGGGGGAAACCGAACTTTTTTCGGCCCAAGCCTAGATTTTTTATATCAATAGTGGAAGTGTTTATAAATTGTTTATAGCTATTCCTAAGCATACAAACTTTACAAAATTTAATTAAAAAATTTAATTTTAGGTCGAAAAATCAAATTTTTCGACCCAAAAATGACAAAATTTTTGACTTTTTCAAGCGTTTTCTAACTTTTAAAAAAGTTTTTCCTATTAAAATAGGCTTAAATTTTGCTAAAAACAATGTGAAAACACATTATATTTGATTACTATGCCCACCAGGGCAAACAGAAAAAAAAGTGCCCGAAAAAACAGAAAAAGGTTCCCCCGCGAATTGACGAATTGAAGTGATCCTTGACGATCAGATTTTTGAAAATGTTTCTGCAGATCCGCAGAATAAATTGAAACTCACATCCTTCGAATTGCATCAGCGAAGCGCCCCTTTTGCCCTCCACGTGCGGTGGCGGGCGTTTGCGAGGCGATGGCTTTTTGGCCTAAAGTTTGTTCGGTAAAATCATTGAACAGAACCACTCACACGATTCGTGGCGCCCTTGGCTTTGTCTTTTCCGGGGCCTCCGAAAAAGCGCTGGATACCCGACATCTAGTAGGTTTGAGACAGAACCTAAAAATCGACATTGAAATTGAAACCCGAAATCAGCGATATGTAGGTTTCATTGTTGTTGAGATAGACAATGTGTCAACATGGAATAGTCCTGGATTCAGAAAACCTTTAGAGAATTTATTAGCATTATTAGTTGAATGGCCAAGTGCACAAATCACAGGATGTCAATGTACAAAGTGAAAGACGCCGGAATCATCGCCTCTGCGCGACCAAATGTACAAAATTGTCAGGGTAGGCGAAATTTCGGACCATCCATAGCGCCGGCGTCTCCAGCGGCATCTCGATACCATGGCAGATGATTTTGGTGGCGTCAAGGTCGATCGTGCTGAAATCAATCCATTTAAAAAATTAGAAAAATATAGCATAGTTAAAAACGAAACCATTGAGAAAAAAAAATTGCAATTTCAAATTTTTACGCGATAAATTGATAGATAGATTTCTTCCAAGTTTTTCTGTTTGAATATAAACAAAACGGGCCCGTTTCCTTAGAAAAAAAAGATCCTAACTAGAATAAAACGGATACACAGGAAATCCTAAACACCCAGAAAACTTTTTAGAAGGGCGAACTTCAGAAAGTACGCACCTATCAATACATCGCACAGCTTCTTCTAACGTTGTCGGGTGGCCGGCAGTTAGTGGGGCGATTGTTTGTTGCTTGAAGGATTTACCATGCTAGAAATTCACGACTTTGAATGTAAAAATGGCTTCGAACCTCGTGGAGCCGAATGGGCAACCAAATAAATGGCTGCGAATCCGAGCATTCCATCAACTTGCGATTGACTGTCCAGAACGCGTCGAATTGGTCTCAAAGAACCGATTTGGGGAAATGATCCTGAATCTCACTTGTCGCCAGCGAATTCCAAAGTTGCTTGTGATCGTCGCTCTTCATACAGCTGATCATGTCACCCTAAGAAGTTGAATCATCAAAGCGAAATAATAATAATACCTTTCTTTTCAAGTAATCCGCCTCTTTGACGGTCTGCATATACCAATTCTGTGTTGTTTCCTTGTTGACAGTAGTCAGTCCGACCGGCTTTTTCTAAAAAAAAACATTTACGAGACCGGCAAGCCACCAACTTTTGTTTGCAATGTAATTCGCCAAGGCAAAAGATCGTCCTGCTTGTGGGTGTCGAACAGGAGGCCCACAGGCAGATACCTAAATTCTTTTTCAGAGGAAAGCTGTTTTCTCAAACGTTTTTAACGGCGTCCGGTCATATTCCAGCCAGGCGCCTTCTAGATCGACGCTCACGCCCTGTTTCACAAATCCCTGGACGACCTTCGGCATTATGAAGGTGAAGTAGCCACATCGCGGGAGCATCACCTGGAAATCAAGAAGATTTGTAGCATAAGAAAGTATTACTTACATAATATGGCCTGGCCGGCTCCAGCAACTCTTCGCTTTCCACAGTAATCTCCACGGGAATCTTGGCATTCCAGACTTGTCGTGTCGCCTCGTAATCCATTGATGACGCTGGAAAGTAAAGTAATAAAACGGCATAAAAGTGACTTCATACAGGAGGCGAAAAGCCGCTTAATATTTTCGAAATACGTTTCATCAGTTTTGTCATTTTCTACCAGATTCAGAGTAAAAAGATCTAAAAAAAACGCAGTGAATTTCAAAGAAGACTTTTTTCGATATTCTTGCGACTTTTGTTGTTCAAACCTGATGAGCCGTACGGGGAAATACACAATACACACGGGAAGTGTGGGCAGACTACAAAATGTCCCCTTTGGCGCCTTCCGGCACCTTGCCAATTCATTTTTGAACGGCCGCCCCAATTTTGTTTAGCCAACATCTGCCGATAAATCTGCCATTCCACTTGAAATAAAGTATTCCTTTCAGTATTGGCATTTTTTCGCATCTTGAGCATACCTTTGATTTTTGTACCAAAATTATTTTTGCTGTTTTCAATGCCCTTATCCTAACCATCATTCTTTCAGGATGAGCAGCGACTGCCGTATCTACGTGGGCAACCTCCCCGACGATGTTCGCGACCGCGACGTGGAGGACATTTTCGAAAAGTATGGTCGCATCCGCGGCATCGATATCAAAGCCAAAGGACGCGCGCCGGCTTTCGCTTTTGTGGATTTCGACGATCCGAGGTAAGGCTTTTCTGATCTTTCGATCATTTGCACTTCTAGAGATGCTGAGGATGCGGTACGTGGACGCGACGGCTACAACTTTGACGGCATGCGCCTTCGTGTCGAGTTTCCGCGCGGCGTCGGACCACGAGGACCCGGCGGTCGTCCAATGTCCGATCGAGACCGTCGCGGGGGACACGATGACTATGGCAGCCGTCGCCGCAACGAGCCTCCCAAGCGTTCCGGATATCGCGTGAGGATCAGTGGTCTTCCGCCAACCGGATCTTGGCAAGATATTAAGGTAAATTTTTGCGTCTTCGAAATCCTTCGATTGTTATGAGTGCTCTCGCAAAATCTGTGCAAGTATGGCTATGGTAGAAATGTAATGACTAGCCAATCCTTGTAATTTATACGAATTTTTAAAAGCTAACTTTCGCAAAAATTGAACCTTGTTTTAAATAACCGTAGTTATATAAAAATTGCGAAACTTGGTAATTTAGGATCATCTTCGTGATGCCGGAGACGTGTGCTACGCTGACGCTGCTGGAGACGGAACTGGAGTCGCCGAATTCTCGCGCTACGAAGACATGAAACGAGCTATCAAGAAGCTCGACGATACCAAGTTCCGCTCGCACGAGGTGACGCTTATATCAAATCGAACGATTTTTGTGGAGGGATTGGAGGGATAATCAAGACAGGAACAAGCATATTGTAGGTTGGTGTAGTAAAATCAGGGTTTCGTAAGGCACAATTGAGGAGTTCCCCTTGTGGTTTTGTGACGTAAATTTTATTTAGGATCTGCCGGTATTTTTATCGCCTTATTATTCGAGTTTTGTACGGGGGCTTTTTTAGCTTTTTTTTCGATACAAAATGCCTTTCTAACACGCCAGTTTTTATTTTTTCCGGTGAAACTACTGGCTTGCTCAAAAAGCAATCCGTTAAAGCTTACTCTTTCCGGCGACATTAATTGTTGATTTTCAGGGCGAGACGAGCTACATTCGTCTGACGGAAGAGAGCTCTGGATCACCGGGAGGAGGAGGAGGAGGACGTCGTCGCTCACCCGACTACAGCCCGCGTCGCAGCCGCTCCCGTTCGCCACCGGCCCGTGGACGTTCTCGCTCTCGTTCGCGCTCACGCTCGGTGAGCCGTTCGCGCAGCCGCTCCCGCTCGTGAGTCGACGTCGCTGCTATCCACTCACTTCGAAATCATTTCCACTTTTGTATATTGTTCATCCTGTTGTTATCTCTTTATATGGCGATGTTGGTCTCAATTTTCCATCGATAAGTTTTACTGTTCGGTTTTTGTAACCACTATTTTCCAAACGATGAGGATAAACGTTTCAAGTGTGTTTCGTCGTTGTTATGACACAAGTGCGAGCAGCATAGCTTTATCACATGAGCCGGTGAACAGATGAAAACAAATTGTTCGGAGCTTCAGGGAATTGCCATCAACCTGGATTCAAATAGGTCGCTGGATATCTAATCTGTTACCAGCTAAGCGGCTCCTCCTCATGGGCAACGCCGCGCATTCGGACGACGTTTCGGTGCGAGCAGTTGCGCATCCGCTTGGCCTCCTTCATCACTTCGTTCATCTGTACAAATTAATTGGAGCTATTGATTTTTTGGTGGCCTGGGTCGAAGCTTAGGCTTAGCTTTAACTTTGCGTACGCTCGGCTTAGACTTAGCTTATGCCTAGGCTTGGCTTAGGCTTAAGCTTAGCTTAGGCCTAGGCTTGGTTTTGGCCTAGCTTAGGCTTAGTGTAGGCTTACATTAGGTTTCGCCTGGCCTTAGCTTAGACTTAGCCTAGAGCTAGCTTAGGATTAGCTTAGACTTGGGCTGAAGCCTAGGCTCGGCTTAGGTTTGGCTTAGGCTGGGCTTGGCTTGGTTAGCTTAGGCTTTGAGACAAGCTTAGGCCAGAAAAAGCCCCCAAAAAAAAGATGCCCCCCCCAAACATCAATAGCTCCAATTAATTTATTATTTCAGGATACAAACCTGTTCTTGGTCCAAGGCTGTGGCATGGGCGACCTTGATGGCGACCGGGACTTCTGAGCCCAACTCCCATGCGGCCCGGCTCATTGGCTGCAGGAGAATAGAGGTAGGTAGCTAAATCAATAGAATAATATGGACCTGTCAAAATCGTTGACCTCACTTTTGAGTGGGATACGGCGCGTCTGATATTTGTCGATCAGGCCCTGGACGGCTTGCGCTTTGATGGTCCTGTCGAAGGAGTATTGATGAGGTGGGTCTTTCTCCTTGATGATGGCGTAGTGAGCGACCTAAAGCATTGATACAAGACCATTCAAAATTACTACAACTTTTTGAGCTTCGATTTTTGCGAGCTTCTTCGTGCCCTTGCCGCTGTGCCGCGCAGATGTTGGCTGAATAATATCATACAATATCGAAGGAGCCGCTCTTACCAACTCCTTTGGCTTCTCGACGACGGCAATGCTCAGAAGCAGCTGACGCGTCTCGTGTGGTCCGGCTTCAGAATAACGAATCAGGAAATCGCCAGTCTTGACAAGCAGGCCAGCCACATCAAGCCTAGCACCAGAATCAATCTTTGAAGGATGTGTACCTTGGCAGCATCCCGTGGAAGTAGGGCAACTCTCCAATATCCATGACTGGTTTGGGGAGGTCCGGATAGGGATAGATGACTTCCGGAGAAGAGTGAAAGTGATCAGTTTTTTTAATTTTTCCTTTAGGTTACCATTTAATTTTTCCTTTTGTGTACAATGTAGTTTTTCCTTTAGTGTAAATAGTAAAAATTCGTTGTTCCTTTACAATTTGGTTCAGTTTAAAGGGGTCAGGAAGGCACGATTGCAAACGCTTGATTTCGCCTTCGCGACCCTTTCGAAGCCTTTTTTCATTTCTGCCTTCCTAACCCCTTAAATGCAATCAGTTGAAAATATACTTCAGTTATAATTAACAAAATTATCTTATTCTTTTTATGCGACTTGTGTTTACTATCTTATCATTATTATATACTTCCAGGACTGATATCTCGCGAAAGGCTATCATTTTGTATTTCTCTATTCCAGTCTTTCTTTAACTGTTATTTCCGGTTCGGCCTCAGGCTCGCCTCTTACGCAAGCAGAAGTAAATGTTTGGCGATTTACCAGGTGGATAAACAAATTTCCAAAGCCCGAAATTTTCTATGAACTTTAACTTTCAATTACCAACAACATCGCGGCTTTTCGGACTTCCTATTCGACGTAGTTTTCTTTTTTTACCTGTTTTCCTAGTTGATGCGTTGCACATTGATTATTCTATATTTTTGTTTCCAGCAGGATGGTGAGCGCCTTCTACCTGGAAGCAGCGCCGCCGCTCCTCCTTCGGCATCTGGCCGCTGACAGAGATGGTCGTTTCTTCTGGTAATACTTGGCAAACTTGGCACTTTCCTCGGCCAATTCATGGCGCTTATGCAGTTGCGGGGGCAGTCCGAAATTGGCACGAAGAGCTTAGAAGGCGCTCCACTTAAGTTACTTGATTGTTAGCTTAAAATTCGTGGAACGGCGCCTGACGGAATTCCCGGTAAAAACACAGAATGTACTTATTTTTGCAATAACTCGAAAGCCACTGTAGCTAGCGGGCTGAAGGTGTCTGTGAACATTTTAAATACCATTGGACAATTCTGTTCAAAATTTCAGGTAGTAAAAATGCCAGCTTGACCTTCTTGCCTTAGTGTTCTATACTGTAGTGTAGAACCACTGTAGTGATTTTTTCGAAATTATAGAAGCCCTAATGAGTCGAGCCGAAATGATCCGAGCCGTAATTATCCAAGCCATGATGATTCGCACCGAATAAAAACGGAATTTTAGGTAAAAAACGTATTTTTTTACCACAAATTGTCAAATTTTCGACCTTTTCAAACGCATCTTGATTGGCCTATCCGAGCCCGAATTATCCGAGCCGAAATTATCCGAGCCGAAATTATCCGAGCCGAAATTATCCGAGCCGAAATTATCCGAGCCGAAATTATCCGAGCCGAAATTATCCGAGCCGAAATTATCCGAGCCGAAATTATCCGGGCCATAATGATCAAACCGAATAAAAAAAAATGCATTTTAAGTCGAAAAATGGTTTTTTTTCGACCCAAAATGAGCAAATTTCCGACTATTTTCGCCGGTGAAGGAAAAACGAACTGCCAAATCAAAGCCCACTTTGATTTCTGGCATTTTGCCGCCGCATACAGGTCTCTCCGTCTTCTCATCCATTTTTCGGACCATAACTCAATTTTTGGCATTTGCAGGCCCTTTATAATAAAGTTTTTGTAAAAGTCGGCACCCCCTTTGTCTTTTTGATAGAAAGCCTCCTACTCGAACCAATCCTGGACGAGCCAAAATTTGATTTATTACTACAAGTACGAACAGTACGCGGCAGGGTTAAGCATGTCCCAATAGCTGCTCTCGATTTCCGACGTGTTCATTGCATCGAGCCGGACGACATCGGGTTGGCTCCAGAATGAATCCGGGGCTCTGGCAGCGCGTTCGACCATTTCGTGGGCGAGCTTTTCGAACGTCTAAACGAAACGGGTTTTAAGTTTTAGAGCAGCTTTACCTCGACGATATTTGCGTCGGTTTTTGCAGAGGTCTCAAGGTGTTCAAGGCAATTAGCATCGGCAAAGGCCTGAAATGGCGTTTGATAAATTTAACGAAATCGACTGCCAAACGAAGTACCTTGACAGTTTCTAAGGAAACTTCTCGCTCCTCCTCCCGATCCAGCTTATTCCCGATTAGCAAAACACGTGGTCGTCTTCCTTCGCTATAAAATAGTGGGTACTTTACTGTTAGCAGGGGAACCTAGCTTTGACCTGTGGTGTTTATCTATTTTTTTCTACTTTTTTCTACTTTTTTTACCAAGTACGTTCATGAAAAGTATTAAAATGTTGGGATTCATTTGATTCTCGGTAAAAATCCATAAAAATGGTCAAAATTTTGACTTTTCTAAAGGCTTTTTGTCTTTTTAATATCCAAAAACTACTGAAACTATGCGATAAAATGCTAAAAACGCTAAAAATGTTAGATGGATATACGCTAGCTAGCTTCCCCTTTTTTTCTAAGCATGCTTACTCTTTGACTTCAGCTAGCCACCCGGGAATCGCGTCGAAGCTTTTCTGAAAAAAAAGAGAGTTTATAATATAGACCTTTTTAATGCTGCTTTTTGCTATATCTATGTATTCATAGACTTTATATAGACCGAAATCTTCTACCTTATCAGTGATCGAATAGACGACAATGATCCCATCGGCGGCCCGTAGGTGGTTGGTACGGAAGGGGCGGAACCGTTCCTGCCCCGCCGTGTCCCACTAGATTAAAAAATTTTTTATAGATGATAAATTACATTTTTAGACTTACAATTTGTAGTTTGACAACTTTCCCATCGACTGTCGCAGATTTTACGCGCTGAAAATCTTGTGTTTTGGCGAAAACATATAGTTTTCCAAAAAAATTCGTAATTTTTGGAGACCTTGAGTATGATATTTTTGTTTATGCGGCATAACCTTACGTAATCGATGCCAATCGTGGATTTCTGGTCTTCGGCAAAGGTGCGATCAACGTACTGCGAGATCATGCTGCTCTTCCCAACCGCCGCATCGCCCAGAATGCACACTTTGAAGAGGTAGTCACTAATTACGGGGTTTTTTAAAGGGTCATTGAAGTCAGGCGGTAAGGAATTTTAGTATGTAGTAGGAGAGTTTTTGATGATACCAGATCGTAAGATCACCGAATCGAATTTGCCCCGATTTATTTTTATTTTTTCGGTTTTTAGAATCATTTTCTAATCCCTGAAATTGATAAATTCCGAAAAGGCAAGTACACATTTTACAAAATTTTCACAAGCCAACTTTTCGGGGTTGATCTAGTCTCGAAAATATTTTTTCTGTAGTTTTTAGCACTTTTGAACTATAATTGAAGTAGAACGGCTATAAAAATTTAGAAAAGTGTTTTAAAAAGTCGCAAATTTGGTCTTTTGGGCCGTACAAAACACATTTTTTTGCCAAAAATTAAAGCGTTAATAAAAATTCACGTATTATGCTCACGGATCGTTAAAAACAATGCACAAACGCATAAGCTATTTACAAAAAGTCCAGGCTTTCGCCGAAAAAAGTAGATTTTTGGTTTAAATTTGGTTTTTTTATTTTTCGTTTTTTAGCAAACGAGTTAGGCGGGAATTTCGACAATTTTTAATATACTTACTAGTCGTTTGCCATCGATTTGGAGCTGTTGGGGTGTGTGAGCTGTTTTGTTGTCGGGGCGCTGCAAATGTGGGGCACCGGAGCAATCGACCCCTGAATTTTGTTGCCTCAGCAAATTGATAGCACATTTTGTTGCGGCAACGAATTGGCCGAGTTTTCAATTTTTTTTTTTGCCCAATTTTGGCCATTTTGTGCCGAAAAATCGGTACTGAACTGTTATCGGGGGAACTAATTTTTTTCCGTCCATACCTATCTGTCAATAAAAAATGTATTTTTAGATTGTTTTTCGTAGTTTTTGATCGCTAGAAGGTTACAAAAAAATTGAATGAGTTTTAAATTTCGCTAATTTTTTCTTTTTTCTGGCTATTTTCATAGATTTTTTTGCATTTTCGAGGTTTTTGAACTATGTAAAATACTGTAAAAATGGCATATATTTTGTATTAATAATATCTGATTCAATTCTTAAGGTTTTCTTGAAGTTGAGACCGCTTTTTTCTGTTACACATGTTTTTCAGTCCATTTTATCGAAGTAATTATCAAAGAAACACTGTCATAAATTTAGCAAAATTTCTAAAACCCGTGAAGCCAATGGCAGCGCGTCGAATCACAATGTAAATTGGGTGTTGTACTTATTACGAGATACTAGAGGTATAAAAGCAATTATAATCAGGATTTTCGCAAAATATTTTACAAAAAACATGTTCTAAAAATATCTTTACAGCTCGTACAGCGAGCGGGTCTCCTCGGCGCCGTCGCGCGGGCTCTCGGCGTTTTCGACGTCGCGCGCTGGAATTTTCTATGGTTTAATAGAATACTAATAAAATGTAAATATTAGCTATTAGTAAAAAAATATTTTGTTATTGATAAAAATATACAACGTCTGGAGTATTAAATAGCAATATATCTAATCTAAGAGCTTTCGCATTATCGGAGGGGGGACAAAAATTTTTTCTTAGGATCTAATGTTTCACATATAAATAGTATTTTTTTGAGTATTCATAAGCGATTTTATACTATTTCTAAACGTGGAAACTTTACAAACCCTTATTAAAAGCTATCAAAAATATAGATTTTTCGATCAAAAATGGCAGATTTTTAACCAAAATTTCGACTTTTTAAAAACATTTTTTCAAGTTTTTAGCTAGTTTTTCTATTGAAACTAGAGTTATATATTACTTAAACCTCGATTAAAGCAGTTTCTAAAAAATGTACTAGGCATTTTAGGCTTATACAAAAAGTTCGCCCTCCTCCCCCCCGATAATGCGAAAGAACCGTAATTTGGCTTACCCCTTTTCCTCCGTTCCAGCGTCATAATGTCCGGCCAGTGGAGGGCCGGTTGGCTGCTGTGCAGCTGCAGGCGGATGCTCGAGTTCGACGAGGTTGAGCCCTTGAAAGAGGAATTTAAAAGATAATATGAGCACAATAAAAATTGATTTTTCATTTAATTTTAAAGGCATTAGCAAGACAAGAGCATTTACCTAAGCTACCTAGGTTATGGAAATTCAGCCTAAAACCAACCTGCGACTCGGCCCACTCGGCAATGTGTACCTCAACAGACTCGGGGTGTACTTCCAACTCGCGAAGAGTACGTGTTACAACCTGAAGACGCGATTTTCATAGATGTTTCACGGAGAACCAATTACGCCATGGAATTCGGCGGCTTAAACTTCATTCCAGGCTTGCCGAAACCTTTAACTCCCAAAATTCTCCTACCATTTCCACCGCCAGCCGCTTGTGAAAGGGGCGTGGCATGAAGCGGAGCGCGTATTTCGAATCGGCCGCCTCGACGGCGTCCAGAATTTTCTGTTTCGTCTCCCGAAATTGCTCGTCGCTGATGACGCCCGGCAAGGAGTTGACCACGATGATCTGGAGATGGCTTTTGATTTCCAGAAGAATCTCTGCTAGCCTGCCCTCTCCAATTCCTCAACAATCTCTGCTAGCCTGCCCTCTGCTCTTCCTCAACAATCTCTGCTAGCCTGCCCTCTCCTCTTCCTCAACAATCTCTGCTAGCCTGCCCTCTCCTCTTCCTCAACAATCTCTGCTAGCCTGCCCTCTCCTCTTCCTCAACAATCTCTGCTAGCCTGCCCTCTCCTCTTCCTCAACAATCTCTGCTAGCCTGCCCTCTCCATTTCCTCAACAATCTCTGCTAGCCTGCCCTCTCCATTTCCTCAACAATCTCTGCTAGCCTGCCCTCTCCATTCCGCAACAATCTCTGCTAGCCTGCCCTCTCCATTTCCTCAACGATATCTGCTAGCCTGCCCTCTCCTCTTCCTCAACAATCTCTGCTAGCCTGCCCTCTCCTCTTCCTCAACAATCTCTGCTAGCCTGCCCTCTCCTCTTCCTCAACAATCTCTGTTAGCCTGCGCTCTACCCCTGCCTCAAAGACACACCTTAATCGGCGCGGCTCCGGCCGATCCGCTACTCCGGACGGTCGGGTACCGAGATGAGGGCCCGGGCGAGCCGGCTTCAGTGAACGAGATGATATGGTTGCGTAGTACCTTAAAAATCGAGATTTTGATGGAGTATTATTATTATCAGCCCCTTAAAAGGGTTTAGACACTTTTTGCAAGACGTAACCGATAGCTTTTTTGCCTTTTTGAGGAATGATCTCGATGCTTGCCAATCAGGATAGATCGTGCTCATCATTTTTGAGCCTCACCTCAAAATATGCGCGATAGAATCGCGGTCCCGAAGCCTGTGGATCCGGACAGAACCAGTGGAGATCGGGGTTGATCTCGGCTGTCGAGGCGCACACCACGAGATCCTTTAGCGGAGACCGCTCGACGAGACCTCTACCGTAGGCCCCGATCAGCGACTGCAGAAATGGGGATTAAAATAAAATTTATTATTATTATTACTATACGGATATTAATAAAAAAAATTTTGTAAAGCCATTTTTGCATTCTTTTTCCAGTTAAAAAGCAATTTCGTGAGCTTGCAGGCTTCTTCAGTGTCTTCTAATTTTTTGAAACATTCTGTCAAAAAACAACGCAAATTTTACATGTTTCCTGTAAAATATTTTTTGAATTTTTGCGGGGCCAAAAAGCAATTTATTAAACTTTGTTCTTATCCGCTTCTGCTTAATTTGTGTTTTCCCGCCTATAACCGCTTGTTAATAAAAAAAGAGTGTATTTTGATAATAAATGATAGTAGTTTTTAATTATAAGAAAATCGCAAAAAAATATTTGAAACATTTTTGAAAATTCGCACATTTGACGAAAAAACGAGACGAAAACGTAGGTAGAAAGTTTTTGTATGTTTGTTTCAATCCAATGTGAAAACCCAACTATTTTTATCGTGAAAAATCGCAGTTTCACGTTTTTGCGAATTTTGAACCATTGAAAAAGTTTAGGAACAAAAAAATTCCAGTTTTTTGGCAATTTTTTTTATGTCGAAGGAAATCCAAAGAATACACGCAGTGACCTTTTTCAGATCTGGTGTATTTTTAAAACACTGGTGCCGATTTTAATTCTTAAGCTTAGGTTTACCTGGTGGAACGGGGGCAGAATGTAGTCGGTGCGGATGTGGCCGCAGATCGGGAGTAGGATTTCCTGGAATTTCAGCTAGTTTAAGTGAGCCTTATTTTCATCTTGCCGAAAATCATTTGCCCGCAATTCATTCTTCCAAAACCATATTGTCGAAATATCATTTTGTCGAAATTTCGAAAAATGCCTTGTTCGCCTCGATTATCCATCTCAAGCATGTCACAAATTGAAATGTCGGCAAAATGAAATGTCGACATCTCCGACATAATCCGCAGTAATCTCTGCTAGCATGCCCCGAAAAACTCATGCTCAACCGACCCTCAGCTCCCGCTCGCTCTCCTCGCTTTTCCGGATGCCACGCCGGCTGATCGAGTGCGACGTGTCGGCCACAATATTCGGCTCTCGGCTCTGAAAAATAGGGGATTTTTTTTAAAAGGGATCGAGCCTTGAGGGCAGGCTAGCAGAGACCATTTGAAAGTTCGGTTCTTTCGCATTAACGGGGGGGGGGGGAGAAATTTTAGTCTTAGGGACCAATATTTAAGTAGCGGCAGTGTTTCTAAGCTGTTTTTACAATTCTTGAACGCAACAACTTTACAAATGCTTATTAAAATAATACAAAAATATCGCCTTTTCCACAAAAAATGGCGGTTTTTACCAAAATTCCAAATTTTTAAAAAATTTGAAAGTTTTTAGATAGTTTGTCTATGAAAATATAACTTTAGTTTACTCAAAACGTCATAAAAATCTTCCTATTGAGTAACTAGGCATTTCTAGATTAATAGAAAAAAATTTCCAAACTCCCGATACCCCCATTATGCCAAAGTATCAGAAGTTAATCTTAATCATTGCGCTAGACGGATAAAACGAGGATTGATGCCTTACCGATCAGCTTTTGCTTTGAGAAAAACCGAAACATCAGACTAGATTTTTTGGTTTTTACCTCCATCCGCTTCAGCAGCTCGTGCTCACCCCATCGTATCGCCGCCTCCAGCACCTCGACCTCCGTTGACTAAAATTGTCGGTGCTGTTGCATTATCGGGGGGGGGGGGGCAATTTTTTTTATAAACCTATAATTTCTGGTGACTTAAGAGGAAGTTTTTCATAATGCTTTAAGTATAATAAAATCCCCTTAAAACTTAAAAAATCTCTAAAGACTTTGAAAATTAAAAAACAGATTAGAAACACTTCCGGTATTTATATTTTAAAACGGTTCCTAAAAATTCCCTCCCCCCCCCCCGATAATGCGCAAGAACCAAATTGTCTTAAAAGACGATTATAACAGAAAATTCGTACAGACTAGCAGGGACAATTTGCGGAAAGCAAAACAACCTGAAATGCAATGCAGGGCGCAATATTGCTTAGAAATTTTTTAGTACCGGGCAAGCTAGCAGAGATCTTTCGGGAAATTGTCCAAAGGTTGTCAAGATTGATGCTAAACTTTTTGCGACAAGCCTGTTTGCTTTTGAAACAATTTTCCAGCAGTTTGGGGGACGGCAAAGATCCTTGGGGTAATGACCGACTCTAATTAATGACGTCCAAAAACCTGAAATACCTGCAAGAAGTGGTTGCCGACGACCTGCTCCAGCTGGTCGATGCCGAGGTAGAAGAGGTGATGCGTCGAGGCAAGGCGCGAGAATTCGGACGCCTGAAAAAGTAGGTTTCGTCAATTTAGCAGGTTTAAAAAATAAAAATCTCAGGAATGGAGGTACCGTGACTTTTCGGACAACCTTACCGCTGAAAAACACAAAAAAGCTTACCAAATAGGCACGTGCCATGTTGGCCACATAATGGCTTCCCCCGTCCGCGGCCCAATCCAGAATTGATGCACAACTATCGACGGACAGACTCGCCACGATCACGTCTTCGCATACTAATAATCAATGATTCCCAAAGAACATTTGCTAGCCCGCCCCTTCCTCAACAATCTCTGCTAGCCTGCCCTCTCCTCTTCCTCAACAATCTCTGCTAGCCTGCCCTCTTCTCTTCCTCAACAATCTCTGCTAGCCTGCCCTCTCCTCTTCCTCTACAATCTCTGCTAGCCTGCCCTCTACTCTTCCTCAACAATCTCTGCTAGCCTGCCCTCTCCTCTTCCTCAACAATCTCTGCTAGCCTGCCCTCTTCTCTTCCTCAACAATCTCTGCTAGCCTGCCCTCTCCTCTTCCTCTACAATCTCTGCTAGCCTGCCCTCTCCTCTTCCTCAACACTCTCTGCTAGCCTGCCCTCTCCTCTTCCTCAACAATCTCTGCTAGCCTGCCCTCTCCTCTTCCTCAACAATCTCTGCTAGCCTGCCCTCTCCTCTTCCTCAACACTCTCTGCTAGCCTGCCCTCTCCTCTTCCTCTACAATCTCTGCTAGCCTGCCCTCTACTCTTCATCAACAATCTCTGCTAGCCTGCCCTCTCCTCTTCCTCAACACTCTCTGCTAGCCTGCCCTCTCCTCTTCCTCAACAATCTCTGCTAGCCTGCCCTCTCCTCTTCCTCAACAATCTCTGCTAGCCTGCCCTCTCCTCTTCCTCTACAATCTCTGCTAGCCTGCCCTCTACTCTTCCTCTACAATCTCTGCTAGCCTGCCCTCTACTCTTCCTCAACAATCTCTGCTAGCCTGCCCTCTCCTCTTCCTCAACAATCTCTGCTAGCCTGCCCTCTTCTCTTCCTCAACAATCTCTGCTAGCCTGCCCTCTCCTCTTCCTCTACAATCTCTGCTAGCCTGCCCTCTCCTCTTCCTCAACAATCTCTGCTAGCCTGCCCTCTCCTCTTCCTCAACAATCTCTGCTAGCCTGCCCTCTTCTCTTCCTCAACAATCTCTGCTAGCCTGCCCTCTCCTCTTCCTCTACAATCTCTGCTAGCCTGCCCTCTACTCTTCCTCAACAATCTCTGCTAGCCTGCCCTCTCCTCTTCCTCAACAATCTCTGCTAGCCTGCCTCTCCTCTTCCTCAACAATCTCTGCTAGTCTGCCTCAGCAATAGACTCACGCTGTACGAGGTGATGAAGCCCGAAAAATCTTGCGATATGCAGTAGATGACCAGCTTGCTGAAGCGCCGAGTCCGTCGACTGGCCGCTGACCATGGCGCGGGCTTCGCTCAGCGAGGAAGCGCTGCTGGCTGCGCCGGGGATTATCTGAAAAATCAGAAATGAAAAAAAAATGTATTGGTGGAGACAGAGAGAGAGAGAGAGAGAGAGAGAGAGAGAGAGAGAGATAACGGCGATACCTTGTTCAAATCCAGCTCGTCCTGATACAAATAATGCACAAGCACGGGGGCAAACGATCGAGGGAGGAGGTTCTCGTCGAGCACCTGAAAATTGTCACTGGAGCACGAAAAAATAAACAAAAATCTGCAGACTTAGGCTTAGGCTTAGCTTGGGCTTAGCTTACAAGCTTCGAAAACTCACCACTTTCTCGCCGTTTCTCCGCTTCACCAGCGAAGCGAACAGCTCGGACCGCGCGGCAATAATCTCGGCGTCGAGGCGCAGCGTGTACTCGTCTTGCTGGCTTTCTAAAAAGCAACGTTTTAGATGTATTTTTTTGCTAAAGTATTTTTGTAACTTTCTTATATCATTTTAGGTACTGGAATGTTCGCAGGGGGCGGGATTAATTAACGAGAGAGGAGAGAGAGAGGAGAGGGAGAGAGAGAGAGAGAGAGAGAGAGAGAGAGAGAGAGAGAGAGAGTAAAAAAGGGTAAGAGGCTCATCGGCATGTTTCATCTCGATACCCCAACCAAAACTGTAATTTGAAACTAATTACGCGTATTCAGTTTGGCCGTGTATTTTTATAACGCTTTTCCCAGTTTTTGATTGCTAGAAAGTAAAACATTTTTAACATTTTTGACAATTCCAAAATTGGCCTTTTTGGTCATTTTTCGTATTTTTAACCAAAAAGCCAACAATTTGCGCCATTTTTAGCGTTTTTTATAGGAACTTTTTATATCTAAAAACTGTGTTAATGCTATTAAAAATTGGGGTATATCTTGTTAATTTTAACCCACTTTTCCCGGGTTTCCCCCGCTGCAGCGCAATCACGAAATCGCCCTCCCGTTCCGCGGCCTCTTGCAGTTTTTGCAGGTCGACGGCCAGCGGGTTTTTCACCTAGAAATTTAAATTAAAACAGTTTTCTTGATTTTTATACCTTTAAAATCCCTTTAATAATGTGCAAAGTGTCGGGGTTGAGATTACAAGAATCGGTGTAGATGAAGCGGATGAATTCGCTGAAAAAAATGTTGCGTGCTTGATGAAAATCGCCTAAAAACATTTTTCGTATTTGGACAAAATACTTAAAAAAACTCTTCAAACAACATTCTATAAAACAAAACAAAAACATTGTTTAGTTCTTTGGCATTATCGGGCGGGGGGGGGGGTTGTACTCGTCTAGAAATGTCGGTGCTGGACTGTTAGCGGGGGGAACGAAATTTTTCCCTGTAATTCTCTAGAGCCCATTAACAATACAGAAATCATTTTTCCAACATTTTACACAGTTTTTTAAGATATACAAAAGATATCAAAAACAAAAATTTTCAGAAATTTTGGACTTTTGGTCAAAAATGTATGAAAAATGACCAAAAAGGTTGAAATTTCGAATTTTCAAAAATTTCAAAAAAATATTTTTCCAGAACTTTCTAGCAATCAAAAACTATGCAAAACATTATAACAAATAGATAATTACAAAATAGATAACAGGTAGATATAGACGGAAAAAAACAAAATTTGGACCCCCTGCTAACAGTCCAGTACCCGAAAAAACACATTTCTATAGCTTGCCAAAGAAAGTATGTTTCGCATTTTGAGCGCAGCCAAAAAGCATTGTGGACGATTATTACGGTAGAAATTAAAGCAGATTACTTCTATCTTTTTTTCGGCGTAATGGTACATACCGTAACTCGTCCACAGTAACGGTGTGTAGCGGGGAGGAGAGCTCGATGACGGTCGTTCCCTCCGAGACCGCTTCGGCGATGAATTCGCTCCGAACTTTCAAAAGTCGCCCGTGCACCTTCAGGGTTTCGCCCTAAAGAAAATAACTTCTCTTACCATAAATCACATTATTTTGAGTTGTATATAAAACTCGTAGTATATTTTTTGAAGTTCTATCGAATAGCCTTAAAGGGATGCCGACGGCATAGTCAATCGGTTACGCGCTGGAAAGAAAATGTCTCTGCGCCTCTCCCCGGGGCGCGCTCTCTGCCCTGTTGGCTACTTGCCAATTTGTTGATGAGGGGGGATCGACACATGCCGTCGGCAGCCCTTTAACAGAATGCCGACGAATATCGGAAATCCCGAAGAATAGCTTGCCAATCCCATTTACAGCTTTAGTTTGGCCTTTGTCATAACTTTCTTAAATTAATGTGTTTCGGTCCCAATTTAAAATCCGGATTTTTTTTGGATACTCTACCGGGTCCGCGATGATATATTCCCCAAAAAATAATGAATATTGAACAATTTCAATTTCATTTTTAAATTTACAAATTTCAACAAATCGACATTAAACTTGCCCCCCCCCCCCACCCCCGCTAACGAACCAAAACCCTAGAGCTTGCCAAACCTTAAAAACCAGCTCCATTGCTTGTGTTTTCGAGCCGAGCAACTGCTCGCCAATCGTCGAAACGCTCGGCCGAGCCGCGTTCGCCGCCTCGTACAGCTCGGCTCTAGATTTCATATTTAGTTTTATAACCTGATTACGTTCTATAAAGCTTATAAAATTTTATGAACTATAAAAACTAAGATTCTTTCGCATTATCGGGGGACCAACGTTTTTCTCGGATTTATTTGCCAAATATAAATAGTGCAAGCATTTCTAAACGTGTTTTTACGATGCTTACAAGTAAAAATTTAGACATTTTTGTAAAAAAATACTAAAAATATCGATTTTCGAGCAAAAATGCTGTGCTGGACCAAAATTCCGACTTTTTAAACATTTTCTAAGCTTTTAGATAGTGGAATTGTTTCTAAAAGCTTTTTTACTACTCCTGAAAGTGAAACTTCACAATTTTAGAGTAAAAACTATCATAATACTGGTTTTTCGACCAAAAATGGTCGTTTTTTTACTTTTTTTTACGGCTTTCAGATCGTTTTCGAGTTGAAATATAATTATTAATGATTAAAAACACGATAAACACTTCCTATTAAGTTAGTAGACATTTCCAGATCTATACAAAAAAGTTCGCCCCCCCGATAATGCGACAGAACCCAAATTACATTTGTCGCATGGCGTCCATCTCGCGGAACAGCGACTCCGCATCTTCCAACGGCCACGTCGAGATCAGGTCGCGGAACGTCCGGATTTTATCGCGATTCGCCGATTTACGCTAAATGTGTGGTTTTTGGAAAGTCCGGATCCATTTTGGCAAGTAATGAACAGCCCGGGCCGAGTTGATTCACTTATTGATTAGAACATCTCCACGACGGCGCGTAAAATTTTGAAACATTATTTTTATCAAAAACTTCAATTGCTAACGTAGACATTTTTTTAATAATAACGCCCACCTTGAAACTGATCTTGGCAAAATGGCGGCTAGACGCCGCAGCTAGCGAACTCAATTTTCCCTTTTTCTTTGGCGCCAGCCGCTGCTCGGCGGACGGGCGGATACGGTCGACATCCGTCGTCGAACGGCTTTTTAGCCTGGAATCACGTGTTTTCCTTTCCAATCCTTCTTTTCCAGGTATTTCCTAGGGTTACAGACAGCCATTAGCACTTACATATCAAACTAGTTCCTTTCGTGTTATCGGGGGAGGGAGGCAAATTTTTTTGTATAAGTCTAGAAATGCCTGTAGCTTAATAGGAAGGGTTTTAATAGTTTTTTTGACATATAGAAAAAAGGTAGCTACACACTTAAAAAATGTTTGACAAAGTTGAAATTTTGGTTAAAAAGCGTTCATTTTAGATCGAAAAATCAAAATTTTTGATATTTTTTAATACGTATTTGGAAAGCTTTTACACTTAAGAATCGTGAAAAACCGTTTAGAAGCAGCTCCACCATTTATATTTGAAAAATTCAATCCTTAGCAAAAAATTCCCCCCCCGATAATGGGAAGAACCGTCTTTTCTATTTCCTTGGGTCAGAGAAGGATACTTCAAAATTTATGTAATTCTATGCACATCTTTCCGACTCGTCGAATTGTATAAAATCGTCAATTTCGCTTTAATTTTCACCCACCGTAAAGCGCTGCTGTGGCCGCCCATTACAAAAATAGCGGTCGATTTTTCATTCAAACAAACGAGATCTTAGCTCCAAAGTTTTTTTATAATTATTGCCAGCCGCCCGGTTTATCCCGGCCAAAAGTATCAGCTGGCCGTGCCCAGGCCCTCTTGGCGCATTGCCAACCGCCCGCAACGCGGGACACGCGACGCGTGGCGCCCATGGTGACGTATCGGCCGGCCATCAATGCCACAGACAGCACAGCGCCCGAGCGGCTCGCCCCGGTTTCGCAAACCAGGCCCCGCGCCACCGTTGACGCGTGATTCCGAATCGATAGCCGGGGGTTTTTAGTTATATTTTTAAAGCATAACATTCCCTTTTGTCTATCCACACTCCAGCCTCGACCCAAACCACGGGGTTCGCTACGGGACCATTTCGCGGTTCACGTGGAATTGCCCGTCGTCAGCAGCCCCCGAGGCGCTTCCGGCTATCGATTTGCGAACGGTCGACGCGCGGCTTTACGTTTATTTTGAAAACAATAACAGTAGCACGTTTCTGCGGGTTTTTGAGCATTTCCCGGCCTTCGGAAAGCCCCGGGCAAGCTGGGGAACCGGGGGACACGTGGCGCGGGATTTCGATGTTTTCCGGTTGTTTTTGTTGGGTTCCTACAGCTAAAACATGGGTTTACGTCTAGCTGCTAGTCATGTAGTGATACTTACTAAATATATCTAGCTTCTAAATACTAACTAAGGGAGGTGCGCAGAAATTTGCCACAAAAGTAGCGAAGAAACCCCAGAATGAAGCAAATCGGTGCGAGAAAGTCGGGGCTTTAGGATTTTGGCTGCTGTAGCAAGCGCTCGGTTAGCTTATTGCTCTTTTTAAGGTATACATATCAGATTGCGTCAATTAGTTTATAAAGAGTAGTTTTGAAAAAGTTATTTATGCAGATTTTATTAGCGTTTTTCGCATCAGCTTTCTTTTCTATTGCGCGACAACACCTTTTATCCGGGCGTAATTTGGTGAGCCAGGTAGCTCGACAAGTTTTTTCTTGTTTTTGTTGCATCAAAAATTTACCACCTGTTTTGTCATCCTTTGCGGTTTGTAGTCGCCTGCCGCGTTCCGCCGGTTTGATATTTTCTGAGTCATAGTTTCACGGCTTTTGCCCTTCCACGTGTTCCTCTTGTTTCACACCTTTTACAACTGCACCACTTTCTCTAACCCCTCATTTCCAGGAACCCATCGCCCAGTTCGTCAACGCCAGAAAATGACCACCGTTAACCCGGAATAGTAAGTAGCTCTTTCTTTTTTATTTACTTTCTTTTTAGCGACTATCTCTTCAAGCTGCTCCTCATCGGCGACTCGGGTGTCGGAAAATCCTGTTTGCTGCTTAGGTATAGTTTTTTTGTTTTTGGCTTTCACCGATCGCTTTTCAGGTTTGCCGATGATACGTACACCGAGAGCTACATTTCCACAATTGGTGTTGATTTCGTAAGTTTGGACGTCATTATGCTTTAAATTTTGTTTAGAAAATTCGAACTATCGAACTTGACGGGAAGACGATTAAGCTCCAGATTGTGAGTTTCTTTTTTTTGGTGTGCGTTTTGTGTAGTTAACTGGGTTTTTCATTCCATTTACATGGTCATGTTAGTCCATTTTGATCATCCAGATCACTTTTTCGAACACAACGATCTTTCCCCCTTGTGATATGGCAGATCATTACTGAAAGGGCACATATCGATTTTTGCTGATTTCGGTTGTTGATAAGGTGGGGGGAAAGTGGGACTGTACTTGGATCCGGGAAAACAAGAGTGGCTTTGAGTTCTTTTAGGGTTAATCCTTGTTTTTGGCAGCGTTCCGATTTTTGTTGACATTTTTTATTGTTTTCTTTAGTGGGACACAGCCGGCCAGGAGCGTTTCCGCACCATCACCTCCAGCTACTACCGTGGCGCCCACGGCATCATTGTTGTCTACGATATTACGGATCAGGTATATTTTTTCTATTTAACGACTATTTGGCTTGCCCAGGTTGATTGTGATTTTGTAACTTTTTAAGAATTTCATCCTTCAATTTTCAGGAATCCTTCAACAACGTCAAGCAGTGGCTGCAAGAAATTGACCGGTACGCGTGCGAGAACGTCAACAAGCTGCTGGTCGGCAACAAGTGCGACTTGACAGCCAAGCGCGCCGTCGAGACCGCAGCTGCTAAGGTTCGTTTTTTGGAGTTTCAATTCAACATTGGTGCTCCGGGATTTGCGAATTCAGATAGGGGATGGCAAGACACTTGGGTTGTTTACGCCTAAAACAACGGAGATTTCTGGGTTTTTTGGTTTTTTTTTTGTATGCTTTGAGGATGCGTTTCTAGATTGTTTTTAACTATTCCCGAGCATACAAAACTTTAAAAATTTATTTTCGGTCGAGAAATTGATTTTTTTTCAAAAATGACCAAATTTTCTACATTTTCTAAATTTTTTTGAAAGCGGTGCGCATTAAATATAGCTAAAACTGACTAAAAACAATATAAAAAGAGCTTAATGTTAGTAGAATCATAGAAATTATGCCCCTAAGCGAATACACGTGTGGCTTCGAAATTTTTTGTCGCGTTGCTAAGCTTTTGATTTTTTTTGTTTAGCCGACAAAAGAGTTCGCAATGGAATCCTTGCCATCATCGCCGAGCCGAAAACCGGGTTCCGATATCGATCAGCCCGGCGGGGCTTAATACGCGTCGCCCTTTCCTCCCCTGTTCGACCGTTTTGGGGGCGATTGGGCGAGTGTTTGTATGTGGCGGCAAAATCCGTGAGCCATTCAACTGACCTGTCTGTCGCCAGCAATGTAATTGAAACCGGGTGTTGGATAGGGGAAATGTTGCCTAGGCCAGCACACCAGATCGGATTATTGCATCTGTGTTTTGTCGCTTTTGCCATAACAACGCCGTTTTATACCAATTTTTTTCCAGGAATATGCCGACCAATTGTCCATTCCCTTCCTCGAGACGTCAGCCAAGTCGAGCACGAATGTAGAGCAGGTTTGAAATACTTGTTGCTCCTCAAGTCGTTTTTCAGGCTTTCCTGACGATGGCTTCCGAGATCAAGACTAGGATGGGGCCGATGCAGAATGCAGGTTTGTCGTTTTCTTGTTTTTGGATTTAATTTTTGAAACATAGCCAGTGGAAGTGTTTCTTAATAGTTTTTTACTATTCCTAAGCGCGAATATACCAGATTTTACCAAAAAATATGAAAAACATAGAATTTTCGATAGAAGTTTCGAATTTGGGCTGTTTTAAAGTTTTTAGATAGTTTTTCTAGTTTACACATAGTTCTATATTATTAAAAGCTATTAAAACACTTCCTCTTAAGTTGTTAGGCATTTCAAACCTTATACAAAAAAGGTCCGGCTTAACTTGGAAACAAGCTCGGCTTGTTTTTTTTAGTTTAGCCTAAAACTCCGGAACGCCCGTCTGCACGATAACGTTTATCTTCTTTTCAGGTGGCCAACCCTCAGTGCGTATCACCGGTTCGCAGCCGGTGCAGGACAAGAAAGCGGGTGGCTGCTGTTGAAGCGTGTGCATGTGTTCTTCTCGGCGAAGCGACCAGAGTGGGCCCCGGATGAGATGAGGATTTTCACCCATTTTTACATGTCCCCCCTCTTCCTCCTGCCGCTCTTTTCGCTCTCCCAAAATTAGTCCACATCTTCTTTCGGTCCCCTCTCTTTTATGTGTGGCCCTCCCGAATCCAACCCACAAAACGGCTGTGTTTCCCCTCCCTTTTTGACCTGGTCCAGCGTGCGGGGTGTGTGCCCCTCTTTTTCTCCAAACTCGCCTTTCCACACATCCTACCACCCCCGATTAATCTGTGTTTTAGTGTATCTAATCAAAATGCAAAAACAAGCACATCGCGTATCGTGTCCCTGGCATGCGTTTGTTTGTCTGTACGTTCCTCTTCTAAACCCTATTCGCTGTCTTGTTCTTTGCCCGCCCCCGGATATGCTCCCTTTCGAATAAAGATTTTAATGCATTAATGATGGATGGAGTGCTAGACTGACCGCATGTACGCGTTGATTGGCTGGAATACGTTAATTGGCTAATCGCATGCAGCGGATGGGGTCCGATACCCGATTGATGAAGCCTAGTAACAATCACCGACAAGTACTAAAGGACGTGTCTCCTAAAATCATCGCAACTATTTATTTTCCACATAACGAAAATCTGCGAAATGTGATCGATGCTCCCCGTTTCCCAATTGCAAGTAGGAGCTTCTCGTGCATTCTGTAACCCCCTGGCTTGGTACATCATTTCCCGAGCAAGTCCGAATAAAATGCCATCTGCACGCCCGGTAATCGGAAATGGCAGAATGCCAGATTAGCCCCACAGTATACGGAAGTGCCGGAAAGCTTTATTTATGTCATGAGAAACAACAGCACAAAAAGCAACAGCAGCGTTGACCACTTTATTCGTCGCTACACATGGTATAAGAAAGTCCTGCTTGTTGGTTAGAAATTGGACGGCGGGTCGTGTCGATCGGTGGGCTGTAGATGGACGGCGAGAAGTTGAAGGTGTTATTGGAGAAGTTGCAGCGCCACCAGACGAGCACCGTTTTAGGCGGGAGGGTCAGCTGGAGCCGGGGCGGCCGCGCTCTTTCCACCAGCGTCAGGGGCGTCTGAAACGGCAGAATATGCTAATTCAGACACAAAAGCAACTAATTTTCAACATGCAAAACCCACTCATCGCCGATTTGCCAGTACCGCCGCCGGCAGCAGCGGGCTCTTCCTTCTTTTTGCCGCCGCACTTCAGCAGGGCACACGAGATGACGACGCTCGAAACGACGACTCCAAACATGGCAAAGTCGAGGTGGTGTCGGTTGAGGCGACGACGAATGCGAGATGTTCGCCGGCAAAGTGAGCTTCTTTTTATTGGAGAATTCCCACGCAAATCGCAGACGACATCCGGATGCTAATTTCCGATTCCGAAACGGGTATGTTCCTCATCCTGCGGTGCGAACTTTCGACTAGCTTTGTTTCCAAGCCGGCGACGCAAGCTTCAATAGTTAGCTTCGTTTCTAAGCCTCCGGCGCAAGCTAGAAAGGCTAGCTTTGTTTCCTAGCCTGCGAGGCAAGCTTCCCAATAATCGACCCTTCAAAATCTCCCAAATACGTTTTCCTAAAAAAAAACGAGCGCTTCCACAAAAATCGGGAATTCAGAACGAGTTATTTGATTCCAGTAACTTTTGATTTTCCCTTTTCCAACACTCGCTCCACGGTTCCAGGGAGGAATGTGCTTCCAATTTTATTAAAACTGCCCAAATAATGCATTAACGTTGTCAAAACCGAGAAATAAATAACAAAAAAGCAAGCGGAAAAAAGACGAGTAAACCCTCGAAGGTCGATGTCCACCGCGCCGGCTCATCGGAAGAAGATCTCGCGATCCGGGCATTCCCTCTCGTGTCGCTCAATCTCCGGGTAGCGATAGAGATGCGAAGCATTGTAACGGCACATCGACCAACACTAAAAACAAGGAATTAGAAAAATTAGGAAATTGATTCACCTGGTTCTTCGACGGATTCTCAATGCTGACGGGCGCGTAGCAGCGGTGATCACTAAAAAGGGGTTTCAGCTTTGCTACCGGAATCACTAGGAATCTTGCCCAGAAAAGGGCAGTCCGGGTGAATCAGACAAAAACTCACGCTATTTGCTTCGGCTCCAGCGGTTTCTGTGGCTCGGGCCGAAATTTTGGGTCGAGCGGCTCGATGGTTTTGTACGGACCGTTGTAAATCGGGACAGCCGGCTTCTCTCGCAGCTCGCGGATCACATCTCCGAACCCCTCTTGATTCTTGTGGGCCAACCGGGCGGGCACGGCGGTTGGTGGCAGGTAATTATGATCTGGAGGAAAGGAAAAGTATTTAACCGACAACTTCAAACATACTCGGGTCAAATTTCGGCAGATCCGGGTGCATCTTGTAGCATTGTTCCGGGAACTGGTACTTTGCCAATGGGCAGGCCTCTAGAACAAGATAACTCTTGAGCATTTCAAAGCATTTACCTCTCGGGCTATTCGCGTATTCAGCGTGGGCGAGCTGTGCGGGCAGAAAGACATTCTTCGCATTCTGGCTGACGGTTTCTCCTGAAAACAACTATAAAATTGGAAACCGAAAATTTAACGCACTTGCGATGCCGGTCAGCTTGGGCCGTCGCCGGGGAACGTCGGGGTATTGCCACATCGCTGATATGTAGCGCGGGAAGTTTGGCTGAAAATGAATGTTTTTACAAAGAAATAAAACACGTTCAGCAATAAAAAATGCGAAATCTTACGAGTGCGAAAAATCGGAACCGCACTCAAATAGTACGCTTAGCACCGTTTTACGGCCAGAGTACTGTTGCGGAACGAAACGGCGCTCCGCGGATTTTGTTTGAAAGTTTCATTTTTTATTTTTTAAATGTATTTTTCAAATTCATGAATTTAGAAGAATACTTGTAATATAATAAAATATTAATAAAGACTTTTAGGATTATCTCTATCCCGCGCCAGGGCTTCAGGCGCCCTGAAAAGCGTTGACGATGCGCATTGAATAGTAAATTACTTTCGTTCATTCCTGTCTTTTTCAGCGATTACCTCTTCAAGCTGCTCCTCATCGGCGACTCTGGCGTGGGCAAATCGAGCATTTTATTGAGGTGTCGAGATGACTTTTTTCTAATGCATTCTTTATAGATTCGCCGACGACACGTACACGGACAGCTACATTTCAACGATCGGCGTGGACTTTGTAGGGGATTGGATTTAGGTTTAATTTGTTTGTTTTCAGAAGATCAGAACGATCAATCTGGATGGGAAGATGATCAAGCTTCAGATTGTGAGTTCGCAAATTCCATCTTGTTTGATTTATCCTTTTTAGTGGGACACAGCGGGCCAAGAACGTTTCCGCACGATCACTTCCAGCTATTATCGCGGTGCCCACGGTATCATCGTCGTCTACGATGTCACCGCGCTGGTTTGCCATTTTTTTATGTTTTTGTATAAATTTTGGCCTAGGAAACGTTCAAGAACCTTGAGCAGTGGATGCAAGAAATCAAGCGGTACGCCACTGATAATGTGAACAAGCTGCTGGTCGGAAATAAATGCGACCTGGGCGAGAAGAGGGTTGTTCCCGAGGAAACGGGCAAGGTATCGTGTGCAAATTTAAACGTCTATGCGCTGGTTCAGGAATTTGCGGACAAACTGTCGATGCCGTTCCTCGAGACCTCTGCCAAGCAAAGTACTAACGTTGAAGAGGTATATTCAATTTTATCCCATTGAAAATACGTTTAGGCCTTCATCACGATGGCGTCGAGTATCAAGGCGCGGATGGGGCCAGTCGGGCAGACCTCAGGTGATTTCTGCTGGCTTCTGTTCTTTTCAAATATAAGAGCCGGAAGTGTTCTAAACCGTTTTTTATTCTTGGCAAGTGCAAAGACTTTACAAATTTTATAGGAAACCCATAGATTTCTCGGCGAAAACGGTAGTTTTTGAACAAAATGTCGACTTTTTGAAAAAATGTGAAAGTTTTTGGATTATTTTCTAGTTGCAATACCTTTACGCGTTGTGAATAGTTTTATTAAAATACTGTTAACTTGCTCTAAGTTACTAAACCTTGCTTGGCTTACAAAAAATTCTGGTTTTTTCGACAGCGACAATGGTCTTTTTTTCAGACGCCCACCCGGCTGTCCGTATCAAGGGTTCGAAGCTGATCGAAGAGGACCGAGGACTCTGCTGCATGTGAATAACAAACGGACGGAATGCATTTGATTTTCCCTTTTGTGTGCTACATTGGATGTCGATGAATAAAGCGTTTTTCTAACAGACAGTGGTTTCTTCCGAAATTTTTGCATATGAGTTTAATTAGTGACTTCCGGTCTTAGGTGCCGCAAAATTCTGTAGCGCGACAAGGTCAGTCCACATTTCCGATGGGCCGACACCGCAACCGGTCGGGATCGACGAGCTGCTCGTCCAAACGCTCCAGTAATAAGGTTTTTCTATTTTTTCGTTTCCCTACTTTTTATTGCAGCCCCGTCAGCGGAAGTATGAGCGCGAGCCGGAGAGTGATGGGTTGGTTTTTCAGGAGCTGCAGCTACGACCAGCTACTAACCTATTGACGTTCGTAGGTCGATGAACAGCAGTCCCACATCGCGTGCGAGCACCAATGACTCGTCGCGCAACTGCTCGTCTCGGTCGAGCCCCGACAAGCAGCTGGTGGGGGGCGTCGTAGAAGCACCTCCCTCGGACATCGACGCCAATCTGCAGTTCTTTGTCGGGGTAAGGATCATCTAAATTTCTGGTCTATCGGCCGTTGTCTAGAACAAACTCGGCCTGGCCCCGCAGAAGCCGAGTGCCGAAGAGCTGGAACAAAAGCCCAGGCGCAGTAAGTGTTAGCTTTGTTTTCCGGGCCGGGAAACTCATAGACCCGTTGCCACTTTCAGGATCGGTCGACTCCTACTTTGTCGGCGTGCACCGCTCGGCCGACGTTGAGCGCCAGCTGCGCGGCCCCAACGACTTTGTGTTCTACTATCGCGTAGGGTTCTTGAATTATTTCAAGCCCCGCTTCTTCTTTCAGCAGCCCTCCTCGCTGAACATCAGCCTCTACCTGTGCCTGTTCGTCGCCTATCAGAGCACGGCCGGCAGGGTCTACCACTATAAGGTGATGACCAAGAAGACGAACGGGCAGAAGAAGTGGTTCGTCGACTGCGGCGAGGTCTCGCCCAAGGAGGTCGGAAATTCGGCTAATTTTTGATTGTCTGTCTTTCAGTTCAGCTCGCTGGAGCGACTGATCAGCTCCTACACGACGTACTGCTACGCGGGGCCCGGCTTCGAGAATCTCGACATTTTCCCCGTCGATCTGGTAAAGGATCTGGAGCCCCTGACCCTATTTTTCCGGATGGTTCAGCCGCCGGACTGGGAGCTGCACTGCGACGATGACACGACCTTCTAGCCGCCGACGACTCGAGAATCCACGAATCCTGATGGCCACCGATTACCCGCTTAAAATTTCTCGATCAATCTTCACGCTCATTTACTCGTTTAATTTGTCTGGCGAATAAATGCATTTTCGGGTGTTTTTCTTGCATCCGAGATCTAGTGAAGTACTATGGGCTTGTGAATGTATTTTTCTGTTGTTTCGGCAGACGTTTAATGAAAATTGTCGAAAAACTGGCGTTCCCCGTTGGCATGGGTAATCTCGATGAATGGCGTCCAGCCGGACGATACGTGCTGCTTCAACTGACTGGCGAGCGTGTGCGCTGAAAAGGCAGAAAGGTAGGCTAGCAGAGGTCTTTGCGGAAAACTCACGCGTGAGCAAGTCGGAAGGTGTCTTGGCCGGCGAAAAATGGAAGCCAAGGTCGCTGGATAGGCGGCGTGACTAATCTCGTTTTAAAAGCTTTTTGCAGAAATACCAATTTCCGGCGCGGGCTCGGCAGCAGCGTTAGGTTGGCCGGGACGGAGCGCTTGAGCTAAAAATCGGGTCCTTTCGCATTATCGGGGGGGAACTCTTTTTCTGAGGACCCAATTTTTGAAATTATAAATAGGGAAAGTGCTTCGAAAAAGGTGTTTCTAATTCGTAAGCATGAGAACTTTTCCAATTAAAAAAATAGCAAAAATAATGATTTTCAACAAAAATCAACGATTTTTAACCAAAATTTCCTTTTCAAAAACTCTTTACGTTTTAGATAGTTTTTCTAGTTGTAACCTAGTTATTTTTCACTAAAAACACGATTAAAACACATTTTTTTGCAAGGAAAAGGGGTGTACCTTATTGTTCTCGTTGTACGACGGCATCGATATCGATCGGCATAGCAATTCGTTTCTCGGGGGAACCAAATTTTGCATAGACTGTTGCCCGGAGCTGCCGGGGATCTTAAAAAAAGTAGAGTTAAACCTAGAAGTTGAAAAATAACGAAGTATGATAAATGGACAATTGAGAACAAACCTCTTCACATAGTCGCGCGATGTAGTCATTCTTTTGCGCCAATTCCTGAAGACGTTCAAGGTTATATTTTGTTGCGTTTTGTTTTCATTTTATTTTGGTCTTAGAATGGCCTTAGAATGAATCAAACGAACTACGCTTTGGGTAGGATGAGATTTATTTCTATTTGATCTTTTTCTGACCTGCTTGAGCGCGTCGATTTCCTGTTGCAGCTCGTTGATCAGCTGCTTCTGGTTGTTGCGGTAGCGCGTGGCCGCCTCGGCGTTGCGTTCGCGGCGCAGCGCCAACTTTTGCTGCGGGTTCAGGTGTACCGGGGGCGCCTAGAAGTTCAGATATGTTTAAAAACTTTAGAGCAATTGTTTTCGTAGTGTTTTTAGCAAAAATAAAACTAGTTGAATTAACGAAATTTAACTAAATTATTTTATTTTATTATTTTTAGTTATATTTAATCTTCCAGATCGATCCCAGATTACAGTAGATAGGACATTAATTGAAAGCGGCACATATTGTGTAAAACAGACGCGAATGAATACAGCCGATTAAACTTACGGAAATTCAGCCAATCATAAAATTTTACGAAAGATCTTTTTTAACTGCAAATTTTTGAAGCAGTGTTTCGGCAAAAGCATATTTCGACAAGCTGGAATTTCGACAAAAGTACTTTCAACGTTCCAATTTTCGCCAATAAAAAATTTACGCGACACTTACCTTTAAAATCGGATCTCCGCGTCACTTATCTTGTAACAACTAGTGCCGCTTTTCAATTTTTGAAAAATGCCTTGTTTTCGAGAAAATTTTGGTTCTTTCGCATTATCGGGGGGACCAAAAAATTCCCTGTAAGTCCAGAAACTCCCAGTAAGGTGGTAGAAAGTGTTTTAATAGTTTTTTTTCATAAAATTGACTTTATTTAGACTAGAAAAAGTATCTAAAACATTTAAAAATGCTTAAAAAATCGAAACTATGTTCAAAATCGGCGCTCTTTTTTTATTTTTTAACAAAGATTTGTAACGTTTTGCGCTTATGAAAACGAAACCGAGAAAAGACAAGAACAGAAAAAAGAAATGAAAACGGCTTTACCAAAAATCCATTTTTTGTATGTTTTTTGATCAAAATTTGTAAATTTTTTACATTTAGGGAAAGTAACAACATTCGAAAAAGGCTTTCTGGACTTATATTAGACCCCCCCCCGCTAATAAACCAGAACCAAAAAAACTAAACGCACATCTCCCTTGGGCGGACGGCCTCGTTTCACTTTTTGCGGCGTCAATTTCATACGGTAGCTGATGAATGGGAATTAATTTCGATGGAATACGATGGAGTACGATTTCCGGAAAGTACAGGATAGTCGTGAAGGTAGCTTTTCGGGAAACGCGGTGCTTCGGACGTCGATGAGCTCGAGTGGTCAGCCAGCCAAAAATTACAGGCCAAACCGAAGGACGGGGGGGGGGGCTTATTTTCCGAGGGGCTTCTCTGTTTACACGAACACCGCGACGTTGCTGCACCGGATGGGGTTTGTAAGTACGGCCCTGTGGGCAGCACAGTGGTCAATGGTTGGTACTGGGCTGTTAGCGGGGGGGGGGAATAAATTTTCCCCATTAATTCCATATTTTCTTTGATGCGAAAAGCATAATGTCGAAAAAAATAATGTCGACATTCAGAATATCGAAAATTCATTTTGTCGAAAATCACGATGTAGAAATTCATAATGTCGGCATTTCTGAAAGTCAGATTTTTCGGAATGCCGGCGTTTATATCGGAGCCGCCCGGGTTCCTTCAAAATGCCGACATTCATGATTCCGAAAATTCGGAATGTCGAAATTTATGATGTCGGCATTTCGGAATTTCGAAACTTACATGAGCAAAAATGTTCCAAAGCAAAAAAAAAACAAAAATCAAAAGCAAAAATCGAAATTTATTGTGGAAATTCCATTTTGTCGAAATTTCTCTGCTTTTTCGGCTCGATTATCCATGTCAAAACTTCGAAAAGTCAAATTTCGGTGTATTAAAATTTCGAAAAACTGAAATTGCGAAAGAATGATATTTCGACGACATCGTACTTGGACCAACTAATAAAAATGGCGATGAAGAGTAAAGCGATCAATTTAAAACATCTTTATTCAATAGCACTTTCTGCACCATCCCATCCGCAGCAGATGCTCGTGCCACAGGGACAGGTATTTGAATTGGTAGATGAGGAGCGAGGTGTGCGTGCAGAGGAGCCCGACGGAAACGAGCAACCCCGGGTATACCATCCATTTGCCCGGGGCGGCGACAATCGTCAACACGCTGACGAACAGGGCGGCCAACGCGACGAGCGTGTACAGGAATCGGGTGGCGCACTCGAATAACTGTAAAATTAAACCTAGGAGGTATGCGCATAGCTTAAAGGCGGTAGGACAAGTCGTATCTACAACCGGCAAAAACCTAAACCAAAAAGCAAAAGGTTTGGAGGTATGGGGAATTGAACCCCAGACCTCTCGCATGCTAAGCGAGCGCTCTACCACTGAGCTATACCCCCTGCGAGTCCGCTGTGGTCGCGGGGCTAGACGAGGGCTTGGGGGCCTGTTCGAGATTGGGCCAATGGCCTGGTATCGAAATTAAAGTTTTTTGACGTTTTAGTAATTTTACGATTTTGAAGGCTTCTTTATTAGCTGCTAGGATATCTTACCCACGGAAATAATATATTTTATTGTTGTATGTTCGACTTATTATTATTGTTATATATCATACTTCTGGCGGTATTAGTATTCATGATATTCTGGCATTTTTAATAAAAATTATTTTTTTTTTGCAAAAAAAACCCCTTCCAAATGTCACGATATTTACTTTAAATGGTCATCTTTTCAAAGGGGAAAAGATTTTGTTTATTTATTTTAGGAATTTCGACATTTTGCTACTAAATATAAGGCTTTTCATTTGTTTTTAAGATGCTTTGAAGCATATAAATACCCGAAACACACCTGCGTAAAACAAAACACAACCATCAACCGGCGCTTCTTCCGCCTTATCGCCCATCCGCTCAACGCGTCGAGCACGACGTTCATCAACAGCTCGAAGAGGCAAACGCCAAACGCCGCCCACGCGATTTGCCCGTCGATGATTTTCGTGGGCCTGAAATTTGCGTTTTTACATGCATAGTCAGAATTCCATTAGGCTTAAAAACATGATAGAATGGCGAAATTGACTAATTATTTTCCAAAAATTATGTCTAAAATGAAATGCTTCAAAAATTAAGATACTACACGATTTATTTAACGAAAATGAGGGCTAAAATAAGGCGTTTCAAAAAAAATTTAGATATGGTGCGGGAATTGAGGCTCCGTTGTTGAATGTTTCCTCCTTTGACTATTTTCCATATTTTTCCCCGTTTCATTCCGATTTACTTTTCTTTACAATTAGCAAACTAACCATTTTGCTACTATAATATTTTTAATTGTGCTTAATTTATTTTGGTTATTTGTTGATCAGGAAATCAACAGTAAATTCAGAAACAATTCTAAATATTTGCCAAAAATGATGGCTAAAATAACCTTCCTCAAAAAATTAAATCTAAAAAAATAAGACCAAATTTAATTGCTTTAAAAAATTAAAGTACCATCCCAATTATTTTCCAAGAAATTTTGGCTAAAAACAAATGCTTCAAAAAAATTCAGATACCATGCCGGCACTTGCACTTGCAATTGCTTGAGTCACTCTCGCCAATTTGTTTATTTTGGTTCAAAATTCGCAATATTTCACCCATTTTTCTCATATACTGTCAGGGGCGTAGCCAGAAAAAAATTTCGGGGGGGGCCCCAAAAAAATTTTTCCGAAAAACTCAAAACATTGGCGAAAAAACAGCGCCGCAGGCAAAAATCTTTGAAAAAAAAGGTTGCATAGCTCTACAAATTGCCGTAAAAACGTGAAAAAATAGCGCCGCAGGCAGCAAAATTTTTGAGAAAATAAAAATCATAAGGGTCCCCCTTATGAAATTTTCGGGCCCCTGCCGATTTCGGGGGGGGGGGCCCCGGGCCCCCGGGGCCTGTATTACGCTACGTCCCTGTATACTGTTATGAATTTTGTGCTTAATTTAGTTTTAGTATTGTATTTATTATTTTTTGACCCCTTTTCCCAATACATTATTGATTTACAACGCTCAATTTTTCACTTTGTCGATCCTGGGGCAGGCTAGCAGAGATTTTTTAGGAAACGGGTCCCAAACTATGAATATAACTCACTGATATAACGCCTCCACGAAGACCATGATCACCTGCACGGATTGGGATAGAAATTCCGGGATGAAAAGCCGTTGGGAAAAAGCTTCCAGGGCTTTCTAAAATTGCATTTTTTTTGAATTATTTAAGCATTAATTCACTAAAGCTTTAATCAGTTTCATATGCATTAACCCATCAATAAAAATTTTGAAATTTTCAAAAATTAATCGATTAAGCTACCTTTTCCTCGTCGCGTCGCGCTCGCCAGTTCTCAAGGTCCTGAAAATGTGGATTTCTAAAACTGAAATTTAATAGCTTTTGTTTTTTTGTTCTTTAATACGTCTTTTTCAGCTTTAACTTTTATTGATTTTTCAATCTAAATTAAAAAATTTTTTAAAATTTTTCGCTGCTAGTAAAATAACAGTGTTTTATATCTTGGTGGCCGTAAAATCGGAAAGTTCTAACAGTTGTGACAAGTACTATCCGCTTAAAAATCCCAAGAAATCTCCGCTAGCCTGCCCTCTCCTCTTCCTCAACAATCTCTGCTAGCCTGCCCTCTCATCTTCCTCAACAATCTCTGCTAGCCTGCCCTCTCCTCTTCCTCAACAATCTCTGCTAGCCTGCCCTCTCCTCTTCCTCAACAATCTCTGCTACCCTGCCCTCTCCTCTTCCTCAACATTCTCTGCTAGCCTGCCCTCTCCTCTTCCTCAACAATCTCTGCTAGCCTGCCCTCTCATCTTCCTCAACAATCTCTGCTAGCCTGCCCTCTCCTCTTCCTCAACAATCTCTGCTAGCCTGCCCTCTCCTCTTCCTCAACAATCTCTGCTACCCTGCCCTCTCATCTTCCTCAACAATCTCTGCTAGCCTGCCCTCTCATCTTCCTCAACAATCTCTGCTAGCCTGCCCTCTCCTCTTCCTCAACAATCTCTGCTACCCTGCCCTCTCCTCTTCCTCAACATTCTCTGCTAGCCTGCCCTCTCCTCTTCCTCAACAATCTCTGCTAGCCTGCCCTCTCCTCTTCCTCAACAATCTCTGCTAGCCTGCCCTCTCCTCTTCCTCAACAATCTCTGCTAGCCTGCCCTCTCCTCTTCCTCAACAATCTCTGCTAGTTGCCCCAACTCTTCAAAACGTACACATTTATGATCAGGAACGCTGGCAGTCGAGGCGATAGATGCTAATTCAGTTCCAATTCCCTCATCCACCTGGGTCATCGCATAGCCGATTTTTGGTGGCGAAATTTAGCGTTTTAAAAATATAGTTAAACAGGTTTTAACCTATTTAAAAATAGTGTAGATTAAAGATGTTAAAATCAATTAGCTATTTTGGTTGGTCGATTGCTTCCAAAATAAATAGCTTGAAGCCTTTTCTGGTGGGCGTCTATAGTCAAGTGGAAATTTGAGGCCGTGCTCGGGGGCGCGTGGCCCCACTTATTTGATGCTCTGATCATCGAGGTTCTGTTTATAGAGCAGAAAAAGACAGGGTTTTTTTTTTATGAAAACTGGATAAATCCGCGTCGAGACATAAATTTCATTTATAAATTTGAGACAAATGTTTCGGAATTTACGAGGGTCGGCTCAAAAAGCTTTACCTGTAAAAGGCCGATAGACCTCACCTGTCTCCCTCTCTCTCTCTCTCTCTCTCTCTCTCTCTCTCTCTCTCTATCTCTCTCACTCGCTCTCTCTCACTCTCTCTCTCTCTCACTCACTTTCTTCCCCGCTCTCTCTCTGTCTCCGTCTCTCTCTCTCTCTATCTCTCTCGCTCTCTCACTCTCTCTCACTCTCTCTCACTCACTTTCTTCCTCGCTCTCTCTCTGTCTCCGTCTACCTCTATCTCTCTCGCTCTCTCACTCTCTCACTCTTTCTCTCTCTGAAATTTATGGGGATGTCAGAATTATCAGAATCAGAAAAATCAGAATGATCGGAACTAAATTTTATTCAAAACACTTTTTTTTAAAAATGTCATTTAAGGTGGATCTAAAAATTCAATTAGTGAAATGACTGATTAAAAATTCAAGCATTAAATTTTCATACAAAGAGTTGCAAGGTTCGAAATGAACAAATGATTGGCCTAGCTTCTCAAAAAGTGCTCGCTACGCGCTTGGAGCAAGAAGTGTTCGGCCATGCGCAGATTCGGCACCCCCACCCGGCGATGGTGGGAGTCGAGGCCGTTCGCCGTATCCAGAATGAACTGGGGCACGTCCTGAAAATACTTTATGAAAATTCAGGATTCTTTCGCATTATCGGGGGGGGGGGGGGGGGGTGGTCGAATTTTGGGTATAACTCTACATAGTATCTAGCAAAAAAATGGTATATTGTGAAAATCTGGGCGAAAATCGGCCGTTTTGGTTGAAAAGTCTCTGCTTTTTAATCCTGGATTTTTATAGGATTTTTCGTCGATTTTTATATTCTTCACCTTTCATGCCAATCCTGGTGCAAATCTCTGGAGAATCTTTTGAAAAGTAGAATATAAAATATAAACGTATGAAAAATAATATAAAATAGAGGATATAGAGAGAAAATAAGAGGGGGTTCTAACGAATTTTAGGGTTTTTTTGACCGATAAACAAACTTAAAATAAGCTTCCCATTACTACCACGTTCAAAATGTAAAATAGCCAATACCGAATCAATATAAATTTACTTAAGCCGTAATACAAAAATGCTTAAATCAAGGCAAATTGATAAAAACTCATCAGGCGCATATTGGTCAGTAAATCAGCCAACCAGCGGGCCATCAGCACAAGTCTCCATCTAGAACGCGGCCTTACATCCGTCAGGTCATCGACTGAATAAATGTTTTAAAAACTTTTAAAATTTCCAAATTTTCTAAATGATTTAAAAATTTTTTAAATTTTGTAGAATTCTAAAAAAATTTGCATTAAAAATTAAAGCGGAAAATTTTTTAGTGTGAGCAAAATTATTGCTGTAACGTAAGCTGAAAAGGACCGGAAACATAATACCGTAGTTAGCAAAGTCTAGTCTATCTTTTTTCACCAGATAAAACTCGAAAAATAAATCAATTTTAAATGAACATGATATGCTGAGCAAAATAGAAAAAGACTAGAAGAGAATTTGGAAAAATAATTGAATCAAAGCTGTCTTGAAAAATAAATAAAATTAGAACTATTTTTTACATTTACATAAATTTTATTAAAACCTAATCAAATGCTCGAATTAATTATTTATTTGCGTTTAAATTTAGAAGTTTCAAAAACATATTACTGACTGTGCATAAAGTTTTTATCCTTAGATCTCTGCGCCTAAAAAATCTTTTCAATATTAAAAAATATAAAAGCTAAACAACGGAAATTTAAGTGATAGCATGATTTAAACGGATCCAAATTCACACACACAATTTCGTTAAAAAAGAATGTAGCGTAAAAATTACCAAAAAACGTCGTGGCACGGCCGGGCTTTCCGGCGCGACCGGTGCGCCCGATCCGCTCGATATACGTGAATTTGTGGTCGCTAAAAGAATGTAAAAACGGTAATTAAATACTATTATCAACTTTAAAATATAAATATTATAATTTCAAAACCTACTAAGTAGATGGCAACTCAAAATTGATGACGTGCTGCACGCCGCGTGCCCCAAAATCGAGCCCGTTTGCGGCGGCGTTCGTCGCGACGAGGACGGGGATTCTAGGGGTATAGGTTAATTAAACCAGCGTGTTATTTATGGTATTATAGTAGATTATATTTTATTATTGATTTTTTATTTATTGCTATTCATTACGTTTGGCCAGTGATACTGCTAAAAATGGTTTTTTTCTTCGTTTTCCATGTATGGTTTCCTTAGCGTCAACCGTGATAATATAAATAGTGGAAGACTTTCTATAATTCTAAAATAATTATTGCTAAACGTCAAAATTTTACAAATTTTGACTAGAAAATACAACAAGCAATCGATGTATCGAACAAAAATGGCCTATTTTCCTTTTCCTCACCTGCCATCCGAGAAATCCTTATAATTCTGGGCTCGATCCAACTCTTCCAGATCACTATGGAAACATTTATTTTCGAAGCCCATCGCTTTAAGCTGTTCGGATAAGCTGGAGGCATCTGTTTTTCGATTAACAAAAATCAGTGTTTTTGTCAGGAGCCCTTGATCTGGAAAGAAATTACTTAAAAGGGCAGGCTAGCAGAGATTGTTGAGGAAGAGGAGAGGGCAGGCTAGCAGAGATTCTTGAGAAAATCTCGCGCTTACCATCCTTTTTATGGCGAAGTTCAAAATAGTGGCGCGTCACCGTAGCAGGCTTGCCATTCTGGTCCATCACCTCTTCAGTGACCTCGTATTTGGGCGAATCGGCGATAACTCTACATTCGGTTTTGGAACATAAGAAATTCCTGACTCAAATTGTTCCCGCAAAATCGCTTCAATGCGATCCAGAATTCCATTACGTCCAATCTCTCGGGCGTCGACAAAGTTCTGGAAAAAGTCGATGTTTCAAGGCACGAAGGCATGTAACGCAAAGCGGACGCCTCTATTTAGTAAAATCATAATTAATATTACTCTCTATTTCTAATGCTTTAATAGGGTTTGTATCAATTTTATAACCATTTTGAGCATAATTGACAAATAAAAAGGAGAGGGGTCCTTTCAGTAATATGAATTTTTGCCGATTTGTCCAAAAACATAAAAAATCTAGTTTATAGTTTTTTATTTATTTCTGGGTATTTTATTTTCTAAAATCAATGCAACTGAATTGCGTGTTTTATGCAAGTCCTAAAAAGACCTGTTCAATGAGCGGATTCGCGGTCATATCCCGGCCCACAGAGATCGAGAAGACGTCCAGCTGAAACGATGCCTAAGCAAATTTTCTTACCACCGACCGTAATTAATTCTCGGTAAGTAAAATAACCAAAAACTGCTTTGCCATGAAACATAAAAATTTACATTTTCTGGATCGTTGTCGTTGAGGTAAATTGGGCGATAGCATGAGCCGCCATCGTGATTATCTGCCCCCACATATTCGAATTCTTCAATCTGGAATCGGGTGGTTTTTCTTAAAAACTTCTGATGCCATCATGTCGAAATTTTGTAATGGCGAAATTTCAGAAGGCTGAATTAAGCTTGACGAATTTGCCTCTTGTCGAAAGTTCTTCAGATCGATATTTAAAAGTGCCGACAAGTCAAAGTTTCGAGACTCCCTCTCTCCCCACCTCTCCCCTCTCTTTCTCACTCCCTTTCTATCTCTCTCTCTCTATTCCTTCCGCCCTCTCTCTCTCTCTCCTTCTCTCTCTCTCCCGCTCTCTCTCTTTCCTTCTCTCTCTCTCTCTCTCTCTCTCTCTCTCTCTCTCTCTCTCTTACCGTTAACAATCTCTTCCCAACCCTCCGCAAATTCATGTTCATTGCCGCCGACGTGAGCAGGACTGCGTACGGCCGCTCGCTGGCCGGAGCAAAATCTCCCAGTCGGTTTAAAAACCTGGAAAATTGTGTTTAAAATTTGGTCTAATATTTCAAAGATATTTCTTTTTTGAATGAAAGAATTTTCAAAGATATTTTTCAAAGATTTTCGAAGATAATTCTGCTTAAGTCGTTAAATTGTATCAACAATTTCGTTGGATCGCTAAATTTTTGACATTTGTCATTATTGAGGAAAATCGCCTTTAAAAACGGCATTCACAGAATTTTTAATTCATGATCTTTTTGGATAATGTTAACTGCTTCGTTTTGAATTTAAGATTTTTTGGCCTTTAGAGTGGGTATGTTTCAGTAAAACCAGGGCTTCGATCGGGGTTTAGACTCAGAATCTGCTCTTTTGCAAGGTTGGAATTTTCGATGCTTTATAATCAGCATTTTTTTTTTTGAAAAATTGAACCGAAACCAAAGTTTTTCAGCTACCTGTTAAAGTCGATCGTCATCGAGGCGGACTTCCAGGAGTCGACAAATTCGTGGAATTCGTCGACTACGAGATATTCCAAGCGACTCGTGTCGAGCAGGCCCCGTTCCATGAAATCGTGGAGTCGCCCGATCGTCGCCACGACAATGTCGATATTCTGGTAAAAAGCGGTAGTGTTTTAACGTGGAAGTTTAAGACATAGTTATGGAGAATTTCATCCAAACGACGGCCAAAATCCCGACAGGCTAAAAACCGCGATCGCGAAAATCCCGACAGCTAATATACCGGGAAGAAAATCCCGAAAGCCAAAATCCTGACCCGCCAAAATGCCGACAACCAAAAAATCTCGACGGGCCAAAACTTGCATGTCATGTTGGCTTGTCGGCATTATTGATTGTCGGAATTTCGACCTGTCGGTATTTTTACTGTCAGTAAACAGGGTACCGATAGAATTTGTCTTTAATTTTCAGTTAAAGGAAGATGGCAGGAAAAAAATGGAGTTTGAGGTTAAAGGGAGCGTGACAGGAAGAATTTTAGGGCGGTTTTTAAAGGGGGAATGACAATAGAGCTTGTTTATCGAGTTTTAAGGAGCTTTTGCTTAAAATGTTGCGATCTTGATTTCAATAATTTAATTGCTTACCTTATCCAGTCGATCGATGCAATTATTCACCAACGTCCCGCCGTAAAGTGCCTCGACGTGCAGCCCGCTGCCCGCTGCGAATTTGCGACCCTGGAAATGGAAATTACAGCCGAAGCTACGCAATTAAAAGCTCAATCTTGCGCGAAACATGGAAGTTTGTCGAAACATAAAATTTTGCACCCACTGTACAAATTTTTCCGCAGTTGCAAATTCTAATATTATAGTGCCAAGCAGAGATAATTTTCAAATCAATTGAATGTAAAAAGTAAAAAAATCAGTTTTCCAAGAGCTCTGCGTCTGCAATTTTGCTCTGATTCGTACTTCGCAAATTTTGTAGACCATAGAAATGAATCGAATACACTATTTGCTCTGAGAATCATTAAAGCCAATTCCTAGCTGCCTTGCCGTGATATTTAAATGAAAAAAATTTGCACTTTACCATTGATTCGAAAAACTGTAAGTTTCATTAATTTTTCTGCAAAACCAATGTTTCACCTTGGCAGCGCTAGGTCTAAATTGTACTCTCAATATTACGCACTCGCGCTTGGTAACCTCGAAAAACATGCTAATTTTCAAAAACCTCGTTAGCGATCTGCTCGGCCAACTCGTGGATTGAGGCGATGATGATGGCGCGGGGCTGGCAGGCGCGGGGGTTTTTTGCCGCTTCGCGAGGAGCTTCCCCGCGTGCCAGCAACTCCAGGAGTCCCAGAACATAAGCGGTAGTTTTACCTAAAATGATATTCTTAATGGCCTGCTTTTCTGTTTCGACCTTTTCCTCAACAATCTCTGCTAGCCTGCCCTCTCCTCTACCTCAACAATCTCTGCTAGCCTGCCAGACTTACCAGCCCCTGTTTGAGAGCTCCAAATCATCGCTTCGTGCATCAATAGACCCGTTTCCGGGTCCATTGCCACCATCTTCGGGATGCCAAAATACTCGATCGGAGTCGGGTGATCGAAACTTGCTTCCCGGATGTTGCTCATCAGAAACGGTTGTAGCTCCAGCTCCTCGAAACTCCTAAAAATCCCTGAAAAATCGCTATGTCCTAAATCGAAATGGTTTGTTGTTTCTTGTTTGTTTTTCCACTTTGCGGGATTTTACCGCGTAACTAGTTGAGACATTCATTCTGGGGTTGAGACTTGTTTTTTTTCCAGCTTTGAATCCATTTTGTGAGCGACTTCTAGAGCTTCACTCACCCATGCGCCACTCCGGGCGTCCGGCGGACACTCAGCTTCTCGCTCGGCTTCGTCCACATGTTGACAGACTGGCCGAGTATGCGCTAGAAAATACCCCTTTTTTCTGGCCTATTTTCATTTTGCCGATCATTTTGTCGAAATATCACTTTGTTGAAATTTCATTTTGTCAAAATTTGAAGGCATTTCCTCAAATGGCTCGAAAACTGAAATTTCAGTGAAATCGAATTTAGAAAAAATGATGTTTCGATAGCGTAATAATTCGGAAAAATGAAATGTCGACAATCTCGTTCGAAAAACTGAAGCTCCGACGAAATGCTAGCAACGCATTTTGTCTTTTTAACAACCGAGGCTAGACAACAAAATGTTGACGAAAAACAGCGCGGACCTGATCGGAAACTTGAAACATTTTTATTTACCAGATCATTTGTTTGGGTGTATTTAATTTTTAGAATGTAGCACGTTGGCGTCGGGATTCTTTGAATATGTTATTTATTTTAGCCTGACAGCGAGGACTATCGGAGCGTTGTTTTTAGTCAAATTATCACTATTTCACAAAGGTAACCATCTGATCACTTTACTCTTTGAAATTTTGGTCGAAAAAATCTATATTAATTGCAGTCCCCCCCCCCCCGATAATGCGAAAGAACCTGTTTCCAGCTGCCTTGCGCATTGATTAATTACCATCCTATCGAGATTTGCTAACACTTACATTAATGTCGGGTCCGACAAGCACTTGCGCGTCCCGGAGTTCATCTACCGTATGCCGGGTCGGGACAAACGTGGCGCGGTGTCGGATTTTTCCGGAAGACCCGACATTGCGGCCTGGCTTTGGCGGCTCGGGGGCCGGCGGGTTCGGGCAGTGCGTCTGGAGGTGGCCTGAAATCTCCCAAATTTAAATGTAGTTGTTGGTTTAATTTATTTCGGCTAGACTTTACCTTCTACTACTACGATATATTATTGAATTTTTTAATATTGTTATTATTTATTTTATAGATGACATGTCGATCGATTATTTATCTGTACCATATTATATAATATATTTTTTATTATCATAAGCACAATTTTATTATATTTATGTTATGATTTTTTAAACACGATGGCAGCAATCAAAAATGCAATTAAAATAATAAGCAATTAAAAATACCTTCGGACTTGCAATTTTTGCAGGAGGTGAAACGCGGATCGTCGCGTCGCGGACAACTTTTACGGCCGTGCCCCGCATTGCCACAGTGGGCACACACGCCACTGTGCCGTTTTCGCGCTGAAAATTTTAGATGTGTCAGAAAGTCATACTGGATATCACAGCCTCAGTGAGATATTATTATTTCCGCTTTATTGAATAATAGTGATAGACTTTTGGGGTTTTTTTGGAAAATTTCGATTTTATAAACCACCAACGGGAACCTCAAAATTGAAGCGGTTAGAAATTTTCTGCTTTTTAGAGAATCGTGAAACATCGACTTTTGTTGACAAATTTCTTGGTTTTACGAGCGATTTTTATTTATACATCGCACGGGCCGGAGCGAGTTTTACTTTTTAAATAATTAGGAAACATCGAATTTCTGGAAGTTTTCTAATTTTAGCTGCAAACAGCTGCCACAAAAATTACAAAACAATTGAGGACTTTCAAGTAATAGTTCAAAATCAGGGGTAAAAAAGCCGAAACTCAGAAACGGTAATACGGTAATAAAACACAATAATTAATAGACAGCTGAAATTGATCGGCGTCCGGTCACTACCCCGAAAAGTCACTCCCCGGAAAGCACTCCCGAGAAGCTGCGAACACCCTCCCCCGAAAGGCCCGAAAGTCACTCACCCCAAAAACCCCAAACCTCCACGCGAAGCAATACCCGGGAGTCAACCCCGGGAAATTCAGAGCAATTTTTCCTCCCGGAAATCCAAATCATTTGCGGGAGTGATTTTCCCAGTGAAGGGGAAAAATGCTAAATCCGGGGAGTGATTTTCGTGGGGTTAAGGGACTTTCGGGGTGTGGGGGGGAGTTAGTGACTTTACCCCAAATTGATCGTTACGAGAAAAACAAGAAAAAAACGTTTACAGTGGAACGCCCTATTAAATTCAGGCCTGCTGATTTTGGCTCCAAAATATTTTGAAACACTTTTTACTTAGGATCAATTTTTTTACAACCCTGGTACAAATTTTTCGCTAGCTAGTTTTTCCATAACGATGGCAGAATGTTCTTCTTTAAAATTAACCAATCCAGTTGAACGTTGTTGAAATGGCTCAAAATAAAATTCCCTTCACCGTTTTTACTATTTTTACATTTTTATTAAAAACGAATTAGGTTATCATTTTCAAGATGCAACAGATTGAATAAATTTATGTGCGAAAACTTTTTCCTACCGTCCACTCCTGCCACATTATTATTCCGATGTCGTCTGCGTTTGCCTTGGCTTTTGCCATCGTCTCGACCTTCTAAAAATCAATATTAAGAATGGCAGCTAGCGGAGAACATTTGGCAATTTGTTCAACAGAGAAATTGGCTACAATCGCGAAAAATTATTGAGAACTTACCGATATTGACAGTCGCCATTTCCTGCTCCATTTCATCGATTAGATCGGCCCCGTCGGGCCGTGGAGCTGATTACAAAAATTATCTATTTATTTCTAAATCAAAACGAAAATGAATTCCAATTCAAGATACCTAAGTTTTTTTGTCCAACTAAACTATGTTTCAAGATCGTATAAAATTCAAAAAATGTTTGGGATTCTAATGATATCAATTATCGGAGGGCAGAAAAATGTGTCGTATTCTTTTTCATGTTCAACCAAATTATGGCGTAGGTCTTAAAGGGATAGGGGCGGCATAATCGATTACGCGCGGGAACGAAAATGCCTCTGCGCCTATCCCCTGGGCGCCCTCTCTCGCCGCTGCATCTCTTTAAATAATCGTGCTACTAGAAGTACTGAAAAAGGCGCACAAAGAAACATTCAAATGGTACCTTCTGAATTCGGCTGGCCCGCCGCGATATACGGTAGCTGGGTCCCTTCAGGAATCGAGTGATTCACCATAATTTCTGAAAGAAAAGAAAAATTATTGTTTTGTTATTATTGTTAATCAATGCAGTTTGGCTGGGCCATTTGCCCACGTTAAGAGAACCATTGCAAAATCTTAATAAATATGTTTTTCTTTAAAAGGAAATGAAATTAAAAACCTAAATTGAACGGATTAATTTTTACAAAAGTAAAAGATTTTATTTTACAAAATGTGTTTCTTGCATTAGCAGTAATTCATTGACTTTGCGTTGAGTAATGAATATATCACTGACCATGGTTTAATTTAGCCGTCTCGGCGATTTAATAAGTTTTCTAATATTTTGTATGAAATTTTTTATATTATTATAGCTTAATTTAACGAAGATGATTAATATTATACAAAAATATGTATTCTCTATTAGCACCAATGAACTAATTGTATTTGGGTAATTTTGCCACTTCAGGCTCTATGGCAAAAATTACCATGCTGGCGCCCGTGCCGGTCCTCGACTTTCGAGCGGCGAAACTGGAAAATAAAAATGTAGTTCGTAGCGCATTAAACAAATGTTCTTAATTAAATATATAACGTTTTATTTAAATACTTATCATATAGGCGTTTAATATAAAATTTACCACTCTTGGGGCCATCGAGGCGGCGTAGCGAGGCTGCTGATCAACTAAAGAAATTAATTATTATCATTTCGGTTAATACAAAATGCCATTTGATAAACCATTATGGCTCTAATTTAGCTGTTATCTATGTTTTAAAACTAAATTAAATTAAATTATCTCAGTTTTATATTTTGATTTTTTTATTCAGAGAAGTGGAAATGATTGCCGACGCAAGAGCGATTTAAATGAGACAATTCCAACTATATAGTTTTTGACTGAAACATAATTTTTCAGGCTATTTGTCATGCAATGGATTTTATATACGAAATTATTATTTTTGTTGTAAATTCGAATGAAACTTTTTAGTGATTTTTCTATATAATTTCTTGCGCTTTCGAAGGAACTTTTGCAGGCCCGAGAAATAAACGTCGCATCGCCCCTCAAAATGCCGAAAAACAACTTTCAAAGGCCCGGAAAAGCAAGAGCTCGTTCCCATGGCAGGGGCCCCCGCAAAAATCGCCAATTAGACGGCCGATTCCCGCACAAAATGTTTCCCCATGAAACCATGGTCAAAGAACAACTATTGCAGGTCATTGTGGCTTCACGGCGTTGAAACGTCCGTTTTTCTTATGAAACCTAAAGTTTAACGAAAACCTTAAAATTTTGTTTCCCAATTTTAAATGTTTAATGCCAATTAATGAAACTGGTCACAGTTTCTGCTAAAACAAAAAAAAAACCTGGATTTTTGGTCTTAAAGCCCCCCAAAACGGGTCAAGACTATCTTTTGAGCATTTGTCAGAAAAACAACGTTAAAGCGCACTAACTATCTTCAAAATCCGCTAAAATGTCTATTTGATCACGGAAAAATTATGTTTCCAAACCAAAATAAAAAACAAGTCACGGAAGGGCCGAATTTGCGGAGCTTGGGAGCGCTTCTCGAAAAGAACTAATCCTCCGTCTTATCAGTACCCCGCATGTGCCAAAAAAGCAAGTAAAAAGGGAGGAAAAATACAGGGTGAAAGGGAAGTAAAAATGCATGACACTGCGTCCAAAAATTAGACAGTGTGGACAATTTTCTATGAAACACCTGATTTGTAAAGGATCTTGCTTAACGCGTATTCCTCTAAAAACTATTTTCTAGTAATAAACTTAATAAAATAAATCTAGAATTTAGTAAGTACCGAATTAATGTTTAAAATGGATTCAATAAAGTGATAAAAAACTACAATATTACAGGAGGCACGGGCATCTCCAAATACTGTAATTGCAATAGGAAATTGGAAGAAAAACTGAAACGGCAAGCTGATCACAATTCATATTGAAAACAAAACGGGGTTCAGTATTTTCAAAGAAACATTTTATTTCCTTTTCTGAAATTCTTATGAAACAATAATTTTTTGGACGTCAGAAAAAACATGGCTTATCAATTATTGCCGTTTTTTTATTACTTAAAGCCATTTAAAAGATATCCCAGGTAAATGCAAGCTCGAGAACCATGTTTCATTTGATTTAGTCCATAAAGCCAAAAAGGACGACTAATCTGCGAAAGTGCTCGAAGCGCAAACACCCCTGAGGATTTATCGCCGCTAAAAAATAAAATGTTTTATCGAACGGCCAATTTGATCTATTGGCCAGCAGCGGAAAAGCCCCCGTGCGATTCCGCCTCGCTAATGGTCGGTCCCTTTCCACGCCCAGCCACTTTTTCCCAGGCCGTTGTATCATCGATGTGCTGTACAGCATCGCCACCGTCGCCCATTTTTGGCTCCCTGCCAATTTTTGAATCCGTAAAATCGGTATTACGATGCCAAGGAACACTTCCACGATTTCGAATTTCTCAATTTTACGTGCCCTTACAAGAGATGCCGATGTAATCAAACGTTTCATCTAAAAGAACGATGTGTAAACAAATTTTAACTGGGCTGGTACCCAGATCAAAATTACACGCCTGAAATTTTACCACACGTGTAAATTTTTTACACACGCGTGTAAAAAAATTACACGCGTGTATTTTTTTTTACACGCGTGTAAATTCCGAAATTTTCCTTAACAAATTTGTTAACAAAATGAAAAAACAGGCGTGTAAAATTCTACATTTTTTACACACGTGTAAATTTTATTTACACGCGTGGTAAAAAAAGTGACGTGCTCGGAGACGGGGGAAAAACCCGAAAAAATTACACGCGAGCGCCAAAAATTTACACGCCAACTTTGGAAGCCTCCAGCAAATCGGAAAAATATTTATTTGGAAAAGTTAAAACGAGACAAGCTGCAGACGGGTACCAACAGTGAGCCAAAAAAAAGTTGGATCGCTAAGTGCCCTGCAAATTTTTTTATATGCCGTTTTGTGAAGGCCCTTTTTTTAAGCGATTTACACACCTTTTCCAAATGTAATTTTCTTACCTAAAAATTTACACGCGTGTAAAATTTCAAGTCAATCTTCATGGCCCATCCCTGGCCCACTATGGCTGCGATTTGCACGCGTGTAAAATTTTACACGCGTGTAAATTTTCGGCCATGTTTCCTTGAAAACCCTTATAAAACTCAATTACACGCGTGTAAATCCCAAAAGTGACGTGTAAATTTGACGTGTAATTTTTTTACCACGCGTGTAAATTTTTGGCTGTTTTTACACGTGTAATTTTGATCTGGGTACCAGCCCTGTAATATAAATTTAGCGCGCAAGCAAAAATAACCTTACTGCAGGCTACTAAACATTTAGATTAATTTTAATTTTTAATTGTTGTTGAAACACATTTTTTCTTAAGATTTTCAAGCCGTCTGCTCGCTTGATGAGGCCTTTAATAGAAAACTTTAATATTTTAGACCAGCGCCCAAAACCCGCTTCGCGGGCGTTGGGCGCTGGACTGCGGCTTTTGCATGAAAAATTTGACTTCGATAGCTCGGGTCCTGCGGACCCCCCCCCCCGACCAAACTCGCGAGTGCAACTGGCAAGAATGAGGAAATTTGTATTTTTTAACATTATGCAAATTAGCCCTCCTGGACCGCAAAAAATGAATAAAACCGGCTTTAACTTTGTAAACTTGCATTTTATCGAAATTCTGAGCACGTCATCGGAAAGAGGAGGGTCGATTACCCTGAGTGACGAAGAATTAGGCCGTTTTGGCTACGGGAGGGCCCTCAAATCGGCTATATATATATATCGTTTAATGAAAATCGGCGTAAAAAAATTGTGTTTCACAAATGCTGATCTTTCGCCTCATCCAATGTTACTAATTTCCCGTGTTTTTCAAGTTCGCTGCTAGTCGAGCTCCTATTTTTTCATTACTTGCATCTCTTCCAGGATTTATTGTATCTTCTTGTCTTTTTCCACATTCTATTTTTCGAGTTTTAGTTGAATTTTCACCAGCCACCGAAAAAGTGGGGAAGGGGCGGGGTGTGAAATTCGAATTTCCGCTTCGGGGCGACCAACCGGATAAAACGGGCCCAAAGACCAGAATTGGGTGTTGAAAAACGACGGAATGATTCCCCAACTATCTTGAAATTTCAGATCTAAATTCTTGAAAAATATGGCTTCCAAATATTATTCACGGCATCTGGCTGACGGGTTTTTGGACGAGATCTACGGGAAAATCACGCGACGCTGGAAATGGCACGAATACGGGCTCTGCGTGAGTTTTTAGGGTAATTACTCTCTCTTTCTCAAGATCTCTCCCTCTCCCTCTCTCTCGCTTTCTCTCGCACTCCCTTTCTCGCTCGCTCGCGCATTTTTTACCAATATTACTATATATAGAAAATTGTTTAGAACGAATTTTAATATGAAACACTAAAACTTCTTTCCAAAATTCACAAGCAATCTCTCTCTATCTCTATCTCCCTGTCTCTCTCTCTCTCTCTCTCTTCACTCTCTCTTACTCTCATTCACGCTCTCACTTTCTCTTTTTCTCTTTCACTCACTCTCTCGCTCTCTCTCACTCTCTCTCACTGTCACTCTTTCTCTCTCTCGCTTTTCTATTTCCCTGTCTCTCTCTTCACTCTATCTCTCATTCTCTCTTTCTCGCTCTCACTCTCACTCTCTCTCTCTCTCTCTCTCTCTCTCCCTCTCTCTCTCGCTTCCCGTCTCTAACTCTAAATTTTCCCAATTCCAGCAATGCGAAGTGCCCGAGGCCTCATTAGAGCTCTTCCTCAAAAGAAGCCCCGCCCCCATCTGCCCTGTTTTTCTTCAAAAATCGTAGATTTCATTCAAATAATAAATTTTTAAATATTTTCAGACCCCATCTTCAGATTTCTGAAAATTGCCCAAATTCCCCTCACCACGATCCGTATGTATTTCGGTAAGTCGGATACATTTTTTTAATCTCGAGAGTAGAAGATACATTAAAGTAGAACAGAAATTTTGAAATTTGCAAATATTTGAAACATTGATTTTGTCTCGTAAAAAATTCTAAAAAATTTTCGAGCTGCTTTTTAGAAAACCCGAAACGCACGTCAGTTTTTACGAGGGAGACCGATATACAGGTTATTTTAAAGCTAAATTATGTTAGATAAAAAAGAAAAAACGTTTAATTTTGTCTATAATTTTTATAATTAGTATATTTTTATATTTTGCAGATTAAAATCTTAAACTAAAGCCTTTAAGAGACCAATTACGACCTGCCGACTTCCGCTGAATTTACGGTAGAAATTGGGTGGAAGAAGATTATCGAATATGTGGAAAAGGTAAAAAAACCTGTTATAGTTATTTTGAAAATCAATAAAAATAAGAAGAGTTATGAATATGTTAAATTTAAAAAAAATAAAAATCAAAACCTTAAGAAATGGAAAATCCCGGAAGATTTGCTTTTTATGGTGTTGCCAGGACCTTCTTGCGAATTTCCAGGTTATTTGATAATTTTGTATTTTCGGTGGTTTAAGTTTGATGTTAATTAAATTAAATTTGATTAGTTTTAGTAATTCTATAATTTGAAACATGCTTTCACATTTTTCAGGCCTCCGCCGCCAAAAATACCTCTCGATTTGGACTAACAAAATCGGGCAAACGCACTTCATCTTCAGCATCGACGTTTCGACGCGTAATCCGGTATTTTCGAAACATTAAAATTCTACTTTGTTCAGGCACAAAATATTGAAATCAGCTACTCGATTCCAGGCGGCTGCCGTAATTACGGGTAAGTGGCATAACTCGAAAAAAAATTGCTTGAGCTGTAGTATTAGATTTTTTTTGAAAGATATTTTGTAACTTTTTGAAAAATTGTGAAATTCATTTTCCAATTTTTGATTTTTTTACAGTTGCGTTTTTACACTTCTAATCAGAGCACTAAACTCATATTTGAAATCCTCGGATTACGAGTAATTTTTATAACTAAAATTTGGGTCTAAGGAATGCCTTAAAACATTTTTTTAGAGTCAGACTTCTTTTAGCTTTTAATTGTAAAATATGATTTTAATGACGGCATTACTGATTATTCTTTTAATTAAGTTGATTACCGATCTATCCTACTATATATAAAAAAATAGTTTCTGTGTGTGTGTGTGTGTGTGTGTGTGTGTGTGTGTGCATTTGCATGCAACTTCCGTCAGGTTGTTCCAGTCGTATCTCAAGAAGGAGGGAAGCTACGGGGGTGTTTGATACGTCATTAGGTGCGTAATGGCCTGGGAATGACTGCACACCAATAAAATTTTCAAAAATGAGCTGTTTTCGACGTTAAAATTAAGTTTTTGTTCAAAAATGGGCCACCCTCTTTGCTAGGAAACAATTAGCATACGCCGGAAGTTGCGGTAGCCTATATAAGGGAAGAGAGGTAGCGTTTCTCATTTTTTGTCATCGAAAATCGTGAGAATTATGCAAAGTGAAGAATATCATCGGATCAGACGGGGCCAGGGTTGAAAAGTCGCGAAGCGGCTTTTCCCCTGGTTTAAACTAATTTAATACAGTAATTTCTTAAAAATCAATGCAAATTATCAATGTTTTAGACTCGAAGAAACGGTAGAGGCCGAGGAGTTGCTGCAAGAGCTGGCAGCAGGGACGTAGCGTAATACCGGCCCCGGGGCCCGGCCCCCGAAATCGGCCGGGGCCCGAAAATTTCATAAGGGGGGACCCTTATGATTTTCATTTTCTCAAAAATTTTGCTGCCTGCGGCGCTGTTTTCTCGTTAATGTTTTGTGGTTTTTGGAAAAAATTTTTGGGGGCCCCCCCCGAAATTTTTTTCTGGCTACGCCCCTGGCTGGCAGAATAGCGATTTATTCATTTCCATTAATATTAAAATATCAAAAAAAATACAAAAATCGATTGAAAATTACCATATTTTTTATATTAAATAAAACTACACATTACACTAATTGCGACAATTACGGTACTCAAAAAGGGTGCGGGGCTGAAAAACCTGAGCTGAAACTGAATGGGATTAACTTAATGTTTCAGGCCTAGAGCAATAAGAAGAATAGTTAAAACGAAGCAGTATATCCGACGTATTTCAAAAAATTTTTCATCACAATTGGTATCACATCAAAATCACATATTGAGAAACACAGCAATGCAAAAATGGACTCTTTTTCCAATAAATTATAATTTTTAGGCTCTGTTGCATTATCGGGGGGGGGGGGACTGCGAAATATCGCTCAAAAAATATTAAAATTCTCTGTTTCGACCAAAATTTAGAATTTTAAAATTTTTTGCAGGATTTTGAATAGTTTTCAGCCGAAATATAGCTCAATTTTCGTAAAACCCCTATTAAAATAATTGCTATTCAAAGAATAGGCGTGTTCCGCTTATATACCAACCCCCCCCCCGATAATGCAAAAGCACCAGAATAATAGGGGTCAAAAAAGTGGTTAGCATTGGGTGCGCAAAGCAGCGAACGGGAGACTAAATATGTGTTTTTTCCAAGGGAGCAAGCGAAATTATGCAAGATATTTTTTCTAAAAACTACTTAATTCTCTTAAGAAGATCTCATCATTTTATAATTGTGTGTCGTTGTATTTGTCGTCTATTCGGTGCTGCTGTCTCTCTTCAGCATCTGCTGCTCCAGGCGGGCTTTTTCGAAACGGGCCCTGAAAAAATCCAATCAACTAACTGCCTTTCCTCAACAATCTCTGCTAGCCTGCCCTCTCCTCTTCCTTAACAATCTCTGCTAGCCTGCCCTCTCCTCTTCCTCAACAATCTCTGCTAGCCTGCCCTCTCCTCTTCCTCAACAATCTCTGCTAGCCTGCCCTCTCCTCTTCCTCAACAATCTCTGCTAGCCTGCCCTCTCCTCTTCCTCAACAATCTCTGCTAGCCTGCCCTCTCCTCTTCCTCAACAATCTCTGCTAGCCTGCCCTCTCCTCTTCCTCAACAATATCTGCTAGCCTGCCCTCTCCTCTTCCTCAACAATCTCTGCTAGCCTGCCCTCTCCTCTTCCTCAACAATCTCTGCTAGCCTGCCCTCTCCTCTTCCTCAGCATTTCATGGCCATTACATACCTTAAATCCTGGACAGTCTGCTGTTTCTCGGCCACCTTCTTCTCGGCCGCCAAGCTTTTCAGCTTCTGAAAAGTGAAATACAATGGATGAATAGAGCCCATTAAGTTGTAAATGTTTAAAAAAGCGTGTAAATAAATTTTAAATTTAACAATTTGTGGGCAGAGTTATGTTTCGTGAAATTGTACCATTCGTGAAAATTTTTTGTCAGTAATGTACAGGGGTCGTTTTTTTGAGCTACAGGAGATACTGTTCTGTATGTACTCCTATACTATTACTGTATCATTTATCAAAATTTATGAAAAAAGACAGGCCCTTGTTGAATGCGTTACAAAATGAATTTAACAAGGAAAGGTAATTTTCTACTTCGTAAAAACTACAAATATACCGTTTTTGAAAAAACGTGTTTCGTAAAATCCTGTCTCTTTTTTTCTTTTTTTTTAGATTGTATGAAGACCAGGTGGGATCCAAAAACCTTATAAGAAGTAGAACGCTTCTTGCCGAACGGCCTCGGCTCGGCGGCGCGCGTCATTTGGAGTGCCTCGTCGCTGCTGCAAAACAAAAAAGAAATTAAATTAATAAAATTTAGAAAATACCTAGCCTTGGTCATGCCCTCGCCGAACGACTCGAGGGCGGCGTGGGGCGTCTTTTTGGAGGTGGACTGAAATAAAGTAATGAAAATGGCTTTCTCTCACGCAGTCTCTCTCTCCCTCTCTCCCTCTCTCTCTCTCCCTCTCTCTCGTACACTACTTTAATCATATTGGTTAAAAAAAGTTTGCTTCAAACCAATTTTAATGTGAAACATCTAAAAAACTTCTGTCCAAAACTTACAGCCGCCGCTGGGTCGTCCTCCTCGCTGGTGATGGTCACCTTCCGGCCCAATAGATGCTCAACCCGGGACAGCACACCGGTCTGGAGGCCAACATCCCGCCGCTGTCCCTTCCTCACCGCCTCCAGCTCGTCCATGTAGATCTAAAAATGAGATTTTCACAATATTGAGGTTACCGTAATACAGAAAAACGGAATTTCTCTATGTTATAAAGCAAAAATATTTTTGGATTTGAGATACAGACAATACGTATTGTTCTTTTTAATCTCGACTTTCTACGAGTCGGGCATAAACATATCCTACCAAAAATAAATAAACCAATTGACAAATTCCTCAAAAAAATATTTATCAATGCAGAGTGTGCGGGTGCGGTGCTTGGTGAGCATCTGTCTCACCGTAATGTCAAGCATAGGCGCGCAATTTAGTTATTTTAATTCCCGTTTTACCTACAATTGTCTTCAATTTTTTAGCGAAAAAAATTGATGCTTCAAGTAGGCCCAACAAAAAAATTATATTTCCCAAGGTAATGGCTTTGTGGGACCTCTTCACTATTAAATCTGCATAATCAAATATTAATAATTAAAACAAATTAGATAAATCGCAAAGTTAATTAGTGAGACTCTGTTCATATATACTGATTGCATTTGGGAAACTTTTCTTTTCGCAAAAAGTGCCTCATAAAACTCACGCATTCTCGTGCCGCGCGAAAAAATCAATGTTTCGTGTCAGTGCAACCAGAAAATGAAATCTTATGAGGTAATTCAGCGAGATACATGTTGTAATTTTCTATGCAGCCAAAATTCGCTATTTTAAAATTTTAAAATTTAATTTTAAAAATCTGCATATTAGGTCGCCCTGACAAGAAATTCCTTTTATTTTCGCTTATTTTTCATTTTTATGGTTATTTTGATAATTAGTTTTCTCAAACTCAAAGTGAAAACTCACGCATTCTCGTGTTGTGATTAGTGGGCAAAAACGGGTGAGTGGTTGGTGGGTGGAGTTGAGGTGTTGTTAAGGTGGCGTAATTGATTAGTGCTTACCGATGTCGTGCTTTTTCTAAAAAATTAACGTTCTTACAAGCAGTAAAATCCAAATGGTGAATCTTGTGACGATTAAAGGTAGTGCCAGGTGAGAGTGCACTGAGAGAGAGATAGAGGGTGAGAGCGAGCGAGAGAGAGAGAGTGATAGCTTTTGTGTGAGAGAGCTAGAGAGTCGGGCTAACGGTGAGAGGGAGAGAGTGAGAGAGTGAGAATGAGAGGGAGAGCGAGCGTGAGAGTGCAATGAGAGAGCGAGATAGAGCGAGAGAACTAGTGGGATAAAGAGAGAGAGAGAGAGAGAGAGAGAGAGAGAGAGAGAAGAAGCGAGAGAGAGAGAGCGAGAGAGTGAGGTTAAGCGTGAGCTAGAGGGAGAAAGAGCGAGAGAGATAGAGAGAGAGAGAATGAGAGTGAGAAAGATCATATCCCCAATCACAGTATTCACCCCTTTAAAGGTCCCAGCAACCCACCTTAATCCATTGCTGGTTTTCAGTCCCGATGCCCTGATCAATTTTCGGCGGTTCTTCCGTCTGCGCCGAAACATCTTCAATTTTCGGCTTCTTCTTCCTCCTAATCAGCTTCTTCGGCTTTTCCTTATTCTCAGAGATTTCCCCTGTTTCTTGTAGAGGTACAGTAACCATCTGCTGCTGTTGCTCCGTACTCTGTGGCTGCCCGGAATTCTTCGCAGCCACCACATCAAAATCAGACCACAACTGCGGGCCGAGCGGTGTCTCCTGCCACACCTCGACATGTTCATCTACAGTCTCGTGCTCAGAGTTGTCCTCCTCGCCGACGGCGACCACGTCAAAGTCAGACCACAATTGAACGGTGTTCAATTCTAATTGCTCGTCGGTTTGGGTTTCGGAAGTCTCAGGGAGGTGGTCGGGTCCCACCACGGTCTCCTGACGATGTAATTCAACCTGGAAATAGTTGGGGGAATTTCGGGGGCATTTGGATAAAAGTGGTAAAACTAGGATTTGAAATTGTTAAATTTAAGAACTATAAAGAATTACAACCGGGGTTTTAAAGGTTTGAATTTGGGATCTGGAGCTAAGAGAATTAAAATGGAAATTGAAATTAAAGGGATTGGCGATTTTGGCGGTACTGAACTGTTAGCGGGGGGACTAATTTTTGTTTTCTTCCGTCTATGCCTACCTGTTAATAATAAATATCGTTTTTTTTATGATGTCTTAAGTAGGTTTTGATGGCTAGAAAGTTAAAAAAACATTTTAAGTGTTTTTCAAATCCTCGTCTATGAAAATTAAAATAATATCAAAATGAGTAAATTAACAGAATATTCAAACACATTTTTGGTGTCAAAAACATTCCTTTATATTTCGTTAGAGGGTCGTACGGAATTATTGCGAAAAATTGGCGTCCCTCTGCCAGACCCCCCCCGCTAACAGCCCAGTACCAGCCCAATTTCACTAGGTTTTTAATATCGATTAACAATAATTTTGAAGGTATTAAATTTAATTTTTACTGGGGTTTTCACTGGAATTTGAGGGAAATTTGGGATAAAATAATGGAGTTCATCGAATAACCGCTGTCAAGATTGATCGAATCAAGTAGCTCAACCTACCCTAATTCCCTGAAACACTTATTTCTTTAAACTCGATTTTAATTTTTGTAAAAATTGATAGAGCAAAGAGAAATGTTTGTTTCATTTTATTTTAATTCCGTACCTGCGTTTGTCGATCCGTTCTCGTCGCAGCAGCCTGGACCCCATTGTCCGCCAATAGCGGGGTTACGGTAGCCATCGCCGTGGTGGAGAGCGTCGGGACGCAGGAGACCTAAACACAAAATTATATAAATTTGCGTTATAGCTTATTTAATATTTCTTATTATTATTATCAATCTTTATCTTCTCCTTTTTAACTTCCTCTTTTACTTTTTATTTCGTTAATTTTTATTTAATAGATTAAAATACCGTAACCTTTGATTTAATCCATTTTTATAATATACATATTTTTCAATACTTACCCCGAGACCTACCCTAAAGTATCGTGAAACCGTTATCGTAATTCGCTATTACTATACCATTTTTTTCTGCGATACCGTATATCGATAAAACATTTTTTCATAAAAAATTTGAATTTGAGAAAAAAGGGAATTTTCTAAGTTGCGGCTCTTCTTTCTACAGTATTGCTGCAAAAAAATTATTTTAAACCAGGGTTGAAAAACCGCTTCGCGGCTTTTCAACCCTGGCCCCGTCTAGGATCGATGAAGTTATTGACCTTGCATAATTCTTGCCGAAAATCGCTCACCAAAAAATGAAAAGCGCGCCCTCTCTTCCCTTTTTATAAACCATTTCCACTTCCGCCGTATGCTAATTGCTTCCTAACAAAGAGGGAAGTCAAGATTTTTACAAAAACCTAGTTTTAATAGTGAAAATCGAAGTTTTTCAAAACTTTTATATGTGTGCAGTCGATTCCGGCCTCTTCTTTACCCTATGACGTTTCTTCCCTGCCGAAAAAATGCTTCCCTGAGGCTGTAGGTGCGGAACATCCAAACGGAAGTGCATGCAAATATACACACACACACACACAGACACACACACACAAACACTATCTTTTTATATATAGTAGGATGGAAAAGGCGCTTTATTTACCAGATCCATTAGTTTTCCAGTTTCTACATAAGCCCCAATTACCGTACCTCAACGCTCTCCACCTCTGGCCGGCATGTTGTCGCCGTTTCCTTTAGCTCAACGCTGCACTCGGTAGATACAGTAGTCTGCTGAGGGGTAATCTGAAAAAAAATCATAATTTACTCACCTTAAAAATGAGTGTTTCACTTAGAAACTCTAAATGTAAATTAGTGAGCTTCTTAATGAATGGGTGTTGTATCAATCACTTTTAAAAGCTGGGGACTCGTTCGTTTAGCCACCATCGTTCGTCGACGTCTTATAATTGTGCATTTTCATTTTCGCACCGATACGAAAAACCAAAAAATGAAAAGTTTTAGAAAATAGGTTTTTAAAAACCATGTAATGATAAGAAAAATTTAGCAAGATTAACACCCTTTGCTGCAGTTTCCCGCTTTTTGTAGTGTTGCTCAAATTTATCGTTGTTTTTAAAAAATGTAATAAAAAGTAAGGCACGAAAGCTTAGGCTTGGATTAGGATTAGGCTTAGGCTTAGGCTTAGGCTTAGGCTTAGGCTTAGGCTTAGGCTTAAACTTAGTAACTTAGTAATGGGCCAATCACAATAAAAATCAACGAAGAAATTCAATCCAAGAATATACTGTTTTAAAAGGTATATTAAAATCTTGGAAAGTCTTATCAAAATAGGCTTAAATGGTCTAAATAACGCCCTAACTACTATTTTACTAATTTATACCACGATTTTTTTAAAGTATGTTCCAGAAAAAAACGTAGTATGGGCTGTGTTGCTACGCGGCATTAATCGGCGCATCGAAATTAACCAATTCATTCGAAAAGTTGACCTAAATAATTATTACAATTGTCATTAATAGCATTCAAATCTTAAAAAGCGACACCTGTGCCTCCACATCCCGATGGTCGACCTCAACCTGTGTACTCGACGATACCATAAAGCGCAGATCGTCCTGAGGAGTCTCCGTAGTCGTTTCGGTCACCTAAAAAAATTTAATGTTTTATGGAAAGCAAGATTTCACGATTAAACTATTGCTATAATGCCACATCGAGCCACCTGATCGAAGATGCCAATTAAAAATAATTAAATAACCCGCCTGATCCTGTTGAATGGTGGTGACAACGCTCTGGGCGCCCGTATTTGCATATTCGGGAATTGTCTGGTCGGCCGAGTCTTGCAGCTCCACGTAGGTTTGGGATTCCTGAAAACAAATGTTTCATCTCTATTTAAAAATCCAGAGAAATTGCATACAGCAATCGGTGCCGTTTCATGAGGAAAAACAAATTTAAATTTAATTTAGGACCAAAAGCTTTAGCGGAGTGGCAAAACTTAACCATAAAAAATAGTTCCGGTCCTGAGCTTTAAAAATTATCTTAAAAGAATTAATAAAAATTAATTTGTTGATTTTTAGCTTTCTTGCATACTTTCGTTTTCATAAAATATCTTTCATCTTTAGTTAAAAATTAAGAACAAGTGCCGGAACCAATTGATGTTCTAGCAACCGTGCCCGTATCTATAGCAACTAAACAATAAAAAGGGCTCATGGCATAGTTCTCACAAAAATACCTTACTTGGTTTATGTTGAAAAATCTAGAAATTTTACTCCAAATTTAAAGTCTGGTCAAAACCTCGATTTTTGGCTTTCTAAAAATTTTTTTTGCAAGCTGAAAGATTTAAGTATAACCAAACACGTATGTTTCATGGGTCTTTAAAAATCAAGGGCGGCTTCGAGAAGCAGTCTCATCAAGGAAAATCGTTTTTACAATAATTTTCCATGCCAATTTTTTTTTGAGGTGGCTATTCTGTTAAAAAATGTTTATGCTTTGCTTTAATCTACAAACGAAAATTTTTACCCCTGAGGTTAATACTATAAAATTAGATAATAACCATGGCAACTTTAAAGGCAATACAAAAGATTAAATAATTCGGATGAGGATAGCTATGTATCGCGGAATTGCGCAGCTATTTTGTTATCTAATTGCATAGTCAGCTTTCCCCGGCTTCTTACCAGATCACCGATGTAATCTGCCCTATTTAATATTTTAATATTCCACTGATTTAATTCCCTTAGCTATTAATTATCCAAAAAACTAGCCATGTCAATCCGGGATATCATCTCGGTCTGGATGAGCGTTGTGTCGTAGGCCGAATCTGAAACATTCAAAAATTCTCTTAGGAAAACGTAAACCATAAAAAAATTGAAAGCAGCTATTTATAAGCTAAAAATGTGCTATTAATGGAATACCGGTCTTAATCCCAAATTTTTGAAAATTCCAGGTTGCAAAAAAAGCGCCAAATCCCAAAGAAACACCGGGGACTCAATTGTTTCAATCCAAATTTTTGATTGAGTTTAACTATAAATGTATGTTTAACCTTTTCTATAAACCGGAATCCACTTTTTTCATAACTTTTACATACCTTTATGCTGTTCATAAAACCCCATTCACAATATTTGAGAATTTGTTTTGAAAATTTGATGTTTCGAAATTCGGTATAACCTGTAAAAATTTGAGAGTTCTTCAATTTCGGGAATTTTGATTAGAGAAATGACGAATAAAAGTTATTACCCAGGCTATAAGCCACAAACTACAAAATACAAACTATAACCTTGTTTTTAATTGATTCCAAAAACGCACCAGTTTGCGTGGCGCCATTCACCATGTATCGCACGGCCTCCTCGGTTACAGTATCGTCCGATTTTTGCGGTTGCGGTTCTTCCTAAAGGTTTCAATGTGTTAAAATAATTTGGATTTTGGTTACGTCATTAAAATCGAATATTTTATAAGACGACGATATATTAAAACGGCCATTAAATACGAACGCTTAAAACGCTGGTTCCGGCACGTTGAGGTGCAAAAATATGTTTCGGTTTTTTTAGACTCGACGAAAGGACTCAGGTAAATAATCTACGTCCCGTCGAGGAAGTTAAATAATTAAGGACCAGCGCCCAAAACCCGCTTCGCGGGCCTTGGGCGCTGGAATTGGGCCTTTGCATGAAAAATTTGACTTTCCGATAGCTCGGGTCCTTCGGACCGCTTCCCCCACCGGCCACACACGCGCTTGCAAATTGCAAGAATGAGGAGATTTGTAATTTTTCAGATTATGCAAATTACCCCCAAAAATGAATAAAACCGCTTTAACTTTGTAAACCTGTATTTTATCGAAATTCTGAAAACGCCATCGGAAAGAGGAGGGTCGATTCCCCCAAGTGACAAAAAATCAGCGCATTTTATCCAAGGGAAGGCCCGTAAATCGGGCCTCGAAAGTGACATCCACACACACACACACACACACACACACACACACACACACACACACACACACACACACACACACACACACACACACACACACACACACACACACACACACACACACACACACACACACACACACACACACACACACACACACACACACACACACACACACACACACACACACACACACACACACACACACACACACACACACACACACACACACACACACACACACACACACACACACACACACACACACACACACACACACACACACACACACACACACACACACACACACACACACACACACACACACACACACACACACACACACACACACACACACACACACACACACACACACACACACACACACACACACACACACACACACACACACAACACACACACACACACACACACACACACACACACACACACACACACACACACACACACACACACACACACACACACACACACACACACACACACACACACACACACACACACACACACACACACACACACACACACACACACACACACACACACACACACACACACACACACACACACACACACACACACACACACACACACACACACACACACACACACACACACACACACACACACACACACACACACACACACACACACACACACACACACACACACACACACACACACACACACACACACACACACACACACACACACACACACACACACACACACACACACACACACACACACACACACACACACACACACACACACACACACACACACACACACACACACACACACACACACACACACACACACACACACACACACACACACACACACACACACACACACACACACACACACACACACACACACACACACACACACACACACACACACACACACACACACACACACACACACACACACACACACACACACACACACACACACACACACACACACAGAGATACACTCCAAAATTATATAAGGTAGGATAAGATTATGAATGAAAGCAAATCGAAAATAAGTAAATAATTAATAATAAAATACCGTACCCTTCTCATAAACCCGCTGCGCTCGGTCTGCATCCCGGATTCGATCATAAAGTGCACCTCATCCCCCAGCAGTTCTTCCAGAATTTCCGGCGCTGTGATCTGGAGGATTTTTGAGTTTTGGAAAATCAGCGCCGTACTTGCAAAAAATGATTTTTCTGATTGTTAATTTTTGATGAAACATGTTATTGCAACAAATTTTTCATGGTATTTCGGCATTGGGGCTTTTGGGGCTGGTTTGGCATTAATAAAACATACTTTTCCTATTTTTAGTTTTTCAAGAAACATGTTATTTTAGCATTTTTTTGGATTTTTGGCATTACCGTTGAAGAATACGCCTTTAAAGAGGCGTTCAAGGCAAAATTGAGGGTTTTTTGGCTATGGATTCACCCTGTGGCGCGTCCGCGACACGCAACGCGCGCGCCCAGGCTTCCATTACGTAATCAATTCGGCGGCGTTTAAGCAGCATTTTGCGTCGCGGTCAATCAGCGATATTGACACAAAAATCAACAGCCTCCATAGCTCGGAATTACAGGTACCTTTAACGCCAAAAATACACAATTTTTGGATGTTATAGGAACGTCATAACATCAAATGAAAAGAAATTTCTTGCATTTTAGGGTTTTATGTTACATATTTTACTAATGCCAATAACTAATAAAATATAAAGCCACTGAATAAGCGCAATTGCTGTGACCATTCATTTAAGGTATACCATTCTCAAAAATAATTAGTGGAAATAGCATTCATTGAGTACCAAGTTGCGAGCCAAAGTTTTGCGGCTTGCTAATTTTTGTTGAAACACATTTTTCTCTTTCTGAATTTCTAACGATTTTTCAAATATTTGTGATGGTAAAATTCTAAAAAAATAGACCTTATGCCTTACCTCAATACTCCGTTTTTCTGTAGATGACGCTCTCCTTGACAACCGTTCTTTCCAGGAGTCTGAAACCTCGGCCTCGGACTCCTTGGCCGACTCAGGCTCGCTGGTTGCCGTCTGCTCGCTTGAGGAGGCCTGGAAAATAGACATTTTAAATATTTCATGCACTTTTATTGAATTTATATAAATAATAGTTTAATAATAAGCAAAAATTCCTTGAAAACACCTCAACGACGGTCGGCTCGACGACTTGTGGCGCTTCTGCTGAGGAGAGCCGAACTTGCCGGGGTAGTGTCGGCTAAATAAAGTAGCGTAATTGATTTCAAAGCGCAAAAATATTAATTTCTACCAAACTGTATTTACTTTTTCAGAAAGCCCCTTGAACCCAAAATCCAAAAATCTATAGTAGAAAAAAAATATGTTTGAGCTGTGGAAGACGAATTCGCCTCGCTAAAATCATTAATTAAGCGCCGCGTGTGTGTTGAAAAATGAGGTCGATGAATAACGGCAATTAAAATCAGAAAAGATTAAAAATGAATCAATAGGAAAAATTAGATAATTCAGAAATTAAACAACAGAAAAAGACAAATAAATGAAATGAAATCAATGAAAAGTAATCAAAAGTCTCAAAATACTAGGTTGCGACCAAAAGGCCAGTTCGTATATCTTCGAACTCCATAATGTGCCAATGACGATTGTGAGTGAATAAAAAAATGTCCAGCTCAATGTTTCTTTTACTATCTAAATTTTAACTTGTTAAACTATATAAATTCGATACTTCCTTAGCGATTCATACCTTTCGAAAAATACTAAAAACCATGGAAACTGCAGGAAAGGATACCTTGAAAATCGGAAGTTTATAAGGAAGAAGAAATTTTTAGAAGCATGCCCATGCTTCTAATACTTCTAATCAGCAAGGGATACCGACACAAATTCTTTTTCGCCAGGAAACACTTAATTTTTGGTAATCGATTACCCTCGATCCTTGATGAAAGCCGCTGACGGTGGTTTGGGAGACGCTGTCGGAAAGTAGACCGAGAAGGGCCGAGGAGACTTGGGTCTAGAAAAATTCGAAATATCTCTCTCTCTCTGTCTCTCTCCCTCTATTGTTTTACAGGATTGCTGAAGAGGTCCGGTCCGACCAATAGCAGATTAGCAGGGTTTTTAAACCCAATTTGACATGAAAGACTTTTTTGTTTTATCTCCGCAGTTTTTTGCTCATGTTTTCGCATTAACCAAATAAGTACGTTAATGTGGACATCTAACAATTGTTAATATTTGAACTCGAAACTATTTAAATTATGCTTTTTGAGGATGTACGTTGAAAACAAAATATTTTTGAGGTCGGTAAATCGTGTTTAATTCGATGACTTGACAGTCCCTTTAAAAGCGCAAAAACCTACTGGGCCGGCATCTTTCTGCTCGAAATCCGTTTGCGTCATTTGGCTAACGGAGTACGCCTCCATCTCGCCGACGTCCTCGTCGGAGGAGAAGAACACGCTGTCGTCGCCCATCTAAGCGTGTTTTCGATTATCGATAAATAAATAATAATTAATTTACAAATTGATTGACCATCGAATGCTTCACATTTTTTGCGCGGTTTTACTAAATATCCTACCTTATATAATTTGGTCGCGTATCTTTGTGTGTGTGTGTGTGTGTGTCCGGCGCCAGGGAGGGCTACTTTGCATAATTCCAAAAAATACAAATTTCCTCATTCTTGCAAGTCGCACGCGCGGGTGTGGTCGGAAGAAGGGAGGGATCCGAAGGACCCAAGCTATCGTAAAGTCAAATTTCTCATGCAAAGGCCGCATTCCAGCGTCCAAGGCCCGCGAAGCGGGTTTTGGGCGCTGGTATAAAAAAATAATAAAAGTTGAGTAGCAAAAAATAATGTTTCATCAACGCACAAGACGGCGTCTTGAAGAGTCCTAGTAATGGTGGGACCGGGAGCAGGAGCAGATAAAAAAACTAGACCATAAATGCAATTTTCTGCAACTCTTATATATTTAATTCATAATATCTTTAATTCTGGAATTGTAAACAACCATCACGCTGTAAAGAATATTATATTACCCTAACGTCCTGAATTAACCACAGGTTTAAATTTATATTTTTTGAAATAAAACAAGGTTTCATAGCAATTGATTGCTGTTTCGACCGATTTTTTTCCGTTAACGATTGGCGTTTCTGAGGCATACCATTTTAATACATTTCAAACGATATATTGAGGAATGGTAAAGAATCGCAGTAAACATAAAAACAAAATACTGTTCAACCTTAATTTTCTTATGCCATTTTAAGGTTAAATTTCAGCAAAAATGTCCGTTAAAAAATCAGTGTTTCAAAGAAATTACTGTTTGGGCCGTTTTTTTACGTTGATATTGTATCCGATACCTGTTTTCCATTAAAAAATGATTACAAACCTCCTTGTCGTAGTCATCAGAAGAGAAGATTTCATAGCCGTACTCGTCGACGGGCACTTTCACGAGCTCCAGTGTTACAGATACCTTTAAATGGAAAAATTGGATTTTAAATGGACTTTTGAAATTAGCTAAAGTTCCGAAGTAACTTTTATTAAATATATTAATTCCAGTAATGATATAACCCTAAAAATAAAATGCAGCATACTTACCTCAGCCACGGGCAGCCCATTTTCATCTTCGCTCATCGATACTTTGGGTTCTGGCGGCGGCTGAAAATGTGTGTTTCATAAATATCAGAGTATGGCAGCTGGTGAATTGCAATAATCTCTTGCTGTAATGACCGAAAGCTTCCTTCGCGATATCTTTTGTTATCGGACTAAGGTCTGGTGTAACAAATTGGAAAAAATTCAGAAGACCTTTACACGAATAGTGTTCCAGCGCTGTAACCTCCCGCCCCAACCATATCCTGTTAGATGTAAGTACCTGAAACTTCATACCCTGCATCACAGACGCATAACTAGCGACCTCGCCCAGGGCTTCAAAATCCTCCATGGCCTCTGCCACGTCCCCCGGTCCTCTATTTTTACCTATAAATTGGGTTTTGGTAGAAACAAGAGGCTGCTCTTCCAAGTTCCCAAAGCTAGAACTGAGTCCCTCAGATGCGCTTTCTCTTCCCGCATAACCCGGTGGTTCAACCTGCTCCCTCCTCGCATCCTGGCACAGCGTAGCCCCCATTCTTTCCGGCAGAGTTTACGCAAGCTTGACCTACTTCGAATTCTTAAAATTGATCCCAAGGCCTAGTTCACGTCCAGCCATATTATCATCTCCTCTTGGTTCACCTCTAATCTAGCGCCGCCCTGCCGGCCTCTTGCTTTAGAATGAACTCTACGCACAGCCGCATCCTCCTGATCCATACCAACACCCTTTCAAGCAACGGCTTCACCGCGGCCTTCCCCGTCCGTCAGCCCGTCACCACCTACACCAATGGCAATATTTGTTTATCAATTTCCTTTCTGTATGTTCCCCTAAATACCTACCCCCGCCTATACCCTATCAATGTGACCTCTCCTCCAACTAAATCCTCAACGCTCGACTTCCCAGTAAGCAAAAAGTGATCTCACTAGTGGGATGCCCTACAGGGTGTCCCAAAAAAAAGTGTCCAAGTTTGTCCCCTATTATCTCGAGAAGGAAACATATTTCACGGTGCGTTACCATGCCAGAATGCTTAAATATGTCAGGAATAGGGAAATAACTCAACTTGATTTTTCCGATTTTTGGCGACGTACCCATACAAATGACACCCGAAAACTGTGCGTTCCGGCAAAACTTCCTTTGCATTTTTTAGGATTGCTGGTGGTCGAACACTTCCAATTTTTACAGTGTAGGTACCTAAGGACTGCCCCTACGCACATCCGGAATTTTGGAATTTTCGAAGGTCTGGTTGGCAAGTTATAGCCTGCTCAAATTTAATATGGAGAAATTTCGCAAAATTTCGGATATTACAAAAACCTATGGTAGAAACCTCAAAATAAGCTGTTTTAGCATGTCCATAGGCTCGATACAATCCCACAAAAATATCAAAAAAAATTTCAGAACCGCGAATTTTTGAGCTTTTCGACGACCCCCTGGTCATGGATTCTTTCGAAGTCACGAAACTGAACTTTGGAAAAATATTTCTAAAATTGCAAATAGAATTTCGGTGTTTTCTTTGCTTAGTTGTGTAGGACTGGGGTCCATCTATCAAGTAGACAATTTCTAGCTACCGTACCACTTTGGAAGGTTGCCTTTTAGCGCCTCCAAAACGGTTGGTTCGTGTTATTTCGCAGACCTTCGTGCCAGTCTATAAAATTCATTTGCGCGGCTAAAATTATTGTCGTAATTTTATTTAATACCACTTAATGGGCGCATTCTAAAATTATATTTACAAATTTGTTGGGCCATCCAATCTCTCAAAAGAAATTCATGAAAAGGGCAAATATACCCGAATTCGAGGCGACGTAAAAAAATTCTCGAGGCTTGAGTAGCCCCGACTTTTCTGGCATAGACCAAGCTTGGGTAGTCAATTAAAACGCATGCAAATACAAAACCTTTTCATGGCTAACGAATTTAGAAGAACGCCCCAAAGTCGGCTTTTCAAAAACGTTATTTTCGGGTTTTAAATCAAAATGAACCATTAACTTCAGCCAGATGATTCCAGAATTCTGCTCTCATACACTGTTCGATGCGTCCTTTAATTGTATCCACCAAACCCCGGTGCCCTTTTCATTTTCGAAAATTCGATTTTCAGCCCGGGGCCTCGGGTCCAAAATCGGGCCACGAGGGAGGGTTTTCCTCTTGCCTTCATAACTTTGTCATTTGCCACAGGAATCAAGTAATTTTTTGTAGGTGCTCTTACAATCACCCAGAGAACAGTCTAGAATCGAAAAACCGTCATTTTATGGAATTTTTTCTTGGCATGCTAAAACGCGCTCCAGGCGGGTTACTGTAGAAAACAGAAAATCGCCGTTTTCTCGTTCTTTTCGCCATAGAAACGTTTCGTTCTTTCAGGAAAACAAATAATAGCAGTTTTTAGTCCGATGCGTCAAAATATTTAGAAATTTCCGTGGCTAAATTCGAAAATAAGTTTTTCACCTATTTTGGGAAGGTGTATGGCTAGAATTTCGTGATATTTTGCCCATGGCTACCCCTTACCATTGTTTACCGATGGTAAAATTTTGAGCGAAATCGCAACTTACAATAAAAAGAAAAACGCGAAAAACAAAAGCTACAGTATCCCTCTGGGGCATGTTTTAGCAAGCAATATTAAAATACCATAGAATCAGGTAAAATTTGGTGTTGTGCTAAAGATTATCATTCGGAGACACCATCTGCAAAAGATCAGCCATGGGCAGCGTATTTGAAGCGAGTTATGAATTAAAAAGTAAAAAATAAGGAAAATAGGGAAATTTGTTTTGCCTTTAAAAAACGAACTAAACCTTCAAAAATTCTAAGACTTTGCTATTATTTTTCTACAAATGTCAACTATTTTTCGGCCAAAAATCAGAATTTTCCCACCACCCGTTCAAGAACGCACAATTTTCGGTCGTAATCAGCGTCAATAGTACAGTTACGTACTCAAAAATCGAAAAATCAAGTTGAGTTATTTCCCTATTCCTGACATATTTAAGCATTCTGGCATGGTAACGCACGGGGAAATATCTTTCCGTCTCGAGATGATTGGGGACAAACTTGGACACTTTTTTTGGGACACCCTGTACGGGGTAGTACCACCATGCTGACAGGAGAACAGCCCAAGGATCGTCCACCTTGTCGTCACAAACCCCCATCCTCTACCTTTCTTTTTCAATGGTTCCTCCCCCCTTTCTGTGATTTTTTTTTCTCATACTGTGATCTTTTTTTACCTCGTTGCGTGTGCAACGGCGCCTTGTGCGCAGAATAAATAAATAAATAAAGGTGTCGGTATTATGGCTATGGGAGTTTTGGATGTCGGGACTTCCGACTTTTTGGGATTTTGGCTATTAAGAGCTTAGATGCCGGGGGTTTAGATGTCGGTGTCCTGACTGTCGAGATTTTAGTTGTCGGTATTCTGGCTCATGCTGTCGGGATTTTGATTGTCGCTATTTGGCTGTCGGCATTTTAACTGGCGGGATTTTAGCTGCAATTCCCCTAATTCGCATACCTGCGGTGATGTAGGGAATGATGGTAGCGAAGCGCTGACAGCCGAAAATGAGGGTCCCATCGCGGAGAGGTGGCTGGATGGGCGCTAAAATTAAAAAAATGACCTTGATTAAAAAAAATTGTTAAATTAATTCTGTTTAGTGCGGGGAATCAAGCTCCATCTCGTAAATTTGGTTTGAATTTTTCCGAAACATTTTATAAACCGTTAAATTTGTCACTTTTAGCGATATTCTTCTTTTCTTCTTCTTTTTTTAGAAATAAGCATAAATATTACATAAGCTGATTGTCAGAAAAATCTCTTCAGCAAAAAGAGGTGAAAAATTATTGCCACACGCATTCGAACATCTATTGCGACAAGAATTTTCGCCGGCACACTGCATTTTTGTGAAACATTCCATTCGACAAAATCACTCACCGACTGCTTCTTCGACTTTAAGGCCTGCAGTTCTGTGGATTCCAGGCTAAAACCAATATTTTTAATTGAGTTTCCATAAAAATCCAGAATATCTATATATAAAAAAAAATACGTTTCCAAAAAGTTGCTGGTTTGCTAGTTTTTCGCATCGTGATTATGGTTTCACTGTTGCTTTGTAAAATCAGTACCATTTAGCCCGATTTATTAAAAAACTTAGCATTATAACATTGAAAACGCAACAAATAAAGCACAGCACCAAAAGTAAGAAAAACTTTCAGAATTCCGAAAAAACGATGTTCCAATTATTATGGAAAGGACATGTTTTTTTTGTTGTTGACTACTATCTGGCTACCATGACGCAAATTAAATTAGCCATTCTGCGACTAGTTGAAATTAAATGACTAAAAAAGTAAATCGAAATTTGAGCATGCAAAAACTGCCGTACCTTGTCAATTTTGTCTGGCTCTTTTTCGACACCTTTTGCACTTCTTGCGTTTGAGCGCTGGTGATGCTCAGATCTGCCGGATCGGTCTGAACGGGATTTTGAAATGATGTGTTTCATTTTTAATTAAAAAAGCGAATTCTTTAATTCATCCATTCATCGGACCCAGTTTAGGTCACTTTCTAAACTTTTTAAAACCGTCTTGTAATTTTTATGAATCTACCTGATCTGCACTGTGTTTCATAAACCGAATCTGCTTGCGCATCTCTTCTTTCTCCTTCTTTCGCCGCTCTTTTTCCTCCTGGAAAATGTGTTCTAAATTTATTTGCCAACGCCGAAAAATTTGTTAAACTATGCTATTTAGTTTTTTTGCTGTTTTATTTAGAGCTGACCATTTTCCGGCGCTTGGACTCCTCCTGTTCTTCCCGCTTTTTGCGACGTCGCTCATCTCTGAAAACCCGGTGAAATAACAATGTTTCTAAAAGTTTTATATTTTGAGAAAGTCGTGATCGATTATTAGGCTTGGATTTGAGACACCAATACCTTTCCTTCTTCCTGGTTTCCAGCTTTTTTTGGCGCTCTTCATGTAGCCGTACCTTAAAAATGTTTTTATTTTAGAAATGGGGTAGCTAGCAGAGATTGTTGAGGAAGAGGAGAGGGCAGGCTAGCAGAGATTGTTGAGGAAGAGGAGAGGGTAGGCTAGCAGAGATTGTTGAGGAAGAGGAGAGGGCAGGCTAGCAGAGATTGTTGAGGAAGAGGAGAGGGCAGGCTAGCAGAGATTGTTGAGGAAGAGGAGAGGGTAGGCTAGCAGAGATTGTTGAGGAAGAGGAGAGGGCAGGCTAGCAGAGATTGTTGAGGAAGAGGAGAGGGCAGGCTAGCAGAGATTGTTGAGGAAGAGGAGAGGGTAGGCTAGCAGAGATTCTTAGGGAAGCTTTTCCTACCTTTTCAGCCCACACCCTCTGTCTCTCCTGCTCCTCATATTCTGCTCCAAGCGGGTCGATATCGGACATATCTAAAAGCCCTCGATTTTACGATATTTTTTACAGGGATAGGAAATTTAGGAAAATAAAAAAATTGTTATAAAAACATCAGGGGATACGGTAGGATTTTGGAAGGGCATTTTTTAGGGAGATACCTGACGGCTGGACCAGCTGGGGTCGTAGATTAGCAATTTCTATTGAAGAAAAGAAACATTAATCTCGAAAGGCCAGTTTTTGCTTATTTTGTTGTAACAGTTTTTTCTAAAAAATGACGCCGTTATTTTTGATGTTAAATCTCTCCTCTACGTTTTTAATTTTTATTTAATTTTGCGAATTAATTATTTGCAATTTGCAGTGTCTTTAAATTGTTTAGAAATTAAGCAAAAGGAATTTGTCTAGGTTTATCACATATTTTTTGAACTTTTTTGAGGGGGTTTTTAGATAACTTTAATTTTTGTAAATTTTGGGCTGCATCTTATGTTTTAAAGCTTAATATTTAATTACATTTAAGTCAATTTAATTGTCGAACCTGGTGCCTCCCTGAGTATCTTCATCTCCTCTCTCCGAATGGCCTCATCCTCCGAGTCGGGCTCATCATAGACCGACCAGTCGCTCACCGACGAGATGACGGAGCGCTGAAAAAAAGTGCAACGTATATACTTAGCATTTTAAATTCAACAAAGCCCAAAGTCTAACGCGGCGCGAGAAATTTCTGTCAATTGGCCATGAAATGAAACACATTTTTACTCAAACCTTTTTTTGGATGAGAAATCATAAATTCATAACCCTGAATTCTTAAAACATTAGCTTACGAACATTTTCGAGAACCATATTACTAGAAAAGCTACTGCACTATAAAAAAGGATTGCTGAAATTGACGGGAATGGTGTCCTGGCGCACGAAAAACGGTCAGAGATTAGTCAATACATACAACATTTTTCCATTAATTCGGCCTACCACAAGCGAATTATAGGATTTTTTATGATATAAATAAAGGTAGCAAATCCAGAATTTTCGGAAAACATATGAGTTTTGTAAAAATTAAATTACTAGGTTGAAATTACGCTGAAAATTCAAAATAACTTGCAATGAACAACTAGTCATTGTTATGAAAAAAAATTATCGATGATCCTTCAGAAAATGAAACATTTTGTTGTGCCCTCTTCCAAGTTCTGTCATTTGGTTCCGTATTTTTGTATAACATTAATTTTTATTATTAAGAAAACTACACTACTTTATATTAATCCTCATGGACTGAATGTTCGAAAATTCCACTAAGTTACTCTAATTTCCATAAATCAGAAAATGACACATCTAAGTATTTTAAGCAGTACGTAACAGTTTTATTACGAATTCTGATCTGAAACGGTATTGTGCTCTTTCTGAAACATTGGAATCAAATTTGAAAAGCTACCGTATCCTGTTCCTCCTCGGGCTCGTTCTCCAGCTCGTGATACAGCATGGACACCTCGGGCTGGGTGCCCATTTCGGCCATCCTGAAATTACCGTTTTTAACTAAGATTTAGCGATTTTAAAACTGCGTTCCGGCTCGGATCCATTAACTCTTGAAAACCTTTGGTCTCCAGGTTAGAACACGCAACAAATTTTTCTGCGCACCAAAACATCGATTGAAAAATCCGTTAAATCTGATTTTTTCTGGTTCTTTGGCATTATCGGGGGGGGTGACGATTTTCCTTAAAATTCAAATTTTCCAATCTAAGTAGCGGAAAGATTACTAAAATATTTTTAATATATCTAAAATTAAAAATGGTACAAATCTTGGTTGGCAAATGCAAAAATACTGATATTTAGACAAAAATTTCGATATTTACTAAGTAAGTCGTCCAGATAGTTTTTTAGATAAAGCGAAAATCCCCTTATTTATTCGTCAAATCGAGCAGTGGATTGATTTTGTAATTCGGTGTTACTTCATCTTCCATTAACTACCAAAAATTCTTTTCACTACAGTTCTAAATCTAAAACACCTTTTTTATTACTTTAATTACTACGCTTAATTTTGCTAAATTAAGTTAGATTAGTTGGATTTTTGCCGACCTATGAAATTTTTGTAGATGTAAAAATGCATCGTTTGAATAAAATGTTTAAAAAATGTGTATTCGAATTTAACCCACCCGGACGTCGACGGCTCCCATTGGCATCCGCATTCCTGAAAATCAATATTATTAAAGCCGAATTGTGTTTTGGAATACGACTTTTCATTGTAACATTCATTTTTCCCAAAAATGCGATTTCATTTTTATTATTAATTTTCATATCAAGGGCTTACTGTATCATCTGTCTTTCTAGCTTTTTTAATCGATCGTAGTTTACATATTAATTGTTTTATTGTTACTTTAGAGTTATATCATCAAGCGAAATATATTTTATTTTCGCCTTTTTTTATTGCCCCACTACATAGCAGGCAACTCTTTTTTATTATTTTTGTGGTAAAAACATTTCTTCATACCTCTATTTCGACGGCTTGCGTTTGGGCTTCCACACCGGGATCAGGGCAACGTCATATTGTGTGTACACCTCCTCCATCGATGGCCACACCTGAATCCAGCATAAATTGCAATTTTCAGAGTTTATTAACCTATCTGAAAAATAAATAACCTAAAAATAATAAATTTTGTCAAAAAAAGGATCTTTTGCATTATCGGGGGAGGTATATTTTTAATACCTCCAGGGTATATTATATTTTTTGATGGTATCACGACCATACACACCTGAATTCCCTCATCGGTGCTCTCATAGGAAGTTTGCGTCTCGAAATCCGAGAACTCGGCGCCGCACTGAAAAATGTTTCCAAAAAATCGTTTGATCCGTGTTAGAAAAATCTAGTTCATTGTAACAAAACTCACAGTCAAAGCTCAAAAGCAACTAAACTCAAAAGGCTTTTTTTTATCTGATTGCATTTATTCGACCTTATTTTTTAAATTGCTCTAACTAAAATAATAAATAGGACAATCTAAAAAATTATATTATTTTGACAAAATTAAGAATAAATCCCACCTGAATCCCCTCGTCCATCGATTCCCATATCGTCTGGATCTCCATTTCCACCACATCCGCTCGGCACTGAAAAATCATCAGATTTTGCCATTAAATTATGAAAATTATGAAATTAAATTATTTTAAAACCGCACTCTTTTTAGGTTTTTAATAGAACCAGCGCAACCTCAAGCTGATTATTATTATATATTTTGAAGTCAAAAACATTATTAAAATTATCTGAAAGTCAATTTAATGTTTTAGAAATTTTTAGAGAAGTAAAGTTTCGGAGAAGAGGCAATAAGAAAACAATCGAAGAAACGCAAGCCATGCCGAGAAGCGACGACTTTCAATATTGCGTTTATTCAGATCAATTGTAAAGATACAAGATAAAAAAAATTGGTACATAAAACGGGGTTGAAACACGGAGTTTAAATGAAACATAATGTTAAAAAATTAAGGGGGCGTATAAATCGATTCCAAATTTCAAATACCATTGTTTCATATATTTTTCAATATCCAGGTTTGCAGATTGTATTGGATATTGCATGGAAATTGTAGAGCCCTAATTGACGAAATTGCATTTTGGCAAGGCGAGATACTTGAGCGAAGATTAAATGCGAGAATAACGCGATATAAAAGAGATTGAGAATCATTTTGATAGGTGTAATCTGCATAAGAATATTGTTGATTTTTGGATGTGACTTAAAGATCCCAAATGAAGCTAAAAGAAATAAAATTCAAATTGACGGTTGCGTAAATTTCGATTCCTAGAAATTTCGAAAATTGAGTTTCATAAAAAATGGACAGTGGGGTGGTTTTTAAAACAGGCAATCCTTCCAACGTTTTTTGGGCGAAAAAGTTTGCGTCGTTTGAGATGTAATTTGCATACAAAAGTATCTAGACGACTAGATTTAATTTAGCATGTAGTATAGGAAAAATATTGTGTCATGAAATCCGAAGAGTCCTGAAATTACATTAAAACCGCCAAAAAATGGCATCATAAAAAGCGGGTACTAGGGGGAATTTTGAGGGAAGCAATTCTTTACATAATATAATTTGTATAAAAAGTTGAATTAAATAAAATTTTCGTCAATAGTAGATCAGATCGAAACTATGCTAAATTTTATACGAACCGAGGCGTGAATTCCTTAAATACGGGTGTAACATATTTTTTTAAAGATCTATGTTTTGGAAAAATGCATAGCATGAAGGGTTTCAAACACCTTAATAACGGAACGATTAGGCAGGCGTGGAACCAATAAAGCAAATTAAAAAAATAGCAAAAGTTTTAATTCAGCCCAATTTCTGGGCGGCCTCTTTCGGGTCGACCTCGAGCAAATTCTCGTCGTCGCCGCCGTCCCCGAGCAGCAGGTAATTTTTGCGCCGCTGCAGCCAGTCGCCCACCTGCATCCGGTTTTACGCGTTTTATTCGTCTTGTTTTTGAATTTTTAAGCAGATTTTAAATACCGTGACCCCCGAAAACAAACCGGAAATCGCAGATTTTTTCCAAAAATTATGTTTCATAAAAAACTAAAAACATTAAAAATTTCTGGGGCTAATTAACAACTGAGTTTCGCCAATCCATTACCACTTTTCCCCCCACATTTTTAGCTGGAATTTAGCCGACATACCATAAACCAAAAAATCGCCACCTTCAGAAAGAATCTTGCTAAAAAAAGTGTTTCAAACCTGGATCGGACATAGATGTTTTTTGGGACTGCAATTATGATTTTGTGTTGCTCTTGCTTTCTCACTGAATGTTACCCTATTCAAAAGACTAAAGCCTTAATCTGCTATAAAATCATCGAACCTCAATTACATATATTGTATTTTTATATATTATCAAATTACCAAAATTCCCCATCAACATTCGATGCTAAACGCCAAAAATTTTGAAAAATCAGGTTTCGAAAACCCGGAGGTAGCGAAAAAATGTTTGTCGTACTTAGTGGCGACGTGGTTGCTTAATGCCAATACCGTGATTTTGCAAAAAAAATGTTTAAATATTCTGGAAATACGGAGAGTCTTAGGGAATTACAATTGATTCTCAGCTTTTGGAATTTAAATTCACTGCCTGATTTTATATTTTTATACTCCGTCTTTTTATATTTTTTTATGCTATAATGTGACATCCTACTATATATAAAAAAATAGTGTCTGTGTGTGTGTGTGTGTGCATTTGCATGCAACTTCCGTCACCGTGTTCCAGTAGTATCTCAAGAAGGGAAGTACTTAGGGGTATGTTCGATACGTCATTAGATGCGTAATGGGCTGGAGATGACTGCACACATATTAGATTTTACAAAATATGCTGTTTTCGACATTAAAATTCATTTTTTCATGGAAAATCGGGCACCCCTCTTTGTTAGGGAAAAATTAGCATGCACCGGAAGTCGCGGTAGCCTATATAAATGGACGGAGAGAGCATCTTTTATTTTTCGTCATCCGAATCCGCGCAAATTATGCAAAGCCAAGTATATCATGTGTGCGCAGACGGGTCCAGGGTTGAAAAGTCGCGAAGCGGCTTTTCAACCCTGGTTTATATTTAATTAATAAGAAATAATTTATATTTAATTAATAAGAAATAAGCAAAAGCTTTCTAGCCCGGTTTCTTTTTGATCTCGCACAGCCGTTCCAGATAAATGGAGCTTCACGACATATTCAAGGCGCTTGGCGCCGCTTCGTTTTAAATCTTGCCCAAAAAATTGGGGGTGTTTCACCTCAAATTTGAATAGAGTGGCCTGATGGTGACACAATGCCGATTTCATGGCTTTTCGAAAAATTGAGTTTCGCAAACAATGCTGTAAAGCTGTGCCGGAATATCCCTAATCATTCTGGGATTTTTGTGGGGATATTGAACTCGTAAAGCGAACTCGAAAAATTAATTTTAATTGATTTGTACCTTAAATACCACCACCCCCGCGTAAATATATTGAATTAAACTTTGAAAAATAATTTTAATAAATTGAAAAGAAGCACCTGTCCCTCGTGGCTGTGCTCTTCCACCATTTCCGGTCGTGTCTGCACCTCGATATGGCAATTGGGTTTCCACTCTTGGAACAGCTCGTCCAGCGTCCACGTCTAAAATTATGAAGATTAATCTTTGAAAGGAAATTCAACACTAGATATTAAAATTATACATTAAAATGAATTTTTCCAATGACAAGACCCTTAAAGTAACCCGCTGATTTTACAGCGAAATTTGCACTATTATGAAACGTATCGTTTTACGAAAATTTCGTTAAATTTTACCTTCAACCGTATCATCCTTTGTTTTAAAATGTCAAGCTTAAGATCGCTAATTTAATATTTACAACTTAATTAACCATAAAAAGGAAATATTAAAATTATACTTCAAATATCGTAGTAGTATCGAGTAAAAAACCCCTTGCAAGTAACGCGCTAATTTTACAGTGAAATTTGCAAAAGTATGAAACATCTAGTTTTACGAAAATTTTGTTAAATTTAGCTTTTAACCGTGTCATGATTTCCTAAAATTAACTATACCAACTTGAACTTGAAAGACTTGAAAGTAACGCACCAATTTTACAGCAAGATTTGCAAAATTATGAAACACATAATTTCATAGAAAAATGAAAAACCTTCTCATGATTTGTGAGGCGTTGATAGCGATTAAGATTAAAGTATAAAAGGATATTAAAGCTGAAAAACCGATGTATCCACTACGAAATAAATTGAAACGCGCCTGTTTTACAGCGAAATTCACAAAATTCTGAAACACATGGTTTTACGAAAATTTCGTTAAATTTAACTTTCAACCGTGTCGTGATTTCAAGGTTCCTCTAAAATGACTAATAATGATATTTACAAGGTGATACAACCTGAAAAATTAGGTATTCAAATTGTAGCCTAAAATCGTGCGATGATAGAGTTGCAGTAACGCACTGATTTTTGAGCGAGATTTGCAAAGTTGTGAAACATATGGTTTTTCAGCCGAAATTAAATTGCTGATTATCACGATTTTTTAGAGCGTTTATGATACATGTTTTTTTAAGGCGTTGCATGTTCGTATATATTTATGAATTTGCTCGTCAGCATTAAATGTGTCTATATCTGTGAGCACGCCTTCAAAAAAAAGTTTAAAAAATGGCATCCTACTATATTCCTACTATATATAAAAACAATAGTGTCTGTGTGTGTGTCTGTGTGTGCCACTTTGCATCCACTTCCGTCTGTCGGTCCGGAGGATATCTCGATGGGGGTTGAATTTGCAAGTACGTACGATACGTCATTAGGTGCGTACTGGTCTTGAGATGACTGCACACACATCAAATTTTGCAAAAACAGCTGTTTTCGACATTAAATTTAAACTTTTGTAAAAACCTCTTTGTTAAAGAGTATTAGCATAGACCGGAAATGGGGATACGACTATATAAAGGGGCAGGAGAGGGTGTTTTTCATTTTTTTTTTGTCATCTGAATTCAAGACAATTATGCAAAGTGAGGATAAAATGGGGTCAGACGGGGCCAGGGTTGAAAAGTTCAGGCGGCTTTTCAACCCTGGTAGTTTGTTTAATTTTTATCGTACTACCAGGGTTGAAAAGCCGCCTCGCGACTTTTCAACCCTGGCCCCGTCTGACCCCGTTTTATCCTTCACTTTGCATAATTTTCCTGAATTCAGATGACAAAAAATGAAAAACTACCTGTTGAGCCCCTTTATATAGTCGAATTCCCACTTCCGGTCTAAGCTAATTGTTCCTAACAAAGAGGTTTTTACAAAAACTTAAATTTAATGTCGAAAATAGGTGATTTTGTTAAATCTCATATGCGTGCAGTCATCTCCAGGCCATTACGCATCTAATGACGTATTATACATACCTTAAAATTCATCTCCGATCGAGATATCCTCCGGACAGACAGACGGAAGTGGATGCAAAAGTGGCACACACACACACACACACACACAGACACTATTTTTTTATATATAGTAGGATTGACCGAGAGGCGTTGCAAAAAATCCCTTATAATCTCACCCAATCCAGAAATGTCAATTTTTCACGGAATGAGCAACAAATTTGATCCTACTATATATAAAAAAATAGTGTCTGTGTGTGTGTGTGTCTGTGTGTGTGTGCCACTTTGCATCCACTTCCGTCTGTCTGTCCGGAGGATATCTCAAGAGGCGAGGGGTGATAAGCTACGTATGATACGTCATTAGGTGCGTAATGGTATAGGGATGACTGCACACATATCAGCTTTTTTAAAATTGGCCATTTTCGCTATCAAATTTAAGTTTATGTAAAAACCTCTTTGTTAGGAATAATTAGCATAGACCGGAAGTTGGTGGTCGTCTATATAAAGAGGCAGAAAGGGTTGTTTTTCATTTTTTTTTTGCCTTCTGAATGAAGACAACTATGCAAAGGGTGGAATAGCATGGGGTCCAAGACGGGGCCAGGGTTGAAAAGTCGCGAAGCGGCTTTTCAACCCTGGTTTTTGCTTAATTCTCCAGAAAGATTTAGACAAATCGTGAAACATTCAAATGCTTCGGTGATGGGGTTTTGCAAAAGTTCTTACCAGGGTTGGTCACGAAAGGACCCGGACCCCGGACCCGGACCCCAATTTTGACCCGGGGTCTTGACCCGGACCCGGACCCCCGGAATGGGGGTCCGGGTCCGGGTCGGGGTCCCGGTCCGGATCTTTTGAGAGTGAGCCGGACCCCCCCAGTTTATTCTGCACCGGAAATACAAGACTGGCTCGAAATGCAAATTTTTCTATGCTATACTTGAAAAGTACTTCCTTTACGATGGTTAAATGATCTTCGCGGGTCGAATGGTGTCCAGCCCGATCAAATTACTATCGAAAACTGAATTGTAGAACGTATTAAAGTGTTAATAACTGAATATGAAATATTGATCTTCAGCAAAACTTATAGATATCTCCAAACTTCAATGTAGTATTTGAATAATTTACGTTTTGCATTTACTTCCGAAGAATCGCTCGGGGGTCCGGGTCATTTTCAAAAGACCCGGACCCGGACCCGGACCCGACCCGGACCCCCGAAATGGGGGGTCCGGGTCCGGTCCGGGTCCGGGTCGGGGTCCGGGTCTGACCCGGGTCCCGAAATGGCCATCCCTGGTTCTTACCTGTATCTCGACCTCGGCCGTCTTCTTCTTCATCTCCTCGGTGACCATGGCCGTGTTGACGAGGGCCTGGCCGGCAAATGATGGGGAACGAGTCTATACAATGTATTTTTATGTATTTCTTTAATCTCTGCAAAAAAGTTTTAAAGATAAAAAAAGAAGTTTCATTAAAAGCTAATACCAAGCAAGTTTCACTGCAAATTTAATGCCCAGGTGATTGTTTCCTTAGGTAAGCAGGCCTTTAGAAGGCCTCATTGTTAAAGGTGACCTTAAGAAAATTATGTTCGCACGAATTCCAACACCGGTTGCTTGAGCAGGAGGGAATATAAAATTTCGTTGGCGCTTTTCCCTAAACTTAAAATTAAATTAATGCTAAAAAATTAAGTTACATATTTTAAATTGCGGGTCAAGCATCAATTCATCGGGGGGTCTTAACAGAAAGTAAAATTGGTCGAAATTGATGACAGAAAAATCGAGTTTCACTCCAAATCATTAATGCATTAAATTCTACTTGATCATTGCGATACGCAAACTTTTATTTAAAACATCAGGAATTTTATGAAATGAAAAAATCTGTTCCGTGGTACATGATACCCAAATTGATTTTTCTCGGCTGAATACCGCACTCAGAGCCGCTTACTTGTAAAAACCAAACAAATACATAAAAATGAGGGCAAAAGCTAAAATAATAAACTTAGAAATTAAAACAAGGCCTTCTCAGCGCTTAGCGCAATAAGGATCGCCTGATTAATACAAAAGCCTCGTTATTTAAAAATTATTAAAACCACAAAAAAATGTTCGAAAAATGTGTTTCGTAGAACATTATGTTCCGTTTGATTTTGCTCGGTAGAATCAAAAGAGCAGCGTTAGAAAAATAAAGGTAGGAATTCCAAATTTACCTGGCGTTCGCTGAACAGCTGCTCGATGCGGTCGGTTTGCTGCTTTTTCACCTGGAATTTTTTGTGACTTGTCGATGTATATATGAGAGATTTGCTTATTTAATAAAACAAAGTAATTTGATAGTAAATTCCAATCATAATGTAACTAATTTATATAGTTTTGAATATTTAGAAACCTAAAAAATTAAACCACCTCGGCAGCTTCGATAAATTCGCGGAAATCGCCGCGATCCGCCTTGGCGAAGGCGGGCATTCCTGTAAATTGGATTATGAATTCAATAAAATAGCATAAAAATAGTGTAATTTAATATGTTCCACTCACTAAATTAACAATAAACGCAAAATTGCGTTCGATTTTGCATAATACGCCTCTCATAACGAATTTTGTCTAATTTTCATGTTTCTAAAACTATTATCTTTTTAATATTCACACAAGGCGTTTTAAAATACAATAAACTGAACTTCATTTTTTTATTCAATTTTTACTCAGAAATTTACGTAAAATAATCAGAAACTGGATCAATAAGTGGTAATTTGTAACGTTTAGTTATTTATATATTACACGTATTAAAATTCTAGGATTTACTTAAATTTATCTCTTTCAAATCAAGCCTACCAGTCTGTGGGTCGAGATTGGTAAGAACTGGCGGGATGTCGATGCCCTTCGCCTTGGCCTCCTCCTTGAACTGGTTCATCACCTTGTTCCCGGCGTTCTTACTAAATACGAAATATATAAAAAATATGAAATCGATTAAATTCTCATTAATAATAGGGGATATAAACTACTAAAAATCAAAATAAAATTACTATATTATAATTCTTTCAATATATAAGTAGGCGGCCTGTCCTTAATTTAGTTTCAGCGCTCAAGAAAGGCAAAAAATCTGGGAATGAATAAATCAAAAATCAGTTACAAGCCCTCCAAAATTCCGTAAACAATGTCTTATTTTTCCATATGGTATTTTGACACATTTTCATTTCAAAATTAAGATTTCCACAATTTTGCAAAAATACCATTTGCCTTTTAGAGCTGCTATGAAAAAATCACAGTATCGGCAAAATCTTCCAACTCCACATAAAATTCCGTTATTCCCTTTTTACTTCTTTGAAACAGTCGTTTTTAACTCTTTTTTTATTATTTTAAGGATCCGACAACCGTTCATTAAACCCGATAACGCGAAGTCAAAATTTAAATTGGTTGAGACCTATTTTTTCAATTTAGTTGTTTGTGCCTAAAACCGTCTACTGGTAATTAAATCTAACCTGTCCGATTTTTTTATAAATATGAATGAAACATAATTTTCGATAATTTTTTCATTTAGAAAGGCTGATTTAACTAATTAATTATTTTGAATTTTATCCCCGCCAACCTAATCAGCGGCATCAGGAATTTGGCCTTGCCCTGGAAGCCGCTCATCATGCCCTCAATGGCCTTCGGATCGCCCGATTCCAGCGCCCGTTGATAGTCCTAGAATGGAATATTTTAAGAGCCACATTTTAATTCTTATATTTGACTAGCAAAGCCTATCCTACTATATATAAAAAAATAGTGTCTGTGTGTGTGTGTGTCTGTGTGTGTGTGCCACTTTGCATCCACTTCCGTCTGTCTGTCCGGAGGATATCTCAAGAAGGGACGGGTATTAGGCTACGTATGATACGTCATTAGGTGCGTAATGGCCTGGAGATGACTGCACGCAGATGTGATTCAACAAAATCACCTATTTTCGACATTAAATTTAAGTTTTTGTGAAAACTTCTTTGTTAGGAATAATTAGCATCGACCGGAAGTGGTAATTCGACTACATAAGGCGCAGGAGAGGTTGTTTTTCATTTTTTCGCCGTCTGAATTTAGGACAATTATGCAAAGTGAAGGATAAAATGGGGGCAGACGTGGCCAGGGTTGAAAAGTCGCGAAGCGGCTTTTCAACCCTGGTGTCATTTTAATTTTACATTTGTTTAGCAAAATATATAATTGTTTTTACCAGACTTGGTGTGAATTAAAACATTAAGAATTCGAGCTGATTCCATTGAAAGTGCAACACAACTTTTTCATTTTGAAACACCTCAGGTTGAGGATATTTGCGACCTTGATTGCATATATAATCAGAACTTTGGTATTGATTTTTAAACGAATAAAATTATTCAATATTTCTTAAGATTTACCTCTATTTTAATCAACATTGCCACGACTTTTTAGTAATTGAACTGAATTCGAAACACAATTTTTTTGATTCCCGAAAACCGTGGAATTTAGCATTTTTTTTAATAAGTTAATATACTAAAATAAATTTCATATATTTTGTGTCGATTCTAAGCTTTAGAGTAATGTGCTTCATCGGAATATGATTATTTGGCTTTGAAGTATGAGTTTGAGGCCATATGTGGCATTAAAAGTAACATTATTTCTCAGGATATCAAAGTTATTTGAAACATTAAATTTAATTTCCGAATTTCGAAAAATATGTTTTCTACTTAAATAGTGATGAACAATTAATATAGTCAATAATTTACAATTAGATGTTTCTTAAATAAAATTAACCTCGGCCATCTTGGTGAGCAGCGCCAGGTACATTTGCTCGAGCTTCTCGCAGACGACGTTGATGCACACGTTCACAAGGGACAGCCCCACGATTACTGCAATATATAATGTACCGTACATTTCATCAACATTTAATTAAATGATATAAATTTATGGCATAAAAACCGTGATTAGCTTGAGTAATTTGGCGAAGCGTTTTTGATTGTTTTTGACAAGTTTAAACCATAAATAGAAACAGAAAAACAAGTGTTTTGGAAAAGCCGGGCATTGATCATTTTGGTTAAAAAATAAATTGTTCGCCATGAAATTAAGTTTTTCGAGCAGATTTGGGGAGGTTTTCTGTTCAAAAAAAACTTAAAACATGTTGAAACGTTTATAAATTGTAACGCTGTTTATATAACGCTTACAAAAACAAAAAAATGAAAACCCTTGCTGCAAAATTATCGTTCAAAAGGGATGTGGATAGAAGAGCCGATAAGAGTTGACATTAAGCCGATGAGGCCTTACCGTTGATGGGGATTTTCTTGAAACACGATTTTTAAACGTCCAAGGAAAGCATTTTTTTATAGAATTTAGTGCCAAAAAATAGTATAGTAAATATTGTCAGCTCAGCTCGGTTACCAGGTAATTTTTTATTTGATAAAGCTAGTTTAAAGTCGAAAGATCAATTTTCTGTTTGAATTTTGGTGGGGTTTCAGAAAAAAAACATGTTTAAAGCAATTTAGTTTTTCAGACTTTTCAAAAAAAAATAATCAGCCGTTGGGATGGTTGGATCTGAATTAATAATTCCAGTTTGAACGATGTTTTGTGAAAAATTGCCTAGAATTTCTCGAAAAAAATCATAACATTTTAAAAGAAGTTTGGCTAAATCCCAACTCATATTGATGGCTTAAACCGAATTAAAATTGAATTCCACCCACCAATCATAAACGTGGCGATCATGTACTCTGGATGGGCTGGGGTCACGTCGCCGAGGCCTGAAAAGATCGCCAAGTAGAACATTCAAATAAATTAAATTGATTAAATTTGTTTAAAAATTAAGCTTTAAAATTTTGAAAAGAATTTAAATTTAATGGCCTTTAAAATTCAATCCATGATCTATTTCAAAGTATTTCGAGGTAAGAACAGAATTAATCCCTTTTTTAACCGACCAATGGTGCTGGTGGAGATGAAAAAGAAGTAGATGCTCGTCCAGTAGCTCCAGTCTTCCCATAGGCAAAACACCGCCGATGCGAACATTATCCAGCTGAAAAAAATCATGTTTCATAGAGATTAAAGGGGGCGGGTCCGTTTGAAATTTCAATAAACGGATTTCAAAAAAAATATGTTTCAAAAAAAATTAAATACCGAGTGGCGCCGCCCTGGCCGCTCCAGCATATCGATAACATTAAATACCTAGACAGTCATTTTACTAACAAATTTATCTGTTTTGCATCGAAAACCGTTGAATAAAAACGTATTGGTGAAAATCAAATTGTATTCGCTGCATAAAATTGAAAGATGCAACTGTTAATTAATTTTTAATAAATTATTTTTAAGAAAAATCGATGTTCTATAACTTACCCAATGGTCGCGACAACGGCCTGAATCACAGGTGGATCCCGCTTCACCTCATCATCATGGTCCTCGGCCCCGTCCTTCGACAGCGCATTTTCCTGCAAATGCACAAAACACTTAATTTTGTAAGTTTTTCACGGTTTTGAAGTTTCGACTTTTTCAAAACTCGTCCATTTATGCAAATCGAATTGGTATCATAATGTCGAAATTTCACAATGTCGAAATTTCATAATGTCGACATTTACATATGCTAATATTACCGATGGGCTTAATTTCATAATGTCGAAATTCATAATGTCGAAACTTTATAATGTCGAAATTTCATAATGTCGAAATTTCATAATGTCGACATTTCATAATGTCGAAATGTCATAATGTCGAAATTTCATAATGTCGAAATGTCAGAATGTCGAAATTCAGAATGTCGAAATTTACATAAGCTAAAATTCCCGGTAAAGTCCCCGAATTCGAGGTAAAAAAATGTTGTCGTGAAATAAGAAAAAAAAAAGAGAATGTGGAAAAATTTTTTTGGCCAGGATTTGGCGGTTGCACCGGTAATATTAGCCTATGTAAATTTCGACATTACGACATTTCGACATTATGAAATTCAACATTATGAAATTTCGACATTATGAAATGTCGACATATGAAATTTCGACATTATGACATTTCGACATGACATTTCGACATTTTGAAAATAAGCCATGCAAATCACATACGGTGGTGAGAGTGCTGAGCGAAGTGGCATCGGCAAGTCCATATTGCCCCAATCTCTTCATGATGTGGTTGTAGCGCTTCCGCTGCTCCGCGTCCTCCTCCAGACCGTAAAAACCGAGCTTCACCGCTGAAGAATTGGAAAAATAAGCTAATTAAAATGCGCTTCTGCATTATCGGGGGGGGGGGGTAATTTTTCTTCCAAAGCACGTTTTTCAACTGGTTTTTGCCAATGCTAAACGTGAAAACTTCAGGATTTTTATTAAAAAATACAAAAAAATTCTTTTGGAATACCGCTCCTTTAGCTGCCAAGTAGTTTACAAAAATTGCAGTACTGAGCTTTTAGCCGGGGGGGTGGTATTTTTCTCAGCAGTCTGTATAACAACATTTAAGTAGTTTTTTAGACATCACAATTTGATTTTTGGTAAAAATATATCAAAAATAAACATTTTTTACAATATTTTTTTAAGCTTTCTTGCAGGCAAAACTACTAAAAAAACTGTAAACAAACATTAAAACCATTAACAGGTAAAAATCAGCCAGAAATTAAAAGTTAGGCCCCCCGCTAATAGTCCAGTACCAAAAAGCGGTTAATAATTGATGGATTTATATGGGTTTGCCAATTTTATCAAATTATATATTGTTATTTTATGGTATAAATCATCGTTACCACAAAAATCAATAACTTACATATCAAAAGTGAAACATCGGCCACGCCATTCGTGAATCCCTTCACCATAAACAGGAGCACATCCCCCAGATCGTTCAAAATCACGATCATTATTGGGATGCCGAATATCGCGTAGATTACGGTGGCCACCTAAATACATCAAATCACGAGAATTATTAAAATCAAATAAAATTATTTTATCATTGCCAGATTATTTAAGCCAGTTTAAAAAATCAATTAGATACTTAGTACTTGCGGCCAAACATTTTTACTTTTGTATTAAATCTGAAACTTATTTTTTAATTATTATCCGCTAAAATTAGGTTTATTGTGGTTAGTCCGTCTAGTTTTTAAAGTTGATACCAATAAATTGTCTGGCCAAAATTGTAGCTTTTCAAAGGAAAAAAACAGGTTTTTCTAATAGATTTAAGTTGTTATTTTTTGCAGTTGACTTGGTATTTGCTGCTAAATCATCAAAATTGTTACCTCAATATTATGGTTAATAAAATAGAAATTAAACTAAATTAATCAAATAATCATAACCAAACTGTTTAACTATTTTAATTCGAGCGGAAGCGGAATACTTTGCGGTGGTTAAACTAATTGCAGACAAAATCTTAGATATTTAATTAAACATGAAACATATTTTTATATATTTCTTGGGGTTGTGTGCAGCAAATTACCTAACTAAAAATCGCAGCTTTTCACTTAGAAATAAAACGAATTTTTCTTAAACAAAATTTTATAATTTTGCGATTTTTTACGGTTTATTTTGCTACCTAATGAAAAATCATAAAATATATTACCTGCCCAGCCGTCGTCGCGCACGCGATATTACCGTAGCCTAGAGAAAAAATATGAAGTCAAACTTTTAGATGTTTCGCCCCACCAATAGTCGTAAAAATGGTGCCCGCATACAAAAATGACATCCAGAAGGTCCAGGAGGTTTCGATAACCGGCTCGTCCATATCTGAAAAATACAATTAATTTTAATCTCAATAAGATAACTAAACGAAAAATAGTAATCAGAAGAAAAAAGAAAATTAATCGAAAAACAAATTAATGAGGTTCTTTTCCGTTATCGGGATGAGTCGAGATATGTGGATTTTTATAGAGATGTCTTAAAAATAGTTTAAACGTTTCAAAAAGCTCAATATTGTTTGATAGTTTAATTGCACCAAATTAAACGGAAAAATCCTTCTAAAAATTTCGTTTTTCAAATTTTGGTCGAGAATCGGCCATTTCTGTTCGGAAATTTGATTTTACGAAATAGAAGAGTTTTTAAATGGTTAAGTTTAGTAACCTCTTTTATTTATTTTTAAAAAATTACCGAGACAATATTGCCCCCCGTTAACGCCAAAGCACCAAAATCTTACCCAAACTCTGCTCAAAGCTGATGATGGCCTCCTTCCACTTCTCCTCCCTATTCTCCCGATTGTCCTGGTGGATGCCGCGGAGCCTGGAAAAGAATGTGTTGCAGAAAATTGTAATGGTCCAAAAATCAAACCCAAGTAGCGTATTTACCCCAAAAATGTTTCAGACCGTTCCTAGATTTGAGGAAGATAAGCGAGGATAGTCTGGTTTGGTCTGTCTAGTTATGTCTGTCTAGTTACGGATCATTTAAAAACGCATCATTTACAAAAATGTGTCTCATCTCAAGAGATTCTTGGAAAGCCCAGGAACAGAGTAATGGGAGGGAGAATTACAAACAGATCTAATCAGGCTTTTCATTCAGATTCTAAACGCAAAATGATGCCTAAAATAGATCTTTATTTATGCTGTTGGAATTAAAGGGACGAGCAAGTTAGGCATGTAGGTTTTTCTGGCTTTGGATGCCCCTATGAATCTGCCGCACGGACTTTCATCAAGGCCTGAAAAATCCACTGCCAGCAAAAATACGCTCATTCGCAAACATTAAATTTTAATTATTATTGTCTGGATATCGAATACGTTTGAAGTTTGAAAAAAAACATGTTTCCCGATAAAATCAATGATCCAAAATGTCAAGGAAAACTATTAAGAAGAGAACCGATTCTAACATATCAGAGCTTTTTTAATCAACATTTCAGAAAAAATGTTTCGACAAAGGCTACGGTAAAAGTGGGAAAGTCCGCGTTAATCCAGTTTCGAAATTCGTTGGTTTTAATACTAACCGTATCACCAGATCGTCGCGCGCGATGAAGCGCTGATTGAATTGTTTTTCCTTTTTTGCCAAGTCGGTGGGTACCTTAAATTAATTAAAATTAAAGCATAATAAATCAATGAACTAAAAACAAACTTGTTACCGTTTCCTAAATTTTAAAAAAAGAGCTGGAAGTTTAATTTTGGCGAAATTAAAATGTTTTATACGAATTTAATTTGAATTAATTAGACAAGAAAGTTACGTTTTCCAGATCTTTTCGATTTTGATTTAATGTTTCATGTAATTTCGATTTCATCTAAATTAAATATCCATTTAGCTACAACTGGTGATCGGCAGAAAAAAGATGCATTGCATTTATTTTAGGGATTTTAGTCCTCTATTAAAATTACGCCAAAAAATTCCAGTTGTTAATTGCTTTATTAATTTCAACTTTTCTTGTTTTTTTTTGTTTTATCAAATTCTCACCTCCAAATGCATAAATAGCCAGGCGCCGAATAGGGAATATAATGCAATGACGAACAATAGCTTCAGCTTGAATAAAATCGTCTTCAGCGGCTTCAGCGCGCGCCACCATTTTCGACGTCTAAATTTCGTGCTGATTATGTTGAAAGTAATCAATAATAAAATACGACTCAATAATACTATTCCTTTTTCATAAAAACTTATGAAAGGAAAATTAGGAGTCCGAAAGTCGAAAGTCGTACAAGTCGACCGAATTTTATCTTTGCACCAATTTCTTTAATTTTGATGTTTCATCGATCTTCCAAACTTCGGGAAAATTTCTTTCCACAATTTTTTTCGTCTGTTGTCGCATCGCAATTCAGCTAAATTATAATTATAAATAAAAACTTTTAAAACGAAAATGTTGAGACGAGTTTAACTGTAACTTTGTTGATTCGGGTTTTAACAAAACTTAAAGGTCTGGCGATCGGTTAGTAGGTGGAAGTCGAAAGGCGCAAAAAAAAGCCGGATGCGTGGTCTTAGGCTTCGGCTTCGTTTAGGGCTATGCTTAGGTTTAGGCTTAGGCTCGGGCTTAGGCTCAGGTTTAAACACTTACGCCCTAGATACTTTCGACAAAGTGGAGCGTGCCGACTCGCGCACGCTGGCCGAGAGGCTTTTCCTTGGGTCCTCATCTTCCGGTTGGATCAGCTGGATGTACGAGCCTGAAGATTTAATTGATTAGGCTTTTAACGTAGCTTAATTTCAATTGGCGGAAAAGACCCACGCCCGAAATGACTTTCGTAGCGAAAACGTCTCAATCCTTGTCAAATTAAAAGCGAGAATATTTTCGAAGTATTAGAAAAAGTTGAAACGTTTATTCTTTCGAAAAACATGACAACCAAGAAGCGTAAATTTAATTAGATTAAAAATTAATTAAAAACATAAATGCCTATGGTTATTAAAGCAAAAAAGATTTGGTCAAACTGGCGCTTCATTTGGAACATTTTTTTGAAGAATACTACTACCTCGTCCTATTAAATTTTGAATTGAATTCATGGGACGGACGCCCAAATTTCAAAAATATTTTTCGGACATTATTTCTTTGAATAAATATTTGTTTAGTATCAAACCTTCGAGGAAGGCCGAAAATTAAGACCATAAGTCCGAAAACTTTGTGAGAATCCAGCCCGACAACAAAATTGGAAAAAACTCCCGAAATTCATGCAAATCTCACAGGCTCAATCCCAAATAGGGGAAAACGTTGAAATCCCGACAGTCCGAAATGCCGACAGACCAAAATCTTGGCCAGAAAACCGACAGCTGAGTCCCCCGAAAGCTAAAATCCCTCAGCTAAAATGCCGACATGCGAACACCCCGAAAGCAAAAATCCCGGCAGGCGAAAATCGCGACAGCAAAAATGCCGACAACCTAAATCGCGATCGACGAAAATACCGACAGCCAAAAGACAATTAAATCAAAATCCCGACATGAAAAATGGCTGTTTAAAGGGAAGCCACATTCAAACTAGCGCCAAGAATCTGTCGGTATTTTGGCGTGTCGGGATTATGGTTGTCGGGATTATGGGTGCCGGGATTTTCAACGGAATTTCTCGAATACCATTCATCTTCTTGGTGCGCATGACCACAATGGTCGGATCCGAGGGATCCGGGTCTGCTTCTAAAAATTTTAATACTATTTTTAACCATAAATTGGTTACTAAATGTGCGAACGACTATTCCAATACCCTATAATAACTATGAAAAAATTGTTGAAGAGGCTGAGTTAAGAGAAACATTGATTTTTCAGACCCTTCTATGCTGAAAACCTTGTTTTCTTACTAATCCGTGCCGCCCAACGATATCGTCTTCAATTGAGTGCCTTGAATTTCATGATAGAACTGCTGGAATGTCTGGCTTCATCATGCCTTGAAAAAGAACCTTTAAATCAACCTACTAACAAGCATCAAAAAATATACGAAAAACATCTAGTTCAGAAAATTCGTTGTTTTTTGATAATGCGCAACTCGAGCAGAAAAATGTTTCGTAAAAATCAAGAATGAAACGGACAACACCGTCGATAATTCGTACTCGAGATTTGCAATAATTTTCGGATGCGCTTATTGTGTAAAAATCTAATTTATCGCAAAAAACGTTGAAGAATATATTTGTTTATTTTTCATGATTTTCGGCCAAAATTAAAATTAAGCGACCTTTTAGCAAAAGAATATTTTGCCTAATTAAAAGGAAAAATCTGTAATGGGTAACTCAATAATATCTGGCGCTTTTGGTAATTTTTCAGAGCAGGCTAGCAGAGGTTCTTAGGAAAAATTGTTGCCTTCTTTTTAAAGGGACTGAAAAGGAGGCAAAAGTATTTTGTTCAAGTTCCCAGAGATTTTGGCGCGGATCCGATACGTAACGCGATCCTACGCTTTTCATTGCGTAATCCCAACCCGCAAAATCCTTAAAAAAATCGATAGCCCTGCCTTGCATGGCCCTTTAAAAATCACGTACCCCCGATAAAATCGGCGTCATGCCCATCGAGATCGATGTCAATGTGCTGCTCGCCGTAGAGGGGGCGCATCTCGATCGCCTGAAATAAAATTTGTTTTCCTTCAATTTATAGTAAAAGTCTTTATACTATTTTACCGAGTCTTTCTTGCGGACATTTTTCTTACAGAGTTGATTTTCCATTATTAAAATTGCCACAATTCACACAAATTGCCTAAATTTGGTCAATACATGGTATGGTCCATGGATTTCCTCAGATTAACCACGAAAATATTTGCCTATGATCAGAATTGTTTAAAACATTTTTTTTATGCTTGTCCAGTTGAGAGGAGGGATAGATAAAACGGGGCAGCTAGAGAGAGAGAGTGCGAAAGAGAGCGAGAGAGAAAGAGAGTAAGAGAGAGAGAGAGAGAGAGAGAGAGAGAGAGAGAGCGAGCAAGAAATTGAAATCTTCAAAATTCCACACTCACCAAATTGTCCACGGCCATGGCGATCGGGGCGGCATGCAGCCGCGCGGGCGGTTCGGTGCTTCTAAACGAATCAAGTTAAATTTTTAGATTTTTTGTTGTATTAATTTAGTTACATTATTATTTGAAAAGGTAGGCCAGAAAACACAAGAATCAGAATTCGCTTTTTGCTACGAAATAATTGACAGCGTACGGCTTACTAATTTTCAAAAATTTGAGAAACCTATATTTTTAAAGTAAGCGTTTCGATTCTAAGGAGAGATTAAACTAAATTGAATCAGGAGAGGCTAGCAGAGATTGTTGAGGACTAAAATGTCGAAATTTGCCCCAACCTATCGATTGGATACCGTGTGAAAAGCGCCCGGGATCCCGGACCGGATTCGAGAAAAGCGACACGCAAAAAAGAAAGAAGAGGACGGAAATTCGGGCGTCATTTGGCGGGGACACGGTATATTTGGATACGCGACCATTTGACAGCCGGGATGGCAGCCAGTCTGACCACCCACACAGCGAGAGAGCGGAGAAAGACAGAGAGAGAGAGAGAGAGAGAGAGAGAGAGAGAGAGACGAAGAGCGATAGACCACTCCATGGATCAAAGATAATCGGGGCCCGCGAGTCCGAAATTTCCGCAACAATCTCTGCTAGCTGGGCTTTCAATGCATAATTCCGGCTAGAAAACGGTAGAAACAAAACCGTTTCAGAAATAGGCTAGAGAAAATTGGTGCTGAACGCCGTTTTGAACACACAGTGGAGGATGTTTTCAGGATTTCGGACGGTTTGCCTGTGTTTGTCTGTCTATCAGTCACTCTTTCTCTCGCTCTCTCTTTCCCGGGAATTTGTTTCTTTTCGTGTCCAGCCTGAAGCCTGAGGGCCATCCAGCCGCCCGCCGGGTCTCCACCATCACCCGCCCAACACAAAACGACTATTTACATGAGAGAGAGAGACAGAGAGAGAGAGAGAGAGAGAGAGAGAGAGGGCCGGCATAAAATATAATGAAAGCGCTCAAAAAGAAGAGATGCATTCTCGAGATTCGGAGCATGAAGTCGATTTGAATGCTTGAAACTAATTTTTTTCTTGGATAAACCTATGCGAGCTTTCGAGAATATGAATTTCGTAGTTCATTCGGTCCTTGAAACTTATTTCCTCAGAACAACAAAGCTAAACCCTCCCTTGCTTGGGGGAGTCTCTTTAAATAACGTAAAAATAAAATCTCAGGGCAGGCTAGCGGAGACATTCTTGGAAAGCAAAAAAAAACTGGAGGAAGGGGATGAACCAGACTTTCAAAATGTATTTGGTTAGAATTAATGACTTGAAAATTCGGTTGCGAGTTTTTCTGATGGCCGTCTCTCTCTCTCTCTCTCTCTCTCTCTCTCTCTCGCTTTCGCTCTCTCTCCTCTCCTTCTGTTGATTGGTGATATTTGTGGATGTGTGTGTTTCGGGCACTGCTGGGGGTCTAGCCATAGTCCCTCTCAAGTGTCCCTCGCAACATGCATATCCCCCACGATCATCTGGAAGGAAAGAGAGGGTCCCGTAACGATGATGAGTGCATTCAACATCGATATGGTGCCTGGCAGGAACTACCGGTGGGGCAGGCTGGCAGAGATTTTGAGAAAATCAGGAAACAGCCTAGCAGGCTAGCAGAGATTTTTCAGGAACTCTGTTAGGTCAACATAGTCGAGATAACGTAGATTCTTTACAAATCTTTGGTACCCGAGGTAAGCTAGCAGAAATATTTTGGGAAACCGAGACGTAGCTGGGCAAGCTAGCAGAGATTGTTGAGGAAGAGGAGAGGGCAGGCTAGCAGAGATTGTTGAGGAAGAGGAGAGGGCAGGCTAGCAGAGATTGTTGAGGAAAAGGATAGGGCAGGCTAGCAGGGATCTTTGAGGAAACCGGGGCAAGCTAGCAGAGATCATTTACAAGATGCCCCCCCGCCATGTCGAGAGGGTGTTGAGAAGTGACTAATCGAGAGGCGATACAGAGAGGTATATCGGGGAGTGGTCGCGGTACTCACCCGGTGGCCCGGATATGTACACTCCACTCCAAATGACTCCTCTGTTTTGACCCCCGCATCTGGAGAGAAGATATACCAATACACCACCCCAACAGCTACTTGAACACTGATCTGACCGGAAACTCTTTTTTAGGGGATGGAAAACTACGGTTTCTTGCCTTTCATTCCTTTAAATCCATCCATAACACGATTAACTAGAAAACTTTATCAGCCATTGTCAACTGCAATTAATAATTTTCATCATCATCATGCGGATCCAGCTCCAGTTTTAGTAGTCGTCATCCTTGTTGTTGTCGTTCAGCACCCGCGAGCCTTGCACAGCGTCTCGTAGTCGGCCAGCCAATCGCGCAGCTCCTCCTTTGTCACCAGCTGAAAAATAAGGTGTAAATTCTAATGCTTGGAAACAAAAAGAGGTTTCTTGGGCCGATACGCTTCCGCAAGACCATGTGCCAAAAAAATATCCCCCTTCGAATAATCACCTTCTTGTTCTCGGCCAAAGCGATGAGCACGCGGGCGATGTAGACGTATTGAATGTCCATCTAAATTGCATTCCAAGGAATTGCTGAAATTTTCGAACCTGGACACTGCCATGACGAGCATCGCGCAGCTCGCGAACCACCTTGTCCACCGTGCAATTCTCGCCCTTCTGAAGACGAGCCATGATCACGTCCAGGCCGACGATCGTCCCGGTGCGCCCGATACCTAGAAAATGAAAGGTTCTTTCATTTTCTTAAAGTTTTGTACAACAAAACGATATTCTAACTAACAAACTATCTAAAAACCTTGAAACGTCTGGAAAAAATAGACATTTAGGTCAAAAGTTGGCCTATTTGGAAGAAAAATCCGAATTTTTCGTATTTTTTACTAAAAATTTGTAACGTGGCGGTAACGTAACCTAAGCCTAAGCTAAAAACGTTTTATCTTTAAGAATAGTACAAACGGCTTAGAAACACTTCCGCTATTTCTATTGGCAAAATTGGTTCTTACAAACAAACTTAATTAAATAGATTCTAAAGCCCAACCGGCCGAGCAGTGCACGACGATCGGCGTCAAATCCTTGACGCGATTGATGAGACGGAGACAGGCGAGGAAGTTGGGCGGCACGCCACGATCCGGCCAATTGTTCCAGCACAAATGCTCGACAATCAGCGTGTCCTTCGACTCGGCGGTGGTCAGCTCGAGTCGCGTCAACGTCAACACCTCTTCCACGTCCTGGATCGACAGACATTTGACGCTCACCGGGCCCGAGTCCATCTAAAATTTTTTTTAGCAAATGTTGAACTATACTTTCCCATGGATCCGCCGTATTGTTAGGCACTGGACTGTTAGCGGGGGAAGGGGGCTTTTAGCGGGGAGAAACAAATCCTGCTCGAAAATTTTTGTACGATCCTATATTTCGAAAATTTGGTCATTTTGGCGTGAAAACAAAATCCCCCGCGCTAACAGTCCGGCACCAGGGTTTTTTTGCTCACCGTAGTCCCCTTCTCATTCGGCCAGTACTGCTCGCACTTGCGCTTCCCCTGCTCCACCAGATTGCACAGCATCACGATCGAACGGCACTTTTCTTGCCACATCTGAGAAAGGAAAAGTCTCTACCTTGAAAAAACCACCGCTTACCATACGCCAAAAGTCCTCAATCGTGGTCTCGGTCGGCGCCTGTGTGCAGATGAAACTGGAAAAGCAAAAATAAACTGCAAAGAAAACACCAGACTGACCGGCGCTTCTCGGGAATGTGAACCCAGTTTCCGTGAATGTAGTCGCTCTTGCTGGCCGGCCAATTCAGCACCACACGACTGCCATCGACGCAGTACACATCTAGAGGCCATGACAACAAGAAATCATACATGAGAGATGTTCCAACCTTTATAGCGATTCTTCTCGGGGTTTGCGTCAAAGGCGGCCTTCGTGTACTTGCCGATGCCCTGCGTGTCCGTCTTGATGGCCACGAACTCGTCGACCATCTTCGGCACGGTTAACTAGAAAAGTTGTGTATAAAACGACTAGTCATTCTAACTTTCCGGCTCTTTAGCATTATGGGGAGGGGCTTTTCTCAGGATCCAATTTTTCTAGTATAAACAGTGAAAGTGAACGTGAAAACTTTACAAAATTTTATAAAAAAAAATCTTTTTCAACCAAAAGACGGCGCTTTTTCAAAAATTAAAATTTTTAAGCAATTTTCAATGTTTGTAGTTTTTCTGCTTGAAAAATAGCCATATTTGACAAAAAAACAATTAAAACGCTTCCTACTAAGCTAATAGACATTTCTAGGCTGTTAAAAATCCCTCCCGGGATAATGCGAAAGAACCCTAATGTTTTTCCAAGTGTTCCTTTCTCTCTTTGTCGCCAAGAACAATCCCTAACCTTGATATTATCGAGGGCGAACTGTCGCAGGGCCTTCTCAAACTTTTCGTCCTTGTTGGGGGCACGCTTCTTGCTGACGTTGGCCGCTGACTTCTTGGCGGCGGGGCGGGAGGGGCGCTCGACCTGGGTCCCATCATCTTCGGCCGAAGCCTTGGCCGCCTCGGCTGCTGAAACAAAAAGAATTTTTTTGAAGAATCGAAACAGCTCCTACCAGCAGCCCGACGATAGCGCGGAGCTAACACACCAGCAGCGCGTGGCATCCTTTGTTTTTGTAAAAACTCCAAAAACATTCGGTATTTTGGGGCAAAAACTGCAAACTTACGCCCGGTGAACCCGACGCGCCGACGACCGATAGGGGCTGATCCGAAGAATGCGCATTTTGGCGGCGGTAGGAGTGAATTCCGGGTATATAGGGTAATTTTCAAAATTCAAAGTTTTTCCTGATTCAAAATTTCTAAATTATAGTTTTTTCTAACTAAAAAAGTAGATTCTAAATTTGCACCATTTTCGAAAGCTCAAAATTCCAAATTAGTTTTTCTAGTACGAAACTGTACAACTAACGCCCCGGCACCGCCTCGTTGCGGGACCATTTTTCGTTACGGTGGCTCCATCAAAAAGGTTCGCGATTTTCGAATTTCTCGCCAATCGAAATTTTTTCGAGGAGTTTTTATTTTTGCACTTGACTTTTGCGCGTTTTCTTTTCTTCTTGCTTTCCCTACTTTGATTTTTTTTTATTTTTGATTGTCCAACATCTCTTTTTTGCAGACCTCATGGGAATCGAAATGGATTTGCTTGCTGGAGGTATTTTTATTCATTTGGCCACAAAAATTCTTTAGTTGGCCAGGAACTTGACCGTCCGGCCGATCGGGACGGCAACTACTTCACCGCGTTCGCCAGGACGCGCTCGTCGAAGGCTCAACCGAACGGTATCGAGGCGGAGTTGAAGAAGATGGAGACCGAATGCGGAAGCACTCTCGTGCCCGAGCTGGCCCGTTTCGTGGAGAGTGCCCCGTCCAACGAGGAAGTCGGCGCGCCAACCTTCTACGAAAAGATCGTCGGCAATTTGCCGATCGGATTCGAGGATGTGCTCAAGGGAATGGACGACCGCGTTCCGGACGCCGAGCAGCGCTTGCTGGACATGTGCATCGTTCTTGGCAAGCCGGCCAAAGCCAGCTTCTACGCCGAGAAGAAGGGCCTCAAGCACGACATACTGGAGGTGTTCAAATGGGCTGGTGAAATTTCAATATTTGGCTTATCCTTTCTTTTAGAAGACAGCGGAAAAGACGTGGCTGTGTACTTGGGAGAATGGAGCGCTGCATGCAAGTCGCCCCTCTCTCGTGCCGTAGCTCGCTATCATCTTTGCCACGTTACTCACCCGAGCACGCTTCTGCCGCAGATCGCAGGCCACGCCGACTTCTTGAGCATTCAGTAAGACTATTTTTACGTCCACTATTGTGTTTTAGGGATGCCTTTATCATCTCATCGGTCCTTCTCGGCAACACTCATTCCTTGACGAAGAGGCTGCACGCCCGTTGGGCCATAAAGGAACCGGTTCTCCCTGATGTCGTGCCGAGCGCCGCTGCCACCGAGTCGCAAGGACCGCTCGACATCGAGGCCGAATTTGAGAAACTTCTGAAGGCGCCAAACAGTTCACGTGCTGACCTGGTAATTACGGTTTTATTTTTTCAAACTGTTTTAAGGTCACTCTCTACCGTTTGGCCCTTCTGACCGTAAAGAAGAAGAACCAGCCTCTGAAGGCGCCGGCCATGGCCAACATACGTCTCACGTTCGTCCATATTCTCGTATTAAATCATCGTTTTAGGTTCTCGAAGGCTTTGGCGGTTGGCGACTGGCAAGTGGCATTCGCCATGGCTCAAGACATCACCGCTCGTGCCGGCCAAGAAGAATATCTAAAGGTATTGAAGTCCCCTTCACCTGAGCTCTTTTTAGGACTTCCTGCAATACCTTGTGGTGCTATCACAGGTCTTCGCTGGGCTTGCTGATCCCGCGGAAAACGATCCGGCCAAGAAGCTTGCCATCACCGGCGACAACTTTGCTGCGGTGTTCAATAGCCCGCCGATCAGTGAAGGAGTCTTCGGCGAGCCGCTTGAGTTCGATGGGAAAGGCATGCCATCTGACGAGGTCTGCGCTGTTTTTTTTCTTCACGATGTATTTTTAGGATGAATACAAGGCGACCGTCATAGACGGTTATTTCCATTGCCTTCGTCAATCTCTCGCTAAGCTCAAGGCTCACGATGTGAAGGCCAGCAAGTTCAACGTGCTCTTCGAGATAATTTACACGCTCTACAAGGTTCGTTTTATTTAACGTTTTTGGAACCTGCTTTAGAACATCATGGATGTCTCGAGCCCGTTCATCACCATCAGCGACGAGCTGCCGGCCGTCATCGCATTTCTGAAGAGCTCCTCGGGTCCAATCTTCAAGTCGCAGTTGCAACACGACCGTTTCAACAACTCGCTGCCAGATGTGAGCACGGATGTTCCGGTCCCGCAGAGCCAGCCAGTCGACATTCAGCCCGTCAAAGTCGCTCCTACTATCAAGCCAACCGTTGTTGAACCGACATTTTCGCAACCAGCTCCACCTTCGGTCCCGGTCATCCAGCAATCAGCGCCTGAACCTCTCAAGCCATTCGCTATGGAAACGGCCAAACCGGCCCCGCCGGTCGTTTCGGATATGCCGAGGTCCATTGCTGGTAAATGATTTTTTTTTGGTAAGCAATCTTTCGCTTCAGATAACCTGCCGACGATCATCACCAAGGCGGCGACTTTTGGGCTACCAACTGCCACTCCCAACCCTGTTCCTCTCATGGATGAGCTCAAAATTGAAACCATATCGGTAATTATTCAAATTTTTTTTAATTTTTGGTTTAGGCTCCTGTTGGCCTGGCTCCTCTCCAAAGCACTCCACTGGCTCGCCCCGACATTGCTACCCTCCCCAAGGTATGTTATTTGATTTTTTTTCAACGAGTTTGTTATTTTTCAGCTTGGCATGAAACAGCAGAACGTGGCCTTGGAGAAACAAGAAGAGTCCGTGCTCACCCCGGTCACACCGTCGCAGCGCCCTGCCAAAATGTGTAGGTGCTTGTCTAGTTGCCGTTTAGTATTTTTTCAGTGGAAGGTGGCTCGGACTTCGAGGATATGCCTGCCGGCGGCTTCACCACGTTCAACTTCCCTGATCCGCCCGCTGGCGGCTATGGAGGAGGCCGAGGTGGCGGCCGTGGAGGCTACGATGGCGGTCGTGGCGGAGGTCGCGGAAACTTCGATGGTGGAAGAGGCGGAGGCCGAGGCGGTTACGATGGAGGCCGAGGTGGCTACGACGGCGGCCGTGGCGGAGGTCGTGGAGGATACGATCGCGGCGGTGCTCCCCGTGGTGGCAGCTTCAATCGTCAGGTATACTTGTCGTTTTCTCCTCGTTTACTCATTTCTTTTTTTAGTTTTGATTTGCACCAGGCCCCGGCTCGACAAGCACTTAATTACTAATATTATGCGTAAATTAACGCTTTGCTTTTCTACGTTGCGTAATAAATATTGTTGACAAATGTCTCGCTTACCAGGATACAGGTGTTCGCAAAGCCGCAGCCCTTTTTGTTGCATACCAGCATTCTGGTTGAAAAGGTTCGCCGTTCAGCATTTGTGGCATTCAATGCGCTCAATGGTGTTGCTGCTTTTGTGGGCGATGAGCGGGAGTTGCGTCGAAGAAAATTCGTTAGCGTCGAGCCAAATGGTCGACATTGAGGGCCGGGTAATTTTTCGGATAATTTCTATAGAAAATGTAAGGTGCAACCATCGAAAGTGAACCAATTGCTCCATTTGTTGACACCTAGCTTTTTTGCTTCGGCCGATTTTGCTTCCGGCCGAAACTGATCTCTTTTTCTAGTTGAGCGTCGCCGGCGTGCTAGCGGCTGGTCGACGTTGGACCGCCGACAGCCGCATAATGCTCAACCACGGTCAATTTCTCGGATTTGTAAAACCCGATGGAAGCTTCCGGTCGGTTTCTGGCTCCTCGCACTAACTTTTGTTGTTTCAGCGTGAGCGGCGTCTCTAACGGCAGCTATAGCGTGCAGGTGTTGTTCGGCTTCTACGTTTTATAAAGGGATTTCTTGAGGTTGAAAATCGTGAGCTTCTGTTTGAGCAGGTCCGCGTTGATGTCTCCTCCAAAGGCAACATCCGGGCACGGCAATTATCGACGCTGAAGGTTTTTCGCGATCCTGTGCTTTGCAACTGTTCTTTAGCCAAATGCCGTGGAACTGGTTCCATACCCGCTACAAATAACGGCGCTTGGGATTCCTAGGTAAGCAACGTTATTTGAGGCAGCCAACAGTGCTTTAGATATGTCCGTCCGAGGGCGCAATACCAGTGGGCCACTCTGTTCAGCAACCCGACTTTCTGGATGCTGGCCGTGCCGTGCTTGTTGATTTTGCTGGTGCGCAGGTATTGTTTTATCAAACGTTGTTTAAGACAATGTTTGCAGTTTCGGCAGCCTCGATGAAGACATGAGGCGAGAGATGGAGAAGGGTTCCGCGGAGGTAAGGCGTTTCGCGCCTGGCTAGATATATATATTTTCCCTGCAGTTGCCCGACGTGGGTGAGATGGTCGCAACTCTGCTCGGGCGCCCACCCACCGCAAAGAGCAAGAAGAACGCCGGCAACAAGCCGATTCCCGTCAAAGCTCAGAAAGGCCGTTAGAAGGATGTTACGTTTTTCGGTCGTGAATAGAAGTTGATTCATTGCCCGCTCGCACGTAATATTTGTGTTGGTTAGACCCCTACTGGTTGATTTTGGCTTTGAAACAGTTTTACTGTGATATTACTCGGTTTGCTCCCTGCAGCTCGTTTTACTTTTTATTATGGTCATGGTTTTCTGCTTGGTTTAACTTCGATAAATCGTCGTATCCGTTTATTTCACGTGATGGAAACAGAAAATGATTTATTCTTCACCGGTCGTGGCTCAGGAACCACAGGCTTGGCTGGCCGCCCATCGTTATGCGTAACTGAAAAAGAACACAATTTCCTTCGACCCGAGTTTAAAACGCTAAGGGATCCTGAGAGTTGCAAAATATTACCTTGTGTCGCTGCCATCACTATCCAGGCACTTTATCAGCTCAATCTTGACCAGATGCTTCCGAGCGATCAGAACGAGCCCGATTCGGCGTGGCGGGTCGTCGCTCGTCTCGTCTTTCCACCTCTCATTTGCGCTAAATCGAATACTACTAAACGATAATAACGTCAAGCTTACTCGGCTAGTATGATGTTTGGCACATTATCCGTGCACACAAATCGCCCACGTATCAACCGGCCGTCGGTCAGCTCAATCTAGAGCAAAAAGCGATGACACAAACACACAAAATACCTCTAGTTCTTTGTCCAAGAATTCCCGGATTCCCGCCGTTTCTGTCATTTAGTCACCACCTCAAAGTCGGGATTACAAAGTGAAGACTGAAAAACACTTCTCGATACCGTTTCGAATCAAACGTTGTTGATCTGCCATGTCTGACGATTCACAATTTATTTGGCGCACAGAAAGAAAGACAAATGGATGTGTGGGCAACTTAGCCGGAGATAACCAGTATTAATAGACATGAGACGATCATGAAGACATTGAGTATCGATGAAATATATAGTAGTTTAAAGACGAGAACAGGCACAGTTATCGTTAAATCGGAATTAGTGGGCTGACCGGGCGAGACGATGCACCTCCTTCAGCGTAGCCGCGTCGAACTCGGATACCTTGTTGTAGACCTGCTCCGTGTACCTGAAATGTAAAGATTAGCAGGTAGGAAAATACGGACCACTACTTCGGAAAATAAAACTCACTTATTCTTAATGCCGACGATACGCTGTTGGTTTTGGTTATCGATGATCGCGGTAGCCAGAGCCGCGACGGCTGCATCGTACGCAACCACCGTCATTCCAACCTCTTCACGAAAACGAGCCACGTTGAGCTTGTGGCCGTACAGCGTTGCAGAGAGGGCCAACGAGACGAGCGCCATGTGCGAGGGCAACAGATGGCACAGCTCGTACGTTTGGAAGCACAGCTAAACAAAGATAGAGTCAAGAACGATAAGTCTACCTCGATAAGGTACTGAGCCCTCTGGTGGACGATCGACGGTACGGCAAGCTCGGTGAAATGAGCGCGCAGAAAAGTGATCGGAGCCGGGCGGCACAGCGTGAAGTTGATAGAGCGGAGTAATCGCTGTTCGTATTTGTAGATGTCGTCCCGGGTGAAGCTGTTCGCGCTCATGTACTCGAACTCTTGCATCTCGGGCAAGTGAGTTTCCTGAAACAGATATTGCAAATGAACAACCAGTCGCGGTACCTCAAATTTGCCGGCGATGAACAACGCGGCCATGCTGAGCAGTTGCATGTCCTTGCGGTCGATGGGTATCTTGGCGAGGTACTGGTCGATCAAGTGCACAGCTAACGCCAGCGACTCGGGATGCCAGGCCCAGCGGTGATGCACCTAAAATGGAGTTTTTTATTGAAAAACGAGTAAAGCAGCCCCGTAACCAATATGGCAAAAACATACCTGCACGACCCAGTCGATGAGGATGGCGCGGTGCTTGGGTTTTACTTGAGCCTCTTGTAGGAAGTTGGGCTCGAGAGCAAAACTGCGCTCGACGGAGCGCAGGTAGGGGATCACATCTTCCGCGTAGTCGGGGCACAAATATTGCCGATGGTCGACCTTCGCTGGCTGTACCGGCTTCACGACGGGCTAAAGCAGTTCAAATAATCCACGAAATTTAAAAATACCTTCGGCCCGCTTTGTCCCCTTGTTTCTTGGTTGGGCTGCACATCACCGAGTGGCTGTCGATTCGAGGTTTTGCGTAGTGGTTGTTCCTGAAATCATGACATCATCCTGAGAACACGCACAAAAAATGTAACAACCCTGACTACAAACAGAAATTTACCGTCGGCTGAGCGCCCCTGTTATAGTCGGTAAGCATCGTCGAGGCCGTTGATCTTGTGTGCATTGTGGGCCCCGGGCTGTCTCGGCTGCAACGGCATAGTTTTTGAATATGTACCCGGGTGCAAGTGTAATGAGGACAGCTGCGTAAGGCAGTAATGAGAGGGCAACCAGAGAAAAAGGCGAGAGATAAAAACTAAGAGGAAAACACCGCTGAGGGGATAAAGAAAGAAAATAGCCGAAAAGTGGGTGCGCAGCGGTGAGAATAAAAAGAAGGGCATTCAAGTAGCCGCCAAACAGAGGTTTGAATTTCGGGTTAGATTTCAGTACAAGATGCGTAAAAGTTAGTAAAATGCAAAACCGGTATGGCGATTAGCAAAAGCAGTAACAGAAAAATCAGGTGGTCAAACAAAGTGAAAGGAGAATTTACCGTAGCAGCATGCTTCCATGCGAGACCTCCGTCCATAGTACATTCACGAAATACCACGCCCGATTTTGATTTTTGGATTTTTATTGCTCAAGGCAGAGGTGTTTAAAACCGTTTTTTTTTGTTATTCCTGGACGTGAAAACTACAAATTTTTATGAAATATGTAAGATATATTTACAAAAAAGCTTTTTTGACCAAAATTGCTATTTTTGAAGGTTTTTGGATAGTTTTCTAGTTGAAATATACTTTTAAAATTTACCGAGAACATTAACATACGTTCTCTTTCTTCTTTTTTTTACTGGGAATTTCTAGACGGGACGGGCAAAAGTTTGTTACCTTCCTTCACCCTGATCGGACATAAACTGTAACTGCTCTCCATTGCATTAAATTGCTAATTAAACAATGGTTCGATTTTTTATTCGTCGCTCATTTATTTTTATTAATTTCTTTTAATTTCATTTTCCAGATGCCGGTGCCGTACCGGGTCACCCGGTACCCCGACGGTTTCAAGCACGCTTACGACAATGGTGCCCCGAGCGGCGCGGGCGAGACGTTTTTCTGGGACAGGGAGAAAGAGGCTCGTGATAAAGGTAAAGTTTTGTTTTGGGGCAGAATGTAATTCTTTTGCAGACGGCAACTTCCGGCATATGCTCTCGACCAGTAGCCTGCCGACCGCCCTCTACGACCACCTCGCCGAGATTATCAGGCCGTACCTCGGGAAAATTATTGTGGGTTTTATTAGGTTGATTTTTGGCGCTTCGGGTAGCTTTTCAAGTGTTTGCAATCTTCTAGAAATAGAACAAGCCTATAAGTCTGGTAACTTAATAGGAAATGTTTTTAGTAAAAATTCTAGTGTTTTGAAAAGGTCGAAGTTGTGGTCAAAAATCGGCCATTTTTGGCCGAAAGATCGATATTTTTGACATCATTTAATAAAATTTTGTATGGTCTTGACGTTTAGATGTAATAAAAAAAACAGCGTAGACACAGTTTGAGCTATTTCTATTCAAAAAAAATATATTTTGTAAGGAAAAAAATATGGGAACGAACCCTTTTCTTTACAGTTTGACTTCATCTGGCGGAAGAATGTGGAAGAACCCCCAGCCAAGGTGGTGAAGGCCGAAGAGATGTCTACAGACGAGGCGGAAGGCGAAGAAGCCATCGAAGTGGCGCGGGCAGCAGATGGAGATGAAGAATTCCAAAGAGCAGTGTCACCATTCGTGATTGTGCTTAATGATTCGTCGGACGAAATGGAAGGTGATTGTTTTTGCCTCTTATCTTTTGTCTCGGGAGTAAGCGTGCCTGAATTATGTTCAACCTCATTTTTCAGAGCAACCGACATCCAGTGGCAATGCAAGGAAAACTCTTCGAAGACGTCGCCCGAATCCCCATCCCGCTCCTGTAACACCACCAAAAAGGAGAAAAGCCGTGCGAAAGAAGAAGCAGCCGCGCGCTAGTCAAGAGGAACAACAACGACCGAAACGGCGCACCCGGCCACGAAAAATCTGGTGGCAGCGACAGGCTCCTCCGGAGCCAAAAATGAAGGTTGAATGGGACTGTTGGCCAGCTTTCGCTGTTGAGGTATCTTTTTTATTAATTTGTTTGCGAATCGGTTCTGTCGCATTATCGGGGCGGAAATATAAATAGCGGAATTGTTTATGCTGCTTTTTACTTTTCCGAACGCAGGAAATTTGCACATTTTTATTACAAATTCCAAAAAATATCGATCTGTCGACCAAAAACGGCCGACATTTTCAAGTTCGAGAGTTGGCGGAAAGTGTCGCGATATTTTTTCTAGTTCTAATTTCTGGTTTTGTGTTGACCTGTGAAGTTGATAGCCATTTCTAGAATAATTGACTCTTACAAAAAATTTGCCTCCCCCGCCCAGGGTTCGATCATGTGGGCCAGGATTCCCATGACCACCTCCAGGTCGGCCGACCATCTCCAGTTTGGCCGCGAAGCGGCGAAAAATTTTTCGATGCTTTTTGCACCTAGGGATCCGCGGGTTAATACCGCCCGCTGTTTGAATCGATTAAGCGAACCCCGAGCCAAATTATATGTCTATTTCGGCTCAAATTCACCGTTTTTCCTTCCTGAAAATCTATCTAATAAACAATATTTTTATGTAGTGGATCAAAATGTTGGCATAAAGCGTCTCTATCACATGTCAAAAGTTTAAAACCGTATCTTATTATTTTGACAACCTCCAGGCCCATTATCGACTGATTTTGGCCGAAAAGTGCCATTTTTGGATTACCAAAAATTCCGTTTAATGAAAATATTTTTGTATTGTACATCAAAATGTCGGCATTAACGATGGTTACAACATATAAAAAATTCAAAACGATTACTTATTATTTTGACAACCTCCAGGCACTTTATATGCTAATTTTGAGCAAAAAAATGCGGTTTTTCGGTTTCGACAAAATCGCCCTATAGAAAATATTTTTGTATTGTACGTCAAAATGTCGGCATTCAGAGTCTCTATAACATATCAAAAGTTCCCAACGACATCTTATTATTTTGACAACCTCCAGGCCCTTTTCCCAGTTAACCCAACGCTGGATTTTCCGGGCCCCTGAAAAAAAAGTAAACCTGGAGGTCATATCTAAAATCTTCCTGAGATCGATTTTCCCCAAACTAAAGGCTGCCATCTATAGCTAAGGATACGATCTTATTTGGGTGAAATTTTTAACCCGATCGGTTCAGTAGTTTTCGAGAAATCCCACTTCGAAAAAAAAAGTTATGGGAAAACGCATGGGAGGCCATTTTAAAGAAACGCTTTTTACTCAAAAACTTTATATTAGCGTCCCAAATCTTTTTTACTCTTCTTATATCCTAGGTTCTTCCGCATCCATTGCCATTTTGCGTTTTCCCTTGCCGCGTCTATCAACCGAGATAACCTCAGGGGAAGCATGGGTTTTTAATGGGAAAATCTACCTGGCTGCCAAAATACCTATTTCCCCCCGGTGTTTGGCCCGATTCTGCATTTTAACCTTTACAGAGGCCTTCCTGATCCATTCTCTAGCGATTCCGATCGATATTTTTCAAAAAGCAAAAAATTTGTCGCGGCGGGGATTCGAGCCAGGGACCCTTGACTCGTCAGTTTCTACTTACCCCCCGGACCCATTCTGCATTTTAAACCTTCCAGATGGTTTCCCGATGGATTCTCCCGTAATTCCGTTCTATATTTTCCAAAAAGCAAAAAAAGGCTGCGGCGGGGATTCGAACCCGGGAGCCCTGACTCGTTGCCTTCTTCAATGATTTCGTACAGCAGAGTCGATTACTGGCCGCGTAGCGGGCGCAAAATTTTTTAGGCTGTTTTGACCACCTCCAGGCTGGTTGACCACCTCCGGGCGGCCGACCAAATTTTTTCCCATGCTAATCGAACCCTGCCCCCGCCCCCGATAATGCGAAAGAACCACAAAAAGTAATTCAGATGACTGAACAATTCCCGGTTTTTCAGATCCAAGGGCTCTTCATCAAGTTGCAGCTCGTCGGTAGTGACCAATGCGTCTGGATGAACATGGGCTCAGAAGATTTGCAGCCCCTTGGCTATGCGTCAGTTTTCAGAATAAATTTTTTTGACTGTGCTTTTTTCAGCAACGCGCACGAGCCTTTCCGGTATTTGCCTCCGAAGGACGTGGCCGACGCTCAAGACTGGGACTCTCCCGCCGACATGCTGCCTTTCCTGCGAGATTTGGAACAAAAAATAGTGCGGCCACTTTGTTTGTTTTTACTTTGGTCTAGGGCGATGGCATTTTTCACCGATGCCCATCCCTCTTCCTTCGTATGAGGCAAAAGTTGCGGACCGAAGGTTCCAAATACAAGGTAAAACTACTTTTCCGCCATTTAAATGCCATTTGAGGTGCGGGATCGCGTTGAGTTGATCGATACTTACGGCACAGATCGCCTGCGCGTCGGCACTGTCAAGGAGACGCGTGCCAACCGGGTGTTGGTGGAGGTTGTATTTTTAATTTTTCCGATGATTTGTGATGCTTGCAGCTGGACATGCGATACTACCTGCCAAACGATGACCCAAATCTCACAGCAAATGACACGCAGGCAAGAGTTGGCTTCCAGCGATTGAATTTTTGTGTTTAGCTGCCTCGCACGGGAACAAATTGGGTGGAAGAAGACTCGCCGCTGCTCTTCCACGTCGGCTGGGCCAATCTCTCGAATTACCGTCTTCTTGTCAGCAATAGCCTTGTCCGCGGCAAGGACACTTATAAACACCGAGCACGCGTCGTAGCTGATGCCATTCAAGCATCCCAAAAGGTACATCCTTACTGCTGGCTTGGGAAAGCTAAATCTTCAGAATCCTGACAAGGCCGTCGTGATCAGGATGATGGATGGAGATGCGGCGCCCAAAATCGTCTTCTCACATTGTGATACTGAACCGGTAAGAAATATTGGATCTTTCGCATTATCGGGGTGGTGGGTTTATGTTTTCTTAGGATCCAATTTTTTGAATATATAAGTAGCGGAAGTGGGTCTGAGCTGTATGGCTATTCTTAAGCGTAATAAAATTTAAAATTTATGAAAAACTAAAAAAATAACGATTTTTCTACCAAAAATCGCCGTGTTTTGAACAAAATTTCCAACTTTTGAAGTGTTCTAGTTGAAATATAGCTGTATAGTGTAAAAATGTTGTCCCCCCGATAATGCAAAATATTTTAATCTTTCGGTCAAATAAAATGGTCATATTTATCAATTTTTAGGTGCCTTTTGTGCCGAACACTGCCCTCGAACTGATGGATCCCAATGATTCGAAAAGCACGCATCTGACGTGGGCCTACATCAAGCGCATCGATTATGAGGTACCTTTCATCTTCCGCTCTCCATCATATTTTTTTTTAGAGCGGCCACCTCATCGTGAAATTTGGCAACGACGTTCTGCCCGTGCATTGGTCGTCGCCGCTCTTGTTCCCCAGCGGCTACGCAAGATCACACGGCATTGATCTTGTTGTTCCAAGCAACCGGCGCTCAATTCCCAGTAAATTTTACTATGCATTATGTTTATGCCCCTTTTAGAGAAAAATCGCTACCCGGATGCGGATCCGAGCTTGTTTGCAAAAGTGCCACACGACGACCGACAGATCAAGATCATGTTTCCGGTAATTTTTTGTTTTGTTTTTGTAAATTTGCCAATTTTAGATCGGCTCATTGTTGGAAACCAATTCCATCGACGATCCTGAATTTTTCTTCCCCGCTCGAGTGACTGGCCACAAGGGTCGTCTGATTGAAGTGAACTACTGGCACTACGGCAAAGACTCGCTCGCCCTCTTCGATTATCGGTTAGTTTTTTTCACAATTTTTAGAATATTTTATTGCAGGTCCGGCAACATCCATGCAGCCGGCTTCGCGGAATTCTTTGGCTGGCACATGTTGCCGCGAAACCAGGCATCAGACGATGGCTCGGAGGAAGACGCGGAAGAAGATGAACAAGACGAGAATCAGCCCGACGGACGACGCCGACAGGAAATCAAGCGGAACAGTGCTCGTCGGAAAGTGGTGAAAAAAGAGCCGATGGACGAGTAGCTGCCAACCAGCCTATGACCAACTCGATGAGCGCCGCCCCTCCAATTATTGCATGACTTGTTTGTTATTTAGTATAATTTGTAAACACGGAATAAGAATAAATAATTATATCTAAATGCGTATTATTGTTGAAATTTGATACATGGTCAACTACTTTTCCTCTACTGAATTGTTTTGAGTTGTTGCTGCTTACTAGCCAGTGCTTGGCGCTTCCGCCGCGATACCCCACACATCCGATAGTCGCGCCTTGGACAGCAAACATTGGCCGCTCAACGTTTTTGATTTGGCAAGATTTCGAACGGCAGAGCTTTTGGCGACATTGTTGTACTAATGATACAATAGTTCTATATTTTACCGATAGTGCCGAAAATCAACGTTTTCGTGTAGTGCTGGAATCGCAAATTCTGGTTCTTTCGCGTTATCATACGGACGTAACTTTTTTCTATAAGTACTCGGTTAGTAAAGCGCCCGCGGGGCGCGCCCGAAATTGCGCCCGCGGGCGCGCTCACGGGCGCGCCCTCGGGCGCAATGGCCAAAAGCGCCCGCGGGCGCGCCCGAAACTCGAAAGCGCCCGCGGGCGCGCCCCAATCGCGTTGTAACCGCGTAGGACGGGTTCTTTTAATGCTTTTATTATTTAAAAAAGGGCACTACATCGCTTTTGGCGATGCTGTACCCTATACTTAATGTAGATCTTCACGTTCCCTGAGAAAATGGTCGTACTGCGCACCTGAAATATGTTTTTTTTTTGCTTTTTTGGCTTTAGCTTCGTTTGGAACTTACAGATACGTTCGAATGCGCGATAGATGGCCCCTAAAAGTATAGCTAATTACATAATTTCCTTTATAAACTTCGTAATTCGCACTTACTTTGTTCCCGCTTCCTGAAAACTTGCTTTGACTTGCTTCTGGCCGACTTACTTTGCAACTCCGCCCAAAGATACCGGAAACGTCGCGCTTCGCATTTGCAATGATGACCATGATCGTCTGAAAGGTCGGCTCATATAAATCGAGACTCTATAAATCTGAATCTAAAGTATATTTAAAGTTTCGCAGGGACAGGTTGCGTAGCAAAACTTTACCTTCGTTACCTGCGCCATGGCGCTTCAAAGTATTGTATTCTACATTCGACGACGATAACCAAGCAAATCTACTAACGTTTGTGCTAAATTATATATATTTTGAACAAAAATAAGTGCATAAGCCAGGAACTTAGCCGTTTTTTCGCAGAATTGAAAGGTGTTCACGATTCAAATGCGCCCGCGGGCGCGCCCCTAGTTGCGCCCATGGGCGCTTTTTGCGCCCCGAGCGGTTTTGCGCCCTTTTGCAAAAATTGCGCCCGGGGCGCAAAAGGGTCCAGTTCGGGCGCGCTCGCGGGCGCTTTGGGTTTTCGGGCGCGCCCGCGGGCGCTTTGCTAACCGAGTAGGAATGACTAGTAACTTAATCGAAGCGTTTTCATAGTTTTTGCTAAAAAGTAAATATATATGAACTTGGAAAAGTCGAAATTTGGTCAAAAACGATATTGACATTTTTTTGATAAAACTTTATATAGTTTTCACGTTTAGGCATAGTACAAACCATTTAGAAATTTACAAAAACCATTTGTATCTGAAAAATTAGATCCTAAGAAAAAAAAGTTGCCCCCCCCCCCGATAATGCGAAAGAACCGGAATTCATAACTAGCGCTTTTCAATGCAAAATTGTTGGTACTGCCGTTAGCATTGTTTTCGTTTCTTTCAAATACTTTCATTTACGGAATAGCCCTCCTTTTCTAGCTCTCGTCCATCGATGCCGGGTAGTCGTAGTCCGTCTTTTGACGTCTACGACCAAGTGTTCGAGGAAGGGCATTCAAAACAGGGTGATGAGTCAAAGTGAGCCCTTTTTAACAAAATTGACTTGAAAATTAGCTTCTCCGCTCTGAAAAATGCTTTTTTCCAGCGCCCACGAGGGCTCGGCTCGTCGTTCTCGCTCGCGCTCCCGGTCTCGTTCCCGTACGTATAGCGATGATGGGCGAAGCCACACCGGTTCCGCATACAGCCGCAGTCGCTCGCGAAGCCGGTCACGTTCCAAGTCGCGGAGACGGTCGCGTTCACGATCTCGTTCGAGGGAACAAGTGCGTTCTGCGTCCCCTTCGGCCCTGCTGTCGCTCGATTTCAGGTGAGCTTCGGTTTTGGCACTATACTGGTTAGGGGGGGGCCACTTTGGGTACCTATTAGGAGACACTTTTTTATCGCTTTTTCGAGTCTTTCTGGGGTAGTTTTTTACGCTGAGTGCGATTAGAGTCGCAACAGGATGCCAAACCGTTGGGTTTATCCAGAAAAACGGCGTAAACTTTATTAATAAAAAGTGCACTTATGCACAATTTGAGGCTTGCCGCATTGTCAGGCAAGGTGGGCCGTCGCTTCGGATGGGCTGCCGCTCCACTCTTCCGAAATCGGGGCGCCTGGGCGCTTCGCGCTGCTCGGGCGCCCCGATTTCGAAACCCTGTACGAGCTCGCACCCATCCGAAGCGACTAGGCCCCCGGTGGCACGAAGCCTTATTTTTAGGTTAATACCGGGTGTCTGCATCTCTAAATCTAACAAACGTTTAGATAATGATGTTTTACTACTCTGATTTTGTTATATTCGAAACCAGCACAAAAAACTAGCCAAGAAAGACTCAAAAAGTCGAAAACCAGAGTGGCCCCCCCAACCAGTATAGTGCCTCGGTTTTTCCGCAACAGCCTATCTTTACAGCGTAATCCCGAAGAGCGGTCGCAACGAGCTGATTCGTCCCTTCTGGGATGCGGTCATGTACAACAAGGAAGACTTTGAGGCTTGGACGGCGCTAATTCAGAAGGCTGAACAGCTGGTTCGTTTTTGACGCGGTTGATTGATCGTCTTTTTCAGGATGACGTCCCGGCCATCCGCGACGTGTTCGAGCCCTTCCTGCTACGCTACCCGTACTGTTACGGGTACTGGCGAAAGTACGCCGAATTCGAGCGTCGCCACAACAACCTGGAAAAAGCGATGAATGTGAGCACAAAGCACAGCGTTGTTTATGGTGCCGTTTAGATTTGGGAACGCAGTGTTTCGACCATCCCGTTGTGCATCGACCTGTGGCTGCCGTTTCTCGCCTTTTTCCGCGAGCTGGCCCTTCACGCGGAGGGTGGAATAGACAAGACTAGAGAGTAAGGCCTCTTTCTTTTGTCTATTAAAAATTATCTTTAGGATTATGGAACGCGCAATGCTTTCCGCCGGTCTCGAGTACAACAGCGATCGGCTGTGGTCGGAGGTGCTTTTTTTATCCTTTCGTCTTTATTCTCTTTTTAGATTATTCAATTCGAGATGCTGCAATCAAACCCTCGGCGTGTGATGGTACTCTACGACCGTCTCCTCACCATTCCCACTGCCCTCCACGTGCAGCAGTTTGAAAAGTGTGTAATTAAGCCCTTTGATTTCAGAAATTCATGTCTGCTATTTTTCATCGTAATTTTAATTTAGTTTCCAAATCTTCATCTCATCGTTCGAGCCAAACGACATCCTCGACCCAGAAGAGTACGCCGACATTTTTCACAAGGTCAAGAAGCTGGTGGACATTGGGGTGAGTTTGGACCTTGAAAATAGGTTTTGTGGGGCTCAAATTTACTCTAAACATTTCTAGAAAGGGGTCCAGTTCGACATTTGGGATGAAGTTTGTGTAAGTCTTGGGCTTTTGGGTCTTTTCATCTCTAGTACCTAAACCTGAGCTGAGCGTTCAGGATTCATTGTTGCAGTCGCACACGAACGATTTGTCAGACTCGCTGAAAGAGGTGTTAGCAATGATAATTGTTTTTGTCCTTTTTGGGTCTTTTTCCGGTTGGGTTTTTCTGAAGCCCCTCTACGTAATTCAACGTGCGTTTTCCAGGTGGACCAGATGATTGTCGAGGAGCGAATCCCGATTGGCTCTAACGGGGTGCCCGGCGAAGAGCAGTTCATTGTCAAGAAGCGGGTATAGCAAACTTATCCGGGCATGATTTTTTTGCAGCACGTTCCGGAAGTTCTGCGCGTCTTCCGCGACGAGATCATCCAACGCCGTCGTGCCATTCACCTCGAAACCGCCGGCCAAGTGCTGAAGAGAGCTCCTTTTGAGGAGAAGGTGGATTTTGTATTTTTCAAATATACCTTGTTCTTCTAGATCAAACGCCCCTACTTCCACGTCAAGCCGCTCGATCTCTCCGAATTTGACAACTGGAGACAGTAGGAACCTTGCCCTTTGCAAGTATCTTTTTTAGATACCTGGACATGGAGATAGACACGGGCAAGGAGGCGCGAATCGTCGTCTTGTTTGAGCGTTGCCTGATCGCTACGGCGATGTACGAGGAGTTTTGGATTAAGGTGAGACTTTATTCACTAAATTATAGCGTTTGCAATAATTTTTTCGTAGGCTCAACAGTTTTATCATTACTTGACTTGAAAATTTACAATTTTTGTTCAAAAATACAAAAAATCGCGGATTTTCCACCAAAATCTCCATTTTTGAGACTCTCCGCATCAGACCAGATCCTTTCTTTTAGTACGCTCGATGGCGTTGGCGTTCGACGGAAAACGAGACGGCCGCCCGTTCGGTCTTCCAGCGTTCCATCTCGGTGCACTGTCGCAAGAAGCCGATGGTTTACCTGGCGTACAGCGCATTCGAGGAGGCACTTGGTAACGGTTTATGATATTTTTTTGGTTGGGCGGGCCAATCCACCCTCCGGGCACCTCCACCTCCTCCCCCTCAATCCGCTCGTGCGTGTCCACTGTGGTGGCCCCGGGTGTCCAATTTAGGGCGCCGCCAGCCCCTCGCCACTGCCCTGGCAACTACATGGCCACTGCCCAACAACAACAACAACAAGAAGCATATATAAAAAGCGGACAAATATCAAACCCGACGCCGTCGATCGAGCGAAAAGAAGGATAAAGCGAGTTTGGCATTTTCTCGTTTTTTTCATTCTTGATTTTGCGTGTGTCCGGCTGGTGGTTGATTGTCCACCGGTCGTGTGCCGATTAAACTTCTTTGTGCCCGGCGTGTGTGCAATACCACTGGGGGCAATGGGGATGATGCCGCGGGCCGGGGAACAGATGTGGATTTCGCGCGTTTTCGCTAGCTCTGCGGCGCGAGAAATTGCGATAACGGAGCGAAAATTCTGAATCAGGCTTGGTGAATTTCTTGAAGAGCGCTTGGGTTTTCCGCTTGACCTCTTTACAGTTTTTATTCATGCTTTCAAAAGCGCGTTGTCCAACGTCCGGCGCTGGAATGGGCTTTTTTAGATATGCGAAACTGGCTGGTTTCGTGCGTAGAGTATTTTTAAGAGCGAAAGCTAAAAGAGCCCTCAAAGGGTGATTTTTTTACATTTTTTAGACAAAAAAATCAACTAAGAAATCGCAGCTATGGCAGGATTCTACTGTATCTGACTCTAGCCCATTTACGGGGTGTAGTTGTCCGTTTCCAACGATTTTGGCGTCGCTTTTCGATAGCAGGCTGCTACTTTTGAAGTGTAGCTGCCTTCAGTTACGGTCTTTGACGTCAGGCTGGACATTTTTAAACATTTTATGGGTTGTTGGGTGTTTTTAAAAAGCTACTCTGGGCTCGCGAGGGTCCGGCATTTCCTTTTCTCGTGCTCGACTCTGGTGCTCGGAGGGCGGAAATCCCGTGGATGGCCGAACGACCTCTAAATCTTCCCGGCCCCGCAAATCTAACCCCGCGATTTTCAGGCCGCTTCGACGAGGCCCACCAAGTCCTGCTCCAGGTGAACACGCTGATCCCCGGGCTGGTGCTCGTCGACTTCCGGTTGCGCGGCTTTGAGCGTCGAATGGCGCTGTATGAGGCCAGACGGTACGGCGGTTGATCAAAGCGGTAAAAGTTTATTTGTTTTTAGTCGAGGCACCGCACCGAATTTCGACGTCGTCATGGCTAACTACGAGCGCGGGATCGCCGCCGAGAACCACCCGCCCGCCCTGCGCAGCTTCTACGCCATCAAATTGGCACAGTAGGCCTTTATTTTCGGGATCGGTTTTTAGGATTTGCAGGGGCCCGAGTTTTTGTTATTGCGAATATTATTTTAATAAACCTTTTTGTAAAATTTAGCTACATTCGATTTGGCAAAACCATTTAAAAACCTGTAAGCTATCTAAAAACTTAAAGGGATGCCGACGGCATAGTCAATCGGTTACGCGCTGGAAAGAAAATGTCTCTGCGCCTCTCCACAGGGCACGCTCTCTGCCCTGTTGGCTACTTGCCAATTTGTTGATGGGGGGGATCGACACATGCCGTCGGCAGCCCTTTAAAAAAACTGTTGAGAAATATGAATTTTGATCGCAAGGAATTTTTGTAAAAAAAAAATGGAAATTTTTCTGTTTCGAGGTTCGAGAAGAGTAAAAATCAGTTTAGCAAGACTACCTTTTGATATATTACCACTATTCGTTTAAAAATTGAATCTTGAGAGGGAGAAAATATTTTCCCGTAAAAATACTATAAAAAACGGTCAATTTATCGTTATTTAGATTCCACGCAAAGATACGCAACGACCCCGAGGCCGGCATCCGCGTCATCAAGGAGGCGCTGCGCCAGGATCCGGTAATATTGTGAGAAAATAGATCATCTTCTCGTTTAGTCGAACAACCAGCTGATGCTGCAGCTCGTCGACCTGTCGATGGAGTTCAAGCCATTGAACGAGGCGCTCGTGATCGATGCATTTGACCACTGTCTTCAGGTGAGGCTCATTTTGATGGTCGATTTATTGTTTTTGTTTAGTTGAAAATCTCGAGCACCGACAAGCTGGTGATCAGCCAGCGGAAGCTGGAGTTCCTCGAGGAGTTCGCTTCAGATATCAACTTGTGAGCGACGTGTAATTTCGACGACCCTTCCATTTTTTCAGGGTCCAAGATCACATCGATTTCCACGCGGACCTCGTGCACAAGAGTGATCAGCGGCTGACGCGGAAACGGCTTCACCTCGTTGAGCAGAGCATAGTGTATGGTTTTTCATTCTGTCCAGGTTATTTGTTTCTAGTGAACGCACGCGACTGGAGGCCGCCGCCGCCAAGGAGTCCACTGCACGTAAGTTTTCTTGGATTATGCGTTTAGTAAATTGTCTTTTAGGCCCTACTGTGCAGCGCCAGCACAACACGACGCATCGCGAGGGTGGCCGTGACGGGCGTGACGGGCGTGACCGCGAGCGCGAGCGGCCCAGGGACCGATCGCGCAGCCGCGACCGTGAACGTGACAGGGATCGTGAGCGTGACCGCGGCGACCGTCGCGACAAGGATCGGCATCGTGGTGAGTTTCAATTTTGCTAGTTCTGCTCCGTTAGCGGGGAGGGTATGGTTTTTTAGTAGTTTGCTATTTCGAAAAAGCGCGAACAACATTTTTAGTAAATTAAATCAATTCAAATTTGACCCTTGAAGCAGGAACATTTCAATAGTTTGTTGTAAAGTTGTAAAAAGCGTCGAAAAATGTGTTGAAAAAGCGCTTAATTCTCTACTAAAATAGCTAATTTTTATGTTTGGGTGCCTAGGGGAACAGAAATAGTCAGTTAGTTTTCCCCACAGCTTATCCCCCGTTAACGAACCAGAACCCGAAAAGTCGGATCAATCATAATGCGGAGATGCATCTAAACAAATTCGTTCTTGTTAATTTCGGCATTGTTTAATTTGTCCCATAGTATTGTGGTGATTTTCTGAGATTTTTTGTTCACTTAAATCTCGAGTTCCTGAAATTTCGACATTTTCTAATTTCGGCATTATGAAATGCCGACATTTTAAATGTAGCTTCAACCCGGCTTTTCAGACCGTCGCGGCGATCGGGATCGCGAGGATCGTGGCGATCGACGTCGTCGTCACAGCTGAACACCCGTCTAATCACCGGCCACCTCGTCTCCACTTCATTCCCGTTGACACTGCCCCCACCCACCCGTTCGTTGTACTCACCCACCACGTTGTCGTCATTGTCGCGCCCCGGTTGCCCCACCTCTACTATATATCACGATTGTGGTTTTTCGCTTGAACACGGTTGCCCCCTCCCTCCTCATCCCCATTGGCGGCCGTTTCCATTTTCTATATGCAATATCTCGCTACTATATACTTGATGAATTGTCAGACGGTTCTTTAGTATTTCCGGGTGATTCGAATTTTGTCCTGTCGGTCCAAAAATGGGTCGTAAAGTCGTAGCAACGATTTTAATCGGCTTTTTAGTCAGTTTGGCGATATTTCATGTTCAAAAACTGTTTAGAAATATAAAACTCCTTTTCGGAAGCATAAAAAATGGCTAGTAAAGTCGGAGGAACTATTTTAATCGTTTGGGTATATATTTGAAGTCTAAAAACTGTTTAGAAACGATAAAAATGGTTGACTTTTATCGAAAATTGACCATTTTTACGTAAAAAATCTATATTTTATGTATTTTGGTAACAATTTATCTACAAAAAAAAATTAGACTTCCCTCCCGGAAATACTAAAGAACCTGTGCTACACCTTCTAGAGCGCTATTTGTGGGTCTATTGGTAAATTCGGACGATATAACCTTGTCGTAAACGCCGTCCCGGGCAAGTCCACAATTTTCTAGACCCCCAAAAAATGATCGTCGTTGGATTGTGCTTATCTCGGTTGTTCACACGTCTCACCCGCCCGTTTTAGATGTCTAGCTGGGTCCCACGCGAGCCCTCTGTTTTTGGGTGTAGATGGCCAATGTTGCCGTTTGTCCGCGTGCCGTACGCGCGGACCCGTTGTTGTTCTCCTCCTCGTCCCCACGCTTACCCACCACCGTTTCCACCATCATTTCTCATCTGTTGTGCGGGAATAAAGTTGAATTTAAATGGTTTTACTGTCGACTTGGCACCGAATCGATGAATTTGCCGGAACGAAGCTACTTGTTTTATTGGCGCTGTTTTGATTTTCGATAGGCAAAAACATTTTCTCATGTCACTAGGGCATTTCCAGAATTTCCGGGCAATCTTTCTTTTTGTTTTTCTGGGCTCAGGTTTGAATTATCAAGGTTCAAAATTCATTTTCTTTTCTCTAGAATATCTCGGAATTTGTATTTTTTGGTGCTTTTATTGTCCGCGTGATAGTGGCGCCGAGGCGCACAAATGGACCGGCAGTACTTTTTGGGGGTACGGTATCTTTCTGCCGATCCACGCTTTAGGCACCAAAAAATTACGACACCTAAATACAGCATTACGCAACGTTGTACTCACTCTTTTTCACGTTATTTAGTAGTTTTTGCGTGAGAACGGTTGATAACAAAGCTTTATTGATGTAACAACGGGGGAATAACAATAGACCGGTAGACCGCTTTTTCGTTCAAATTAATAAAAGTAGACCGGTTTCGGGGCTTTATGGCAGCTTTATAACCCGGGTTTTGTTCCTTAATACATTAATTAAGCAAAATGCTTTATTTGAAGCATATTCAACTATTAGTTTAGTCATATTCTATTGTCCTACCACTGCGTTCTTTTTATCTGAAACGTTATCTACACAAAACGCGTTATCTCCGTAGTTCTCACGCTTTTCCTTTGTTACAATAATTTCTTCCTGGTATTCGTCCAACCTTTTAGTATTTCGTGGTTTTTATATTTTAGTAATGTTGGTTAATACTTTAAATAGCAACTATTCGTATGGTAAAGTAGTAATATCCTAAGCTCTACAGCTTTGTCTTTAATTTAAGAGTATGATAATACTATTATAGTTTTTTTCTTTTGTACCACATATCCTTGAACTGGAAATCGGTGAGTTTAACAGAAAGGTATATTCCCCATTACACCTTACACCCACTAAATGTATTTTTAAATACCACGGATTACTAACAAAGTATTAAACGAGGAATAAATCAATATAATACACGAAAAGCCAAAGAATTACGGGAAGAGCGCGTAATTATTAGATAATGTTTCAAACAAAGAACGCGAAGGTAGAACAGTATCAAATAGAAACAACGTTGCGTAATGCTGTATTTAGGTGTCGTAATTTTTCGGTGCCTAAAGCGTGGATCGGCAGAAAGATACCGTACCCCCAAAAAGTACTGCCGGTCCATTTGTGCGCCTCGGCGCCACTCCGCGTGATTTGGTCAGGGTTAAACATCGATTTTCTCTTTTCTCTAACGTATTGGATTTTTCTAGAGCTAGATTTCGAGACTGTGAAGCTTTCCGGGTTTCCGGTCGATTACGATCTTTGCAGGAGTATTTTGGCAGATTTTTAGGCCTAAAACAAGACTTGGAAATTATTTAGATAAAAAATGTTCAGAATGGGGCTTTTTATCTAGATTAGGCCCTACAAAATTTAAATTACGAAATTCTGGGCTTAATTTATCACCCCGAGCCCTGCAGCGCTCTCGAAATCCCCCGCCTGACCAGCGGGTTGATAGCCGGGGCGTCGAGGTGATAACGTGCCCCGTTTCAGACCTCTGACCACAACACTCGAATCGGCAGAGACCAGAAAAAGAAGGAGAAGCCGCCGCCAAGAAGACGTAGAAGATGGCGCTCAGCGCCTCCACCTTCCTTCTCGTCATCCTGTTCGGGTCGGCGGCGTGGATGGGCACGAACTCGGTGGGTTTTATTTTGATGTTGAAAAGCGCGTGGAAATGGGACGAAAAAGGTTCACCCGATTGTGTGGATAACGATCAAAGAGATTGGTGCAAAATTTTGAAACGCGTTTGTTGTCTGGAAAACCGGAAGTTATGAACCAATTTTCTACGATTCAAAAATGGTGCTTTCGCAATATCGGGGGGGCATATTTCTCCCGATAAGCCCAGAAATACCTAGTAACCTAACAGTAAGCAGTTTAATAGTGTTTTTAGTAAAATTTAGCTATATTGTAGATTTAAAAACTTGTACATCTTTTTAAGTTAAAATTTTGGTCGAAAATCAACCGTTTTTCGTAGGATAATCATTGTTTTGTATGTTTTTAGCAAAATTGTATAACTTTTACGTTTAGGAATAGTAAAAACAGAAATAGAAACGCCTCCACTATCTATCGTTGAAAAATTGGATCCTTAGAAAAGATCCCCCCCGATAATGCGAAAGAACCCGAAAAGTCAGAAAACTGTAGTTTAGTAAAATAAAATACAAACATTTATTTATTATCTTTATAACATTTTTAGATCTGGATGCAACTGCCGCTCGTCACCTCCGTGCTGCCGGAAGCCTGGAATCTGCCGTCATTCCTCGCGGCCGTCGTGCAGGTGGGTAAAGCATTTTAGGAGGCCCTTCTTTATTGATTAAAATGAGCTATAATTCATTTATTATTTATTTAGTGTTACTTATGGATCATTTACTAATTAGAGCCGCGATTCTAAGCAAAAAACATTAAAACTATTATACCCATTTTAGATAGCCTGCATCGGACCGCTCGTCTACGGCATCTTCCACAAGCGCCTGCACGCCCCGACGGTCATCGTCGCGCTGCTGGTGTTGCTATGGGGTGCTTTTTATGGAATTTGATGTAATGTAATGTAATGCAGAGATTGGAAAGTGATTATCGCGAACTTTCGTGATTTCTAGACAAATCCGGTTGAAACATTTTATGCGAGATTATTTCTAGATCCTAGTTACTAATTGCAATTTTGGGCTAGAAATTTTAGGCATACTAGCAAAGATCTTTGGGGAATTTTAGTAATCCGTGATTTTGAGCGTAAAACGTACTAATATTTAAGTTTAGTGTGCTCCTTTCTGCTGATACCCTTCTGGGACGTCACGGCGTGGCTCGGGGCTCAACAGTATTCGCTGGTGCTGTACGCGCTAATGTTTGGCATTGCGTTGGTATGCTTTTAAATATATACGATTTATCATATATAATTTCAACGTTATTTAAAAAATCTAAATAGCAGATTTTTCGAAAATGTTTTTCAACCAACTCAAATACTTATTAAATTGTTTTTAAAGTTTTTGATAGAGCTTTTGCTGTAAAACATTATTTTTTGCAGGTCAACAGCACGTCGAACGTGCTGTTCATGCCGTTCATGGCCCAGTTCCACCCGGCCTACCTGAACGCGTATTTCGGCGGAATGGGGCTGTCGTCGCTGGTGCCTAGCGTGCTCTCACTAGCGCAAGGTGAGAATATAGATGATCTCTCTCTCTCTCTCTCTCTCTCTCTCTCTCTTCCACTCTCTCCCACTCTCTCTCTCACTCTCTCACTCGCTCTCCCTCTCTGGTTCTCTCTCTCCTTCCGTCTCTTGCGCGCTCTCTCTCTCTCTCTCTCTCTCTCTCTCTCTCTCTCTCTCTCTCTTTGTCGAAAAACTGTTTCTAGGCTCCGGCAACTACGAATGTGTCCGCAACGGTACAGCAATGCTGCAACTCTACCACCCGGCGCGCTTCTCGGTGTCGGTGTTCTTCTCGGTGGTGGCCGCGTGGACGGCGCTGGCCGCGTTCGCCTTCGTGCTCCTCTACTGGACCGGGGCGCACAAGAAGCATCGGTAATTTGTAATTTTTTGGTCCTTTTGGATTATCGGTGTGGGGAACAACTTTGTCTAGGGATCCAAGTTTTCGAATATAAAGAATCCAAACAATACAAAATTTGCTTGTTTAAGGCGTTTCTAAAGTTTTTTTACTATCCCTAAACCTAAAGCGTTGCAAATTTTATTAAAAATGCCAAAAAGATATAAATCAGTTGATTTTCGACCAAAATTGGCCATTTTTGACTAAAATCTCGGGTTTTTCAGGACGTTGAAAAAAGTTTTGGGTAGTTTTAACTAGTACTTTACTAAAGACACTATTAAAATACTGATTCTTTAGTTATCCCCCCCGATATTGCAAAAGCGCCTTTTTTTCAGACAAACCGCAACCCCCCTTCCGGGTGAAAAAACATACCCAGTGGAAGAGCTAGACGAGGAAACACCGCTTCGGCCTCCAACCAGCCGGGAGCAGAAGACGGAAGTTGATGAGGAGATGATCTCTTCGGGAAAGGTCGGCTTTTTCTTTAGGAGCCAATTTTTCTAACCTAATATTAGGGAAAGAATTTTAAAATTGCATTTTTACTTAACGCAAAAACTTACAAATTTTATTAAACTTCTTCTTCGAATTGGTTTCATCAAGGTTTATATACTTTTTTAGAGCAAATCCAGCAGTGCCGAAAAGAGCAGCGACAGGTCGGAGGCGATTTCCGGCGGCGCGTACTACTGGATTCTGGGGCTGACGGCGTTGGTGAACGCGCAGATGAACGGCATCATCCCCAGCATACACAGCTACGCAGCACTACCGTATTCACAGGTAATTCAGAGGGTGGAATGTGGTGGAATTCGAGGAAAATTGAGTCGAAATTGGCTTTGCAAAAGTAAAAAACCGAAAGCTAAAATGTTCGCATCCGCCGGGATTCGAACTCCGGTGAATTTCTCGACCTAGAGCTTCTCCATTCGGCCAGCTGACTTCAAGCTTTAAAACGGGCTTAAATAGCCATTTCTTAAGCTACTGGTCAAAAAAACAGAATATTTTGGATCCTGGGAATCGAACCCGGACCGTTCGCCTGGTAAACGGGAACTTACCCATGCGCCATGACCATGGGACTGCTAGCAGAGCTTCTTTCGGAAATTATTATAATATTTTTAAGACCATTTTCAGACAGTCTACCACCTCGGGCTGACCCTGTCGAACATCGTGGCCCCGCTGGCGTCGTTTGCCCCGTTTTTGTTGCAGACCAGGTAGATAGATTTCAGTTTTTTAAGGAAGAAATGGAATAATTTAAAGCACGCTAATAACTTAATCTAATCCAATTCTAGATCCGTGCCCATTCTGACGGCCCTCTCGCTGACGTCGTCCTTCTTCACGGCGCTGATCGTCTACCTAGCCTCGCAGAGCCCCAACTATCTGTTTGGGAATTACGGTGCAGGGGCCGGGCTGGCGGTAAGGGCTAAACATTTCGCTTCTCAACCTCTTTAAAATCCTTTAAAGGGCCTGGCAAGGCACATGTTATTATGGATTTTGTATACAAACTTTGAATCAAAACACTAAAGATGACGATTTTTCTGCCAAAAAATAGCTGATTTCGACAAAAATGCCGATTTTTTTAAAGATTCTGGCTTTTTGCGATAGTTTTTTCCTTTAAACACACTTAAATTATACCAAAAAGCCTATTAAAATACTTTTAACAAAAAAATAATCAATCAAAAAAGCCGATTTTCGACAAAATGCCGATTTTTTAGATAGTTTTTGCTTTAAATAGACTTAAATTATAGGGAAAGGCTATTAAAATGCTAACTGTTACGTTGCTAGGCATTTATGGCTTCATAAAATTAAAAAAAAATTGAAAAAATTGGCTTTCCTCAAAATTTCCTAAATTTCTGGTCATGTCTTCTCGGCCCTTTAAAATAGAGATATCGTAACCCTAATTCCAGATCGTGGCCCCAATCCTTGCAGCGGGTCTCCACTCTTTTCTGCGTACCCTGTTTGCCTCCGTACTCCGCGAGGGGTCCCACGGCAGCGAATCGCGGCTATTCTGGTGCGGCGTCTTCATCCAGGTCAGCATTTGCCTTCACTGTCCCTTTAAAGCGTTAAAAATCGTAATAAAAATTTTAGATTACTTTCAAACGGGAGAAATAAAAAATAAGTTCAAAATAAAAATTTGTGGAATTGAATTTTTCAATGTTTCATTTCCGGAAGAGCAAAATTGAGCTGTCATAAATCTAATATGATGTCCCTGGTTTTTAGATGCTGTTGGAAACTGGGTTCTTTCGCCATAGCGGGGGGTGGGGTGAGCTCTTTAGCATCAAAGTAGCAACTCCTCTTTACAAATTTTATTGGAAATACAAAAATCTAATTTATGGACCAAAAAGGGCCGTTTTTCGACCAAAATGTTTGAAAATTTTTCGACTTGAAAGCTGGCGAAATTTACCTAAAAACGCTATTAAAATAGCTATTATGTTACTAGACATTTCTGAACGTATGCAAATTTACGCTTTTAACGGGCCCCTCCCACCGATGCGAAAGCTCCCGAAATTGGTGTAAGAATATACAGTTTGCGATGGAGATTTAATCAATTGATTTAATTTAGTGAAATTATTAAAAATATAGCCATTCATTCAGTCAATTCGCCCCACTTTTCAGATCGGCTCGTTCGTCGGCTCGGCGGTGATGTTCCCGCTCGTCAACTTTGCCAAGCTGTTCGAGGCGGCGCCGGCTTGCCGGCCATGACTTACCTGGCGTGATGGGTTGTGAGCGCATTAATTGATTCCTTATAATTCGAAATCTGACCATGTTTATTTATTTATCGTTTTAAAAATTTTTCAAAAATTGATGTTTCGGCCAATTCACGTCATAAAAAATTTCGTAAGATTTCATTTGTTTTAGCTTGTTCTATTCTTATAAATTTACTTAATTGACCGAAATTGTGATTAAAATTTCCGTGTTCAGCTTGCGTGTTTTCTGATATTTTTGCGAGCTTCTCCCCCACGACAAACTGGTGATCTGACCCCCGCCTTTCGAGCTGTGGCCATTAACGTGTGAATGCGCTCAATTTGTGCCTTATTTGCATGCCATAATTCGTGTGTATTTTTGTGTGGATATCGGCAAATAAAGAAGAGTTTTATGGAAGGTTTTAACAGGGAATTTAAGCGCGGCGCGACACGCAACGCGCAGGCCCGCATTTTCCTTGCGTAATCGATTACGACCCATTTAGAGCGTTCAGAAGCTGAAATCAGACAAAAACGCCGACAACCGAAAATGTCGACAACCAATCCGAGGTCCGAAATCTCGAAAATTATAATCCCGATAGCGAAAATATTGATATACCTAAATCCGACTACAAAAATGCCCGAAAGCTAAAATCTCGACAAAAAACCGAAGCGAAATACCGACAAAAAATGCCGACAAATAAAGTTCAGCCACTGTAACGGCTGGCAAGAAAATGCCGACAAGCCAAAAACTCGAGATATTTTTAATGTTGTGATTTTGACGTTTTTCCGATCGAATTTTGATTTTTCGCGGTATCCCTTAAGAATAAATTACCATGAAAAGAAGAGATTCGTTTCACTTTTTCGATGAAACATGGAAAATCAATTTTTCGAAAGACTCAAATTTTTGTTCAAATGCTTTTAGGAGTTTCAGATAGTCGTAGATTGTTTATCGATACTTTATCTGGAAAAACACAAATAAATACCGAGAAAAAGGCACGGAAGCTGGTCGAGTTGTCGTTTAGCAATTCGTTTTTATGGGGGGTTTTTGATTAGAAAAAAAAGGGAACTGGACTGTTGGGGGGGGGGGGAACTCCTTCACCCCCGCTAAAAGTCCAGTACCAAGAAATTAATATAGACGAATCAAAGTCCAAAAACAGGGGCAGTTTCTTTGGTGGAAGGCGTAGCGGCGGCAGAACACATATTCGAATTATTGGCACTTTACGGAAAATTGGAACATAGAAATTGTTGAGCAAAGTTGTTTCAAAAATGGGGTAAAAGGCAGTAAAGTCGGGGTTTTTTTACAACGTTAGTGGGTTTAGGCTTAGGCTTAGGCTTGGGCTTATCCCCATCCGCCGGTCAACTGCTGGAACATCTCTTCGTTGAGGGTCTGGCTCTGCTCCTTGCTGCGCATCGACACGAAGATGTAGCCGCCGATGAACTCGTGCACCACCTGTAACGAACGTTTCCTGATTCGTTGATGCGTGACTTACAGTAGACTCGGGCTTTTGCTTAGGTTTGGCTTAGGCTTAGGCTTGGCTTAGGTAAGCTAACTTCTCACCTTTCTAGAAACTTAAAAATGCCGAAACTTCCTAAATGCGAAATCAAAATGCCGACATTCAAAAATATCGAAATTTTTGCATATCATTTGAACTTTGAAGCTTTCCGGAAGATTAGTCAGGTAAATGATGATTTTGAGAGTTTTATTCGAATTTGACCGGGCGACAATTTTGAATTTTTCCACAAATGAACTTTGCAGCGACAGGTTATTATTGGAAAAACTTGTGTTTCGAAATCTATACGAAAACAACCCGGAAAATACATTATTCGATATTGAAATCGAATCGAAGAGACTTTCGCTATCACTCAACCCAGTGATCCCTATTCTAGTAGATGCTCACCTTGCAATCGGCCGACAACGGCTTGAACTCGATGTCCTCCTCGTTGAATTGCACCTAAAAGGTAGTATGAATTGTGTATTTGAATAAATGTATACCTTCAGATGGCGAATTTCCCAGTTGACATGCCACTTCTTCATCGACGTGTACCGCCACGTCTTCAGCGTGTCCCCGTTTTCCTGGTTGAACTTGACGATGCGGTTGTTGGCGATGCCTAAAAAATCGAGTTTTAGTTAGTATTTTCTTTAATTAATGTAAAATCAATAGAAAAATTAAATAATAAATTAATAAATAAATTAAATTAATAAATTTCGTCAGAATTTTGACAATCAAAATCCCAAAAGGTAAAAACTTCGACAGCCAAAATCCCGAAATGTCTATCGCGGATTCTGGATCACGGCCGGCTGTCGGTATTTTTGCTGTCGGGATTATGGGTGTGGGCATTTCGGTGTTTTCCGTATGAATTTACTCTTTAAATATCAGAACTCACCAATAAGGTCCGATTTTCGGTTGGAGTTGCGGAAGCGGACGACAAAGTAGTGCATTCCGTGTTCGGGCAGGGCCTGAAAAAAAGATATTTCAGATTCAATTCAATTTCAGATTCAATAGAAAATTTTAATGGGCTTGCCGATTTTAATGACCTTAAATTCATGCCTAATTAATTGTTTTTATTAGGTTTAAATGCAAAATCCAAATTCGCGTCGTTTTTACTAAAAATAACTATTTTAGGGCTTTCTAAAAATTTAAAGTAATCTAATTTTAATTTGTCTTATTTGTATCCTTTCGTTGGATGGTGAAATAGACCGATTTAAAATAGATTTTTAACACTTTTTAAGCCCCTACCTGCCACGCTCGAATGTATTGAAGTTTCGCCTCGGTTGCCGTGAGTTGCTTGATGCTCGAGTGGGTGTCGGACACTTTTTGTTGGATCTGGAAGCTTGTAGTAATAAAAATATTTATAATGACTTTTGTCTTATGTTCTATTCTTTTATTATAAACTGGTTTGAAACTTTTTTACCCGTAAACATACATACGACCCTTAACACTTTTCTTAAAAAATTAAAAATAGATTTTTCGCAAATTTTAAAAATCTGAAGTTTTTTTTGTGATAGCTTCTATATAGTATTAGACCTATAGTTAAATTTTATCATAAACATTGGTAAGATGCTCACTATTACATTACTTCCGTCTATGGAAAAAATATGTTACAAAGATATTTATTCACTCAAGAATTTTTATTTATTTATTCGGTTCGGATTTTGCAAGATTTTTTAGGATGAAATGAGTAGATTATTCTAGGTTTAATTTCTAGGATAGAGATATTTTAGAACTATAGTTAAATTTTATTAAAAAGATTATTAAAAGTCTCACAATTTCATGACCCTGTATTTTTGGAAAAAAATTGTTACAAATTGATCCATTCCCCCGAAAAAATTGATATCGATTAAAGTCGGAGAAGATAATTGCACAATTTTTAAGATGAAACGAGTCGGTTATTGTCGGTTTAGTTTTTTAGGCTCTGGAAATTTGTAAGGGTGTCCTGCCTTTTTAATTCCATTTTTAGAAAAATATGCGTTTCCGAGTTTTACCTGCTGCTTGCTGCGCCTCTTGACATATCTCTGGCTGAGGTATTCATCGACGTTGAAATCGTTGGGCAATTTCACTGGGGCCGCCTTTTTGCCGCCGGCCGCGCCGTTTTCGCCGCGCGGGAGGGCTGAAATGAATGATAATTATACTTTCACCTAATTTTAGATCTGGCGTTTTGGCCATTTAATCCGGTAATTTTTTATGTTACCTTAGGTTTCCAGTTTCAAGTTCAAGCCAATGTTTCAATTTAAAAAAAACTTAACTACTTAAAAACTACTTTTTGCTCGTTTTACCACTAAATCACCAATAATCATTTCAAGCCTACAAAAAATTGCGTTTTAGTAAAACACATTTTTTTTAGTTAGGAAAAAGTAGGTATTCCGGAAAAACTCACTTCCGGTGTGCATGTTGAGGAGGTGCTTGATGGATTCGACTTCTTGCATATAGGAGGCATCGGCCATGGTTTTACCGCGTGAAGCGCAGCGGCAGGCGGCCATCCAACGTGCGTATTGGTTCTCCTGAAATCGGGATTTTGAAAACTTGTTAGTGATTAAATCAATCCAATCTTTCGCAATTTTTATTTGGAAGAGCGTTAAAGATTCTTGAAAAAAAGATGTGTTTCACTAAATGTGGAAACCATTGCTGGACACACACACACACACTCATTAGGCGGTTCTATTGGAGATTTTGTGAAAAATGTGAAGATTGCTTGATACACTGTATGTTAATAAAACGGTCTTAGCAGTCTGACAATTACGGCAGAAACTTTTTCTCGAAGATCTCTCTATCTCACTATCTCTGTCACTGCCGCTCGCTCTCTCTCCCTCCCTATCTCTCGCGCTCTATTTCACTAATCTCTATTCCGACTAGCAAGCTAGCAGAGATTGTTGAGGAAGTGGAGAGGGTAGGCTAGCAGAAACGACTGACCGTCTCGCACTTGAGGATGACGTCGGTCATCCCCTCGGCCGTGGGGACGAGCAGCTTGATTTGGTATTTGCCCTGGGAGACGGACACGTCAGGTGAGACCTCGCAGCCTAAAAAAGTATTTTAATAAAAGTTTTTATTAAACAGTGCAAAAAATTTAAATTTTTGACGAAGATTTCAGACCCCCCGATAATGCAAAAGAACGAAATTAAATAAAATTAATTAAGTAAAAGCGAGCGCACCTCTGAGGACGAAATCACCCAGCGGTGGGCCGGCCTGCTCGGCGGGGCTGTTGTAGTACGACAGCCGGAGGTCGCGGAACACAAAGTAGCTCCGCTTGAACCCCTTGAACGCCAGCTTTTTCGGCCTGGAAATAGCATTAAATCATTTCAATTTGGAAAATACGGCTTACGGTTATTGGCATCGTCTATGGGTAATTAATTTCTAGTTTTTTTTGCCGAATATTAATTTTTCTTGAAACATGATGCTCTGGTTTTTTAGATTTTTGCATGGTTTTTTTATGTTAATACCGTTCATTTAATTGTGTTAAACTATCATCATGTTTTTAAAAATCGCATCATTTGTTAAAATATGGAGAATCTTCAGAAAAATTAAGTTTCGATCGCAAGCCGAAAGTTTTTTGAAACGCGATTTTATTCCTACTAAAACCATTTCTTTCACGCCTCCACTATTGTAGCAAAAAAAGCCAAATCTTTAAACTGATAAATAGCTATTTATTGTAAAAGCCGTAAAGCTTGAAAAATCAAAATTTTTGCTAGTCACACCAATACCGAATTGAGATTTTTCGAAAGGGTCAAATCTGAGAGTTTTGTGAAACAGAAATTTGTATTTTGGAAATGACTGGGATTACTTTTGACTGGCTTTAATTTTAATAAATAATTCTGTATATAAACGTAAAAAGCTCACCAAAAAAATATAGAAACTTTATAAATTTTAAAGTTCATCATTTTAACTTGGGTAATATCGATTTTCTTGTTTCGTAAACTTACAATCTTATTTTTTAAAAACTATGTCATTTAAAACCTGGAAAGAATTAATTCTTTTAAATTTTACAATTTAATTTTTAGAATTTTTAGAATTTAATTTTTTTAAATATTGATAAAACGAAACATACTTCATGTATTTGAGGTAGTCGGCGAGCGATGGGACCTCGGTGAGATCGGCGCGCTTTGAGAAGGCGGCCGCGTCCAAGCTGTTTTCCTAAACGTATGCATTTAATTTATACTTTAAGGTCCTATTATTATGATTATTATGACTATGATTGAGTTTAATTTAAGTAACTCAAAATAAATAAAAATCACCAGCTCGTCGAGCATGATATCCACGTCGTCCTTGCCGCGATCTTCCGGTTCCGGCGAATCGCGCTGCAGCGTGGCTTGGAGCTAAAAAATATGTAGAATATACATTCAATTTGATTAAGCCTAGTAGCACACTATTTTTATTTTTCTTATTATAATCACCACAACTTCGGGAGAAGCAGCTCAAGACAATATACTGTCCAGTATTTTGCACTTTTTAACTTTTCATGAAACACACGATTCTCGTCAACATTGATTAGCTCGAAAATAAGCTGCAATGTTTTATCTAATAATAAGAATTAAATAACGGTAATTTCAGGAATTAAAACGCAATTGTACCTCTATAATAAATAATTTTTATTACCACATGAATGGTGCACGATTATACTTTTTATCATTTTTCATTTTTTAATGATTCATGAAACATCATTTTACGTTAAAATCAGCAGCTCAACGATAAGCCCGAATATTGGTTTTTAATTTAAGTAATGGTTAACTAAGATTAATAATGTTTTTGGATACCTTTAGAAATTATCTTAAATCCTTTTACTCTAACAAACCTGCAGGGCGGCAAAGAGGTTGGCCTCCTCCTCGGTGTGGTCCAGCTCGTCGAAGAGGATGCTCCATTTGGCCTGCTCGTACAGCTGGTTGATGCGCACCGGGTCGTACTGTAGAATAATACGGTAATTGCGTAATGCAAAAGTATTAAAAAATGGCAAAAATTGTATAATTTAGTAAGATTTTAATTTCAGACCACGAATTAGAAGGGCTAGATTTTAAAAAACCACATGTCATGTCGATTAAGCCCGAAAAAAGCCGCCTTTTATTAATGTGAAACAAAACATTATTTTTTTAAACCGGCCACTGACCGAAAGAATTCATAAAATCGCAATTTCGGCGAAAAGTAAAATTCGTTTCAACTCGGCATAATATAAAATTTCTTGAAATTTTTCTAGTCGAATCCTTTGAGATCCCTAAATTCTTACAAATTCATCGAAAATAAAGTTTGTTATCAACTCGGCTTGGCATGAAATTGATTGGGACTTGATGAATCTCGGCTTCCGCGACAGTGTTAAAAACGCGTTAATTTTCATCCAATTTCTACAGCCATTTTTATTATTAAGCGTAAAAATTCGACGTTTTGTAGCGAAAAGGTGCAATTGTTATTCAAAATTTTTTCCTCGAGATTTTCAATTCTTTACCCGCGGATTCAGGTCGAAGAAGGACATGAAGCGGAACTGGAGGATGACGATATCACCCTCGAAAACGCCCTGCTCCATCAGCGACCTAGAAAATAGAGTTAGGAAAAAATGAATGAAGCTGATCGCGGTCTGTATATAGCCTTCTCTCTGTCTCGCTCTCTCTCTCTCTCTCTCTCTCTCTCTGTCGCGTTCTCTCTCTCTCTCTCCCCACTCTCTCACCTGACTCTCTTATCCCAAACGTCGCCGCAAATTAATTTTCAAAAATTGATGTTTCAGAACATTTACTAGCCATGGCTGAATCTCTACAATTAATGAATGACAGGTAAACGGTGTTCGCGAAATTTTTCCGAGAAGATGATCAGCGCATTCAAGAAAATGAGAGGGTGAGTTGAGAGATAGAGAGAGAGATAGAGCGAGAGAGTGAGAGAGAGAGAGCGACAGAGATGCGTGTGAGAGAGAGCGCAGAGATAAAACAAAACCAAACCTGCTGCTGTCGAGCCAGCCGCGGTTCAGCGCCGCCTTCTCGACGAGGTTTTGCGGGCGGAAGACGGGAGTGTCCTGAAAACAATTGTATCCTATAAAAATTACGACGTGGTTTTCATTAATTTAATTTAAGGTTAAATCATTACCGCTAATACTTAAATCCGATGAATGAAACGAAACCAATATGAAAATGACTAATATAAATTAACTTAAATAAAACCAATATGAGTTTTAAAGAATAATTCAACTTATAAAATTAAAATTTTTAAGATCATTTTCCAAAATGTGTTTCAAAGAATTGACTAGCCAGTGCTATATTTCTGCTATTAATAGCTGTGCGATTTTTTGTTTAATGAAGGATAATAGTACTCTTATTTAAGGTAGATAATTCTAAATTTAATAAATCGATACCTTCGTGGGAGCGATGCGTGGGGAATGGACGAGCGCCTGGTCGAAATTCTCGTTTTCGAGCCCCTCGCAGAACGAGATGGACGGCATCATGTTGCGCCGCATCGTGTCGTTGTACTAAAAAATCTGGGATTAGTTTTTGAAAAAATGTTTCATAAACTCATAAAAATATTAAAAAAATTACCGAAGCTACTTGCGGCTGAATGCTACACATCGAAAGTCAAAAAAATGTAAAAAAACAATTTGTAAAGTTGTTACGTGCACGAATATCAAAAACAGCTAAATGCACGAAATATGTATATGACAAAATGACTGCTATGGAAACATTGTACAAAACCAATTCGGTATTTTTTTGGAAAAATGTGGCTTCATAAAAAGTTAAAGTTGGTTCAAAATTGAATAATCAATGGTTTCTTGCTTGTAAAATTTGATAAACCAAAAAATCGACTAGAAAGTGCTGTAAAACAAAAACTGGGTGATTTAAAACTCAATTTTACGCTCTAAAAAAATCGAAAATTTTTGATCTTTACTTTCTGTTCACATTCCGCCAGTCGCTTGCCGATTTTGGCGGAAACGGAGAGCTAGAGTAAGAGAAAGGGCTGTGAACAACCAAGAGGATCTTATTAATGTTGGAATGCTACAGAATGCCCGGAAATTTATTGAAACACTTTTTCACCAGAATCTCTAGACTTTGTGCCTTGCTTGTTTTCGACGTGATATTTTCTTTTTGGATAGATTTTGCGTAGTAAGTTCTCTAGTAAAAAAGGGACTTTGAAATCAACTTAAATTAAGCCGAAAAGTTATGGGAAAGCTGTTTCTGCGCTAAATTGTACAAAGAAATGTTGATCCGGTTAGGAAGTTTTTTGGAACATTTTTTGGCTAACCTACACGATGTAAAAAATAATCCCAACGCGTAAGTATTTGTATTCTATAGATGATATAGATCTAATCCCGAGTTGAAAGGCATAAATTCAGGCTGACCGGGCCCCTTTAAAAGCGCTAGTATTTACAGGAAATGTGTTATACAACTCGAATATTGTAGAGATCAATTTCTAACAGCTCCACCGTGGATTATTTGGCGAATTTCCGGCAAAACACTGAATTTTTTTGAAACATTATTTCTTGCAGTCGCGGAACTTTCATCGAAAATTGGCCTGGAAACCATACGGATTCAAGCGGACAGAAGGTAATGGATTCAGACTTCTCAGTACCTTTTTTACAAGCCTAAGAAAAGAAAAAACGTACGGCTCCCGGGCCCGGGCTGACACCGCGGGGCAGCGTATTCCCATGGCGGGGCAGCGTGCCCATCTCGTACGCGTTGAAGACGTGGCCCTGGGTGGAGAGGGCCGGCGATTGATGACGGCGACTAAAAAAGCATTAAGATGTTTTAATTTAGCATGTTTTAAAAATTATTGGAATCACAGCGGCCCGGCGCCTAATAAAACGTCCGGCAGAATTGGAAACCAAGAAAGACCGCAACGCGTGCGATAGACGCGTCGCGCCATTGCGAAAGCAAGCCTGTGCAGCTAAAATCATGCTGGTATTTCGCGCCCCAGGCAAAAACCCGTACAGTACGCCTTTTCCCGGGAGCCATCGGGACCGAACCCATGGGCGGTTGTGGAATATAGATTCACTAAAAAATACTCTATTCAACGTCAGGAAAATTAAGATTTCGTATACAAGTGCCTCAATGGACTTTCTTGAAACATTGTTTTTCTTTGCAAATCACGTTATTGCTTATGTAGCATTGACTTATAAATAAAAATGCCACCAATACTAATCAAAATTATAAATAAAAAGAATAATAAAAATCATTGCTGATTAATAGAAAAGGAATTGGGGCCTTGCTTCATAATGTTTTAAACAGATAAAATCAGCGTTAAAAGAACGTTTCAAATACAAGAAGATTGGGTTAACAGCTCGATTCCTGGCGCAACAATGCATATGTTTGAAACCAATTTTTACAAAAAAAAAGTCCAAAAGTTTTTTCGAAATTAAATTATTTAAGTAATTTTAAGTAAAACTACTGAAATTGAATGCAATTGGTTTTAAAAAATAAAATAATTCCCACCGATCCAAATTCGACTGCGACGCGAAAATCGGCGCAGCCTTGCGGATCGTCATCGGGCCGACGGATTCCTGGAAAAAAGCGTGTTTCAGGAAAAATTAAAAAGTAGACAAAAAAAAAGATGGTAATGCACATGGCGAGGGAGTTCCAAATATCCAACTAAGGCACAATTGAGAACTAACAATAATAATCCAGTAAAATACTAACGATAATCTACTGTCAGAAAACTTAATAAATCGATACCTCGCCCGGTCTGATCGGCACCGGCCCGTCGTCGTAGGTGGCGTTGCGGCGCATCACGTCCGGCGGGATGTAGCTGAATTTGGAATTTGAATAAAGTAATTCTTTTTCTAAAAATTTCCAAAATTATTTATTATTATTATTTATATTTTGTTATCTAATAAAATATTAACAAAACGTCAAATTGCTCGATTTAAGGATCCTGGAGGTTTTAGAGCAGGAGATCAACAGTGTACTAATTCACTGGGCTGTCGGTCAGTTCTGGACTTTTTTGAAAAACTGAATTTGAATTGGCCGGTGAAGTGAATTTTTGAAGGCTTGAAAAAACCCTTTTAAAAAATGGTTTAAAAAATTTTTAAGAAAAAGTTGAAAATTTGCTAAATTTTTATGATTTTAAGAGGATATAGGAAACACCTTTTTGTAACTGAAAGGTTTAGCGGGATTAAAATTTTTCAAGATTCTTAATGGAAAGTTTAAAAGATATATTTTTAGAAAATATATTTATATTTAGGTAGTTTTTGAAGGGGATTTCGGCTATGGGGGTATCTGAAGCTATCAGGAAGGTATTTAGGTAGTTTTTGAAGGGGATTTCAGCCATGGGGGTATCTGAAGCTATCAGGAAGGTATTTAGGTAGTTTTTGAAGGGGATTTCGGCTATGGGGGTATCTGAAGCTATCAGGAAGGTATTTAGGTAGTTTTTTAAGGGGATTTCGGCTATGGGGGTATCTGAAGCTATCAGGAAGATATTTAGGTAGTTTTTGAAGGGGATTTCAGCCATGGGGGTATCTGAAGCTATCAGGAAGGTATTTAGGTAGTTTTTTTAAGGGGATTTCAGCCATGGTATTGATTGATAGCCATTGATTGATTGATAGCCATGGTATTGATGGAGGTGGGAAAGGATGTGGTGGAGTGGGACATGTAGGGTAGCCCGAAGGCCAGTCGATTACAGTCGCGAAGCGGCTGTAATCGGCTGGTTATTACTATAAAATGTACCGTTTGAGGGAGAGCTCCTCGGAGTACCGTATGCCAATATCGCGGCACAGCTTTTGGGTGCATTGGAAGACGTTGACCGAAAAGTCGAGCCGCGCGTCGATCAGCTGCTTGTCCGGCAATTGCACCCTAGAAAGTGCCAATTTTAAAAATACGATGATATTATTAATATACGAATTATCGATTTATCGGTTAAATAATCGTTTCTGAATCGAATCGGCGGATTTCTAGAAATCACAAGGGGTAAGCGGCACAACGAATTGCGTTCCCATAAAAAATTTGAATACACCAAACCGTGAAACATACAAAATTGCCTTGAGCGACTTTAGTAATGAGATGCTTTGAAAACCTGCTAGGTAGGAGTCCTGGAACATCCTTTTTTCTTAAAAAATTTCGCGTTTAGATGGCGATTATAGATTTCCAAATTAAATTTAAGCAGATATTCTTTAGATAACCCCGTTATTGCACTTTCTTTCCATCAAATTAACAGAATTTTTGCTAATTCCATGAACCTACTTGGCCTCCTTGTGGATGGGGGTGAACTCGAGCTGCGTCTCGGCCGTGATGCCTTTCTAAAAAAGAAATAGGAATTAGCCATCTAAAAACTCATCCAAAAGTTTGGTACTTTATAATAACTCGAAACAGCAAATTTTTCAAAAAATGGAATAAATTTCTGAAAAGATGTTGCATGGAAAATCAGTGAAAAACTGGCAGTAATCGGAACAATTATCTCCGATTTCATTTTGCTTTCTTTATCAATAAAAAATTTATTAAAGGGCTGCCGACGGCATGTGTCGATCCCCCCCCATCAACAAATTGGCAAGTAGCCAACAGGGCAGAGAGCGCGCCCAGGGGAGAGGCGCAGAGACATTTTCTTTCCAGCGCGTAACCGATTGACGTATGCCGCCCCTATCCCTTTAAATTCACAAAATTTCCGCCTTAAATAGGATTTCTCTTACGGCATTTTGTGCAGAATATTGTTCCCTATTTAATGCATTAAAAATACCTGATCGAGCGTGCTCCTGGTGTGCCTGAGCCATTGGCGCTTGTCCGGCCACCACAGCGCGTGATCCGACCAATCGCGCGAGATGTCTGAAAAATCGGGATTTATATCATAAAACTTCAACAGATTCAATAAATTGACAAATTTAATTATAAGATTACTTTTTTATGTTTCGTCTATAATTTACTACTAAAAAGCTTTTGGACTCAGGGATTTCGAATCCTTCAATGGCCGAATAAAAAATGTTTTGGATTTGGAAGCGAGAATAGGAATAAGAGTTTGAAAAAGACGCCATTGAAGCGTCTTTTTCAAAGCGGAAGTTGCATAGTTATATTTCTGGTGTCACAAAACAATGTTTATTTTATAGGTTTCACAAAAACAACTTGAAAATGATTCGCTCAAAAATATATTATGGTTCGTAGCTGTCATAAATTTAGCGTCGGATTGATTTGGCGTTTTCTGGTCTCGAAAAAAAGAGTGCCATTATTTATGTGCTGGGATACATGTAATTATTTTATTTAATGGTTTGCGAACATGAGTGAATTCTCAAGGTACCTGTGCTAGCTTGCCCTGGGTAGTTTTCCGCAAATTACCTCAGCTAGCCTGCTTCAATTTGCGCAATTTTCCCCGAGGCTTCTTCAAAAGAAATTGCCTAGTTTCAGAATCTTCTGAACCCAAAAATTCTTTCTGCTTCTTTAAATTCAATTTTCCCCTTAATTTTCTTCATAAATTCGGGGCTACTCTCGCCCCCAATTTCGGGAGCCGCTTGTCGAAAAGTGACTCATCAGAGATTCATCGTCCCCCACGATGCCACCCGACAGCCCATCAAAATTGGGCATGCATTTTGGAGTTGGCTTGGGGCCAAGAATTGATTTTTGGCGCAAATCGAGTGTTTCAAAAAATTTACGGAATCCGGAACCGATCTGGACATGAATCCATACAACAGTCCTATGTTGCATGAAAACTCATAAGGCAAGCTAGCAGAGATTGTTGAGGAAGAGGGACGGGCAGGCTAGCAGTGATTCTTGAGGAAGAGGAGAGGGCAGGCTAGCAGAGATTGTTGAGGAAGAGGAGAGGGCAGGCTAGCAGAGATTGTTGAGGAAGAGGAGAGGGCAGGCTAGCAGAGATTGTTGAGGAAGAGGAGAGGGCAGGCTAGCAGAGATTGTTGAGGAAGAGGAGAGGGCAGGCTGGCAGAGATTGTTGAGGAAGAGGAGAGGGCAGGCTAGCAGAGATTGTTGAGGAAGAGGAGAGGGCAGGCTGGCAGAGATTGTTGAGGAAGAGGAGAGGGCAGGCTAGCAGAGATTGTTGAGGAAGAGGGAAGGGCAAGCTAGCAGAGAGTCTTGAAGAAGCGCAGGTCAGCGAAGATTCAGCTTTTTTCATGTTTCGAAAAATTTCCGTATAGAGTTTAAAGATTGTATCGTAATTCGCCTGTGGCCGTCCAACGATTTTTTGTGCCATTACTTTTTTCCAACCTGATACTTTTCGAATTAAATAAATTTCATCTCCCGTTATTTTCCAAACTTGGAGGGATCTTTCTTTTAAATGTCAGCATTTTTCCGGCTGTCCCTTTTCTGGCCCGGGAGAGAGAGAGGGAGCGAGAGAGAGAGAGAGAGAGAGAGAGAGAGAGAGGAGAGAGAAAGCTTTTGGCGATGGTTGTGTAAAGCGTGGGTGCCTTTCCGGCGGCACTTTTTTGACCAGGCCGCCAGGGGAGCAAGAGTGGATGCTGCTCACAGCTGTGTGTTTGTGTCCCCCGGGCTATGCACCCAGTGGGAGCATTGGCAATCGGCCAAAGCCAAAGGGGTAGCCAAACGGAATCGGAGCTTTAATCAATTAAATCAATTAAACGGACCGGAAACAGGTGAAAAACGTATAAAAGTCGATGATTTAATTTTAGAGGCTTTAAAGACATGCCAATCTCGTTGACGAGCTTCAGCATCAAGCCGCCGATGTGCTCCTCGCCTGTCACGTAGAGGTTTCGCTGAAATTTGCCACCTGGGACTAGTAATCGATATAAAAAATACAATTATTAACGGTTTTTGAAACATATTTTTTTACTGGATATCCCTCAACAATCTCTGCTAGTCTGCCCTCTCCTATTCCTCACCAATCTCTGCTAGCCTGCCCTCTCCAATTCCTCAACAATCACTGCTAGCCTGCCCTCTCCTCTTCCTCACCAATCTCCGCTAGCCTGCCCTCTCCAATTCCTCAACAATCTGTGCTCGCTCACCTGAATATTCATATCGGTGACCAGAATGGATAATTGCCATGATCCATCTGGGGCATAATGGCCCCTCTCCTCGATCAGATGGGCCATAGCCACAGACTACGCGACGCTACGCCGCTACCGTAACCCTGAAAAGCTTAATTAGAAAAAGCCATATACCTCAATAAATTAATCTAAAAAAAAGTTACGGAATTGGCAAATTCTTGATAAAAATTTTTCAATCGGAGCTTACAAGGAGACGTTTTTGAGTGTCGTCGGGACTTTGGCACGGGACCAAGCCTATCTTGTGCAGAATTTTACGCTGATTCCGAATATGTTAACCGTTTTTGCGGAATAGCCATTTCTCGAAAGTTATGAACGATTTAAACCTCAAAACAGTCCAAAATCGGCTACTATAGTCATAAAAGGCTTCAAAATAGGTTTTAGACAAAACCAGATAGTGCATCTTGTTCAGAAAAAATTTTCTATAAAATAAGCCACTTAACTCAAAAATACTGGAATTTTGAAAATTTTTGTAAAATTATGGACCTCCCAATTTATCAAATTTTTCCAACTTTTTAATGATTTTGAAAAAGATGGTACATTTTATAGAGAATTTTTTTCTGAACAAGATGCACCATCTGGTTTTGTCTAAAACCTATTTTGAAGCCTTTTATGACTATTGAAAGTAGCCGATTTTGGACTGTTTTGAGCTTTAAATCGTTCATAACTTTCGAGAAATGGCTATTCCGCAAAAACGGTTAATATATTCGGAATCAGCGTAAAATTCTGCACAAGATAGGCTTGGTCCCGTGCCAAAGTCCCGACGACACTCAAAAACGTCTCCTTGTTAGAAAGCACTTAATTAAGGCTGATAATGGAAATTTGAAACATGAAAAATGAATTGGATAAATTCACTTTTCGATTGCTTTCAGCCGGAAAACACTATATTAAACAGATACGAACAGAACTAGACCGGAAAAAACATCAAGAAAATTCTAAAAAATCGCAAAATTCTCGACACGCTTCGCCGGATGACTCAACGCAAGGAAGAATGTTTTGAATGGGGGCAAAAGGGGGGCTGGAACAGGAATGCAGTCGAATCGATGGGGGGGGGATGGATTCAGAAGAGATTCTAATTCTCTTTAAGAGAAATTAACGGATCAGAGAGATTTCAAATTTTTTCTGGGATTTACAGAACGCGTACATCTGCTGACCATCGATGGTATAGAAAAACGCTTATTTTAGCAACGTGTGAAACATCTTGCTTTTCAAAACAAAGCAAAAAAAAATGATAGCCTTCTTCTTTCACAAGAATTTCACAAGGCCTGTATCTCGGCCGTTCTTGGTTTTGGGGGCCCAGGACTTTCCTCCCGGAATCATTCAGGCCGAGAGCTACAAAATGACATATCGCATGTGCAGAATGGAGCTATCTATGAATTTAGCCAGCCTTCCAAAATCTCGGCGACAGAACTTTCGTTCCAACCTGATACTTGCAAATTTAGAAAAAAAAATGGATTGCGAAGTTTCCGGGAATTATCATTAAGCGAAGACGACGACTTTGCCGATTCATGAAACATAAATGAACCGGGAAACGCGGGTTTACTTTGAGCGAAATACATTTCTCTAAAAACGTTGTATCTTAGCCTTTTTGCCGATTTTCTACGCTCCATGAAAAATTTTTGGATCTTGAAAATTGAGTTTCAAATCTGACTAGGGTGCTACAATCGAAGATTTGTGGAATACCATCTAACGATACGAATTTTAATAGAATAATTTGGAGCTTTTATTCATGTTTCTTCAAGCTCTTCATGCTTTTCCAAATTTAATAGAGAATTAGCATCGAAAATTAAGCGGTTTGTAAAAAGGTGTTTCACAATTATTTGCGAGTGGTGAATTCCGAATCAAGCTATTAGTTGCAAGTGATCATTTAGTAAAACCTATTAAATATGCAACTATAACAAAAAATCGTAAAATTAGCCCATTTGCATGTAAATTTAGGTAAGAAAGCAAGGGGTATCCGTCGAGACAGCTAGAGCGACATATTGTTTGTCGAGTACCAACCCGGGGCGAGGTCAGCTCCCCCCGATATTTGCATATAGAATCTCGGACTACAAATTGCTCGAGAGGTTCAGGGCTTGAGTATAAAAAAAGGAATTTACAATTTAGGAATAAAGGTTTTTAGTTTTAGAAAACTCGCTTGGGAAATTTATGTTTCAAAAATCACTAAAAAATAAAAAAGTATTTGTAACGTCCCTCCACGGAAATACAGTAAATGCAAAAAAGCAAAATACGGAAATGAATTTCAAAGATTCCCAATCAGCAAAAAAAAAAAATTAAAAATGAACGTTTCATAAAAATCGTTGATGGGTATGCAAATTCGTAAGCCTTAATCTGTGCAGCCCGCTCGGTTGGAAAAAAGAATAACTATTCAAGATATCAGGGCCCGTACCATAACCTGTTTACCACCCCATTTCCGGCTTACTACCCCTAGTAAACTCTTAACCACCCCGGTAACCAGACTAGTAAACGTCGTTACTCCCCCTACAGTGCGTATCAAAAAGATAGAGCCACCATTTGCATCCACTTTACATGCGCTTTGAGCTTGCAAATTACATGGTAATTGTTATGTAAATCGTGCTTTTCATTCAAATCAACGACGGTTGCCAAAAAAATGTCGTTGAACAGTAGCAATAGACAGGCACATTTTTTATCAAGTGTTTGCTTCGTTTACGCACTCCAAAATGGTCAGAGCTATAAATTTTGGTCCTGACAGGTTGATTTGAATGAAAAGCACGATTTACATAACAATTACCATGTAATTTGCAAGCTCAAAGCGCATGTAAAGTGGATGCAAATGGTGGCTCTATCTTTTTGATACTTGTGTTTTTGGCTCTATTTACTTGTTTTCCTCATAAAAAGCTCAATATCCAATATAGAAAGATTTAGATTACACAGAAAGATGCGCCTTTTCAAGGGCTACAAGATGTGTATGCTTAGCTAGGCATGAAAATACATCTGCGCGAAGATAAAGGTCAAAAACCAAGTGGCTCTATCTTTTTGATACGCACTGTAGTAAGCGGAAACTAGGCTGATTTGCGCTGAAACGTTCGAGCAGCCTAAAATTGCACGCCGACCCATAAAAACACCTCGCGTTGCTCAGAAATGATCCTAGGGTCGATAAGCTTGCGTTTGCGCAGCAAAAATACCTAGTGAACTCTCTCAATCCGGCGTTAAGCCGACTAAAAAAGGTTACTACCCCAGGCGAAGAGTTTACCGCACCGGTAACTCGCACTTACTGGCCAAATGAAAAAGTTTACCGCCCCCCTTAAAAAGTTTACTAGGCGCCTAAAATTTTTTTACTAGGGGTGGTTTGCCACTTTTGGTCAACAGGGGGTAGTGAGCGCTATTTTAAAAAGAGTTTAAACTTAAATGTTGCAACTTTTTAAAGTTTTTTAAAGCCGTTATTGGGTAGTTCAGTACCTCAGCTACATACTTCAGTGACGAAGTTGCTCAAGTTTTTGCTCATTCGCAAGAAAAATGCACGCAAAGTGTTTACTACCCCAGTAAACGAGTATACTCAACTTTTCACGTTGGTAAACTTTATTACTACCCCAATAAATTTTGTGCTTTCGTGAGTCAATTTTCTCACAAGAGTGGGGATCTACTATATATAAATTTCTATGTCCGTCTGCCCGACCGTACACGAATTCAGCGAAATTCTGCATTCAAATTGTGGGGAGGGCCAGCGCTGAACCCCCGCGTAGCGGGGGGTCAGCGCTGGTATAGTCTAACCCGTAAAATCATTCGGTACTGTAGTAATTGTGTGTAGCCTAAGAATTTAATTTTTGATTAGTAGTCAATCAATTTTCGTCGTGAATTCGACCCTAAAAGGTCAACATTTTTACTTTTCAAAAAAGGTTTTAGACAACGCTTTAGGCCTATCTAAGGAAACTTCGCCCCCCCCCCCCCGGAAATTATTTTGTCTCTTTTCTCCCTCAATGTCTTTCGGGCTCCGACTTGATACCCGATGCGTTTTTCCTTGCCCACCTTGGGGGTAGTAACCTATGAAGGTAACTAGGTAACTAGGGGGTAGTAACATAGGTAAATAGAACTGCCGCTGAAAAAGCGTTTTCACCCCGAAAAGTTAATAATAGTTATATTATAGCCTTCTCAATGATCGTAGGCCTGAGTTTACCGGCGCCAAAAGCCTCTTTGGTTGACTAGAATGCCATATAAGTTCGACCTAGTAAACTTTTTGCCAGGGGTCGTGAACGCGTTCACTACCCCTAGTAAGAAGTTCACCTGTGGTGGTAAGAAGTTTACTAGGGGTAGCAAGTAAACTGTAGGTTTTTACTAGGGGTGGTGAACAGTTATGGTACCAGCCCTGAATCCTTCCGGATCAAGAAAGACAAATCTGAGACAAATTCTAGTAAAAGCAGGGCGCTTATAAATTCCTATAGAGCGGATTAGAAAAGCAGATGTTGCAAGTTTGCACAAAGAAACTGCTAAAGAAGAAATTAGATGCAGCTAAAAAGAGAGCAAAAGTAAAATGTTTAAGGATTTTTAAAAATCAGAAAATTGCGTCAGTTATTCGATGTAAAAATTCTGGGACCTAAAGTCATTTCCCAAAAGATAAAATAAGTCCTATTTGATGCAGAATATCGTTTATATACTTTAAAAAAGCCTACATCAGCCCATTAAAAAGTCGGCTAATTCCGGGGAAAGCTCGCATTAATGAAAGGTATTATTAAATTGGATTTGGAATTTAACTGAAGGCCTTTTAGCATAGAAATAAATATAATTCAAAAACATAATTTAGTAAGCAACTAGCATTTAATTTTGAGGGCATAGAAACCAACCAATTCCAAGTTTCTTCTAAAAGTTTTTGAAACTTTATGTTTTAGGAAAAAAACGTTAGCGGTTGGGAATGGTCAGAACGATTTTTCAGGTCGCTCAGATGTTTCATGTAAATTTCAAGTATAATATAACCAATCGAAACAACCGCTTTTTAATACACTCTTTTTAAAGAAAAGTAGCCTAAAAAAAGTAACAGTATTTATTAACGTAATTTTAGTATTAAGATGATTCATAAAAAACGAAATGCCAAG